ATGAATTACCTTACCCTTACCTTGTTTTTCTACTTTCTCCTCTTTTTGAGAAAGTGGAAGGAAAGTACTGATTGGCTTATGGTATTCTGAGTGTCATCTGAGGTCAGCAGAAACCAAGACAATTTAGCAAGTCTACTTTCAGGTTTAAAGGACTGGGAGAAGAAGGGGGTAGAAAGAATGTTATGTGGAAGTGCCCCAAATGCTAATGCTACTAATAAATTGTAACCATAGATTTTCCTCTTCCATCTAAAATAAATGGCGAAGTCAATGCAGCTCCTGGGCATTCATTCAAAGTAGTTACTTGGAAATCTAGTTTAAAACTGACACTCAGAAATCAAGTTTAAAATTGACACTAAGGCTGTGCCCCATTTCCACCAAGTAGGAGCAAAATCTGCAAGTAAGTGTTGGATAAAATATGTGGAACTGATTAAAAAAACCTCTGCTGTTGTCTTACATGCCACTGATTCTTCTTTACAGGAAATTTGAATGCAATATGAGAGTATATGCATTTGGGTAGAGGCCAAATACTTGTTTAGTGGCTACTACAGCAGTATTTTTGTCGATCTCCAAGAAGTATTTCTGAAACCACCATTGCATTCCAAACACAGATGATTCAAGAGTACAGGAAGCTTCATAGGGGTGTGTCCCTAATCATTCAGCTTAGGAGTTTGATGGGGATGTTACACAAGAGCAGTAGATATTGGTCTGTATACACCCCTGCAATCTTTTGGGTATGACCAATAGCACTATTATTAAAATTATTAAAATGTTTACAGCCAGTCATTCTGCTTTCTCCCTAGCATGTGTGTAAGGCAGCTGACATCATAAATGTGATTAAACTAATAACATTATGGAGGACAAGACAAATAAAATAACAAAAATCAAACAAGGCATAGAAAAAGGAGAATAGATGGCATTGGAGATGTAATAAAGACCCCATATGACCCTTAGCGTGGTAGTATCAGCAAATGGAGGCCTACTTACATAATGTCCATTTACTAGAAGGCAAACTGTTGAGGGTAACACATACCACTTGTTCAAGGATTTCAACATCACACATTAAAACTAGAAGTGTGAAGATTTGAGATGAATAAAAGAAAATACTGTGTACCAGTTACATGGTTAAACAAGTGAATTTATTACCAGATGTGCGCGATGGCTATCTCTAGAGCGGGTGTCAGCAAACTGCGGCTCTTTGGGCCCTCTGCTGTGGCTCCGTCGGGTGATCCCACCACTGGCTGGCCCCGCCACTCACCCTCCCTCCCTGTCACTCCTCACCTGGACTGAGAAGGTAAGGGCGATGGCAGGGGATGGAGAAGCAGCCAGGGCAGAGACAGAGCGATACAGGGATACAGGGAGAGAGAGATACAGAGAGGGAGGGAGGGAGGGAGAAAGAGATGTCAAAAGGGTTTTGTGGTTCCCGTTTTTTTTTAGCAACCGGTTTTCTGCCCTAATGACCGGCTGGGTAGGCGTGGCTGGGGGGGTGTCATGTGACTGGTGGAAGTGAGTGACATCGTGTTGGCCACGCCGACCCAAGTTTTGTGGCTCCTGGTGTTTTCTTTTCTGTGGGAAACAGGTCCAAATGGCTCTTTGAGTGTTTAAGGTTGCAGACTCCTGCTCTAGAGAGTCTTAAACGGGGAGTAGATAAGTAATATCAATGCTGAGTGAGGTAAGAATTTGGCATTTTGCTAAGCTGCAGCAGTCCAGCTTTTCCTACCATGTTGCCTATCCCTACATTATTCTGTATAGATTATTTGATATTTTTGCTTTATATATTTTTGATCTTTTTTGCATTTTGCATTTCTGTACACTTGCTATTAATTTCTCCTTCCTCGGGGAGGAAGCATATTGGAGGTGGGTTGGGATGGGATTACTACTGTCAAAACAAACATTTAAAAAAATGTACCCAGAATTGGATAAAACTCATTAGAAGCCAGCCTTAAGTTTCTTATTTCCTTCGCTTGACGGCAGAAGACAAATTCTGCTTTTAGCTATAGGCTGATCATTTCTGTCCTCAAAAAAATGGCCCAATCTAATTATTATTATTTTTGTGCCTTTGAGTCAGTGTTGACACTTGACTGCCTGGATTAGTTTTCTGCAGTTTTCTTGGCAAGATTTCAGAAGTCGTTTGCTTGTTTCCTAAGATAGGAAGCTAGCAACTGGCCCAAGGTCACCCAGCTGGCTTTGTGCTAAGGCAGGATGGTGGCTTATGGCCTGGCGCCTTAACCACTACACCAAACTGGCCCATAAGTGCAAATATGAAGAACGTCTATAATTTTGACAAATTTGCTTTCTTCCTGTCCTTCAGAATTAATTGGCTCAATAAAACCTATAATCTTCCCTTGATCTTTTCGATATAACTTGATTCTCAAACCTCAATAATGTTCCTTCACTCAAGTTTATTGGTATTAAGGCAGAACGTAAAGTGAAATTGAATATGAGTGAAATAATACGGGGTCAGCCTAGATGACCTCTGAAAGACCCCTTGACTAATTATTATAAAAGACAGTTGCTGGGTTCAAAAAGTTAAACCGTAGAGTTAACACACTTTCTACAGTTGGAGAGTTCAAAAAGTCAAACCGCAGAGGTACTATGTTAAAATGCAGAACTAACCCACATGGAGCTTTCCTGCCTAAGGAATAAGGGAGGGAGCTAGCTAAAGAGGCAGATTTCACATTTTCTGTTTTGTTACTATAAAGATACTTGTCTTAAAGAAGGTCTTTTGTTCAGAACTTAAATAGAATGCATGTCTGAACCTTTTGGCCAAAATAAATAAAAGCTTTTTCTGATCTCGAAATTCAATTCATTCATTATTTTTCTGCAACAGTATCTTTTTCCAAATTTAACAGATACCTGAGCAAGACGCAACTCAAAATCAGATTGAATTCGAAACAAACTGCAGAGCCATTTCTCCTTCTCACTGAGGTACTGTCCTCTTGAATTGCTATACCATCCTCTGTGGTTTTAATGTTTATAGTTCTCTATAACTTTATATATTTTTTTTCAAGATTAGTCAGTTTCCAAACATTTTATATTAGGATCAATTTTTGTTCCCAATGCAGACACACCTAAACTTTCAGTTATTTTCTATATTTCAGTGACGGAATTTTGAATTTGCTGCAGTCAAAAATACTAAGTTTCTCTGTGATTTGTATGGTGTTGAAGTATTTCCTCTATTTTTGCTCCCAAAACTTTTAGGGAGATGAGTGTTATGGAGGAGTTTCTTACGTTACCACCTAAAACAATGCTGATTCACAAATTGCAATATTGTACTTCAGGGTGTGGCTAACAATCAAGTGTGCATCCACCTGATGGTATTTCTTGGTTACATACATTTTCTCATGTATTAACACCAGTTTGCTCTAGGGAACCAAGTCATACATTATACTGTTCTCCTGTTTATCAGATATATCCAGATGCATTAGCATGATGCCCCACCCATACTACATACAGTAACAGCTGACACACACTCATAGTGTTTACCCAGCACCTAGACATCGCAACAAATACGGAGTTTGCTGTTCAGATCCTAGACATCATAACTTAGATCACAGGCCAAACTGCATGTACCTTAAATAGGGGGAATCTATCCTTAAACATATCCCAGAAAACTGATTCTGGATTTATCTGATAGCTTGACTTTTAACAAAACAAAACAAAACAAAACAAAACAAAATCCCTGCATTGGCAACTTTATTAAATTCTTAACAGCCCTAAAGCAATCTTTATTTCCCCACCTGATCTTTCCCATAGAAGTGCTACACGAAACAGCATGAAGGCATTATGGTCTAACGGCTATGGCCCCAGGCTAGAAATCAGGAGATTGTGAGTTCTAATCCCACTTTAGCTATAAATGGTGGCTGGGTGACTTCAGGCCAGTCAATCTCCCTCAGCCCAATTCACCTCCCAAGGTGGTTGTTGTGGGGATAACAGGAAGAGGAAGACGTATTAGATATGTTCACTGCTTTGAGTTATTTATAAAAATAATAAAGGCAGGATAAATGTCTAGAGGCAACTGGACTTTCTGGTTTTTCTTTGAACACATTTCACTTCTCATCCAAGAAGCTTCTTCAGCTCTGAGAATCTCCTGCCTTTAATCAAAATCATAAATAAGAATAAATGATCTGAAAGTCTCCAAATCTCAGGACTTTCTGTGGGTAGTTCTCCTATGTCTTCTGCAAAGTAACTCACCTAGCACCCACCTTGATGTAATTTCTGTGCAGGCCCATAACTAACATAAGAATTTGAGGCAAGGGTGGGCGGAGATATTTAAAAAGAGTATAAAAGAGCACCTGTAACTTCTGTTGCAGAAGCTGTTTCTATCAAGGTGGAGAATATATTGTGGTTATTAGAATCTATTTGTAATCTGTCCTTTAATTATTTTTTATTGCTGCTGCGTCTTATAAATTACTTCAGCCCTCTTGTCGGGTGATCACTATTTTAGTGTTTGTTTCCAGTGAAAATCTTATTTTATGTTATTGCTTAACCTGATTAAGATTTGGGAGGGTTGAGGTTACCAAATTGGAAAAATCTGGGAAGTTTTCCTTTTATAAAAGGAAATAAATCCAGGCAGGCAGGCAGGCAGTCCCCTTAATCAGGAACCAAACAGATCTGAGGTGTGCCTTTTCTTCAAATCGGGCTGCTTTTTGAAGCACCTTTGACACAACGATGACCTGGATGACTGAGGATGACTGACAATCTCTGCAGGCATCTAAGGCGTCTGTCTGCCCTGAGGACAAGACCGTCCCAATCCCGCCCGCCAAGTCCCCGAGTGAAAGAAAAAAAAATGAAACGAAGGCGGAGTAGAAAAAGAGATGCCACTTTTCTTCAAGCCGATCTGCACGTCCGAACCGATCCCCCCGCCAGAGACCGACTGGCGCGGTGAGCTCAGTACCTCGAGGAGGCCCTGAGGAAGGAAGGAAGGCAGGCAGGATGGACGAGGCTGACGGACCCGGGACAGGGAGGTTCCCAGCAAGGCGAGGCCCAGCAAGAGACGAGGCTTTCTCTCTAACGGCGCCCCTCCCAGCGCAGGATGGGCAAAGGCGCGACGCGCCTCGGGTTGTGTGCGGGCCGCGGCGCACGTCCCCTCGATGGGAAAGATGACGCTCCGGCAGGAGGAAGGCGGGAGGCGTGTCTGACCGGCGGAGCTGAAGAGCTCCATCCAGCCCAGGCTCGCTTTAGTTGCGGCAGACAGAGGCGACATGTCGCTGGTGCCTTCTCGTCGCCTGTGCCGGACGCTGCTGGTCCTCCTCCTCCTCCTCGCCCTGCTCTCCAGAGGCGCTTCCGCCGAAGCCCCGTCGGCGGAGCAACGCTGCTTTTGTCAGGTGAGCCGGGCCGGCAGGTAAGCGGGTGCCTCCTTCGCCCACCCCGCTTAGGGCTCGCTCAGCCCGGTGGGGGCAGATCCGGGATATATATATATATAAAATATATATATATAAGAGAGCCACTCATCTCTCCCGCGTGGCTCCCGGCTTTTGCTGGGGAAGCCTCTCTACAGCACACGGGGCTCGGATCCAAGCTTTGGGCTCGGGGAGACGTCGGAATGGGGGCGCCCGTGTTTCTTTGGGTCCTCCCCCCCCCCGGGTCTGAAAAGAGAAGGAGATTTGGTGGAAGAGTTGCGGTACTGTTAGCGCCAGGACGCTTCTCGGAGCTCTAACCCTGGCTAGGTAGCCCCAAGGCGCAGGCTTGCTCTGTAATTAAGCCTGGGATTATAAAAGTGGAAGGGCCATTAACGCTACGGGAGCCCGGATCCTGCTGCCTTTCTGGATAATTTGTTCCCACGGGCTACCTGGTTCGGTGAAGAGAAATTGTGGCCTTTGGTAGGGCTGGAAGGATTGGGAGAAAGAAGCTTTGATGTTAAAAGGGATGATTTATTGGGCTCTCCTAGCGTGCTGCAGCACCTTTATTGTACCTACGATGAGAGTTTATATTATGATGGGAGGTATCTTGGTGTTAGTTGAGGCTACATTCTTTAAAAAGTTTTATGGATTTCACAGCTTGGCTCTCTTCTGTGTTAAACAAATGGTTGAAAGGGATAAAAGAGCAGGCTCTTCTTGTACAGCATCCTTTCCCGGGTTGGTACCTTCTAGATGTGTTGGAAACTGTTGGAAATTTTACAGTTTGGATTGGGTTTAACTACAGGGACTCAGATTCTTGGTTTATTCCTTAGGATACGTGGCTGTCTTGGTAATTATTATTTTTTATTTGATTTATATGCCGCTCTTCTCCGGAGACTCAGGGCGGCTTACAATGCGTTAAGCAATAGCCTTCATACTTTTGTATATTTATACAAAGTCAGCTTATTGCCCCCACAAACTGGGTCCTCATTTTACCTATTTTAGAAAGGATGGAAGGCTGACTCAACCTTGAGCCTGGTGAGATTCGAACTTACAGTAATTGCAGACAGCTGGTGTTAATCACAATGCTTTTAGTCTGCTGAGCCACCAGACCCTTTGCTTTTTTTTGTTTTTAATCTTTTGAGAAATTTATAATAATGAATGGGAGGCTACTGTGTTGTAAAGCAAAGACGCACCAACTTCAAACATTCTGTGTAGAATTTCTAATTATACCCTTAGGGTACACACAGAGTTGTAGCTGTATTTTGTTTGCTGTCTGATACATGGAGATTTTGTGATTGGTCACACATCCACTGTGGTAGCCATTGGATGTGGAATTTTAACATGCTTTTGAAATTCACTAGTCTAAAATGTTGGTGACCCCGGGCTTAACATATATAAAGCATATAAACCATAACATGTATTAATCCAGGGAACTCTGAATCTAGCAAGCTGTAATTTAGTGAATTATTTGAACCAGGGCTGAGAATTTCAATCCCAAAATACTGAATCTGGAACTTTACATACTCGCATAGGAGTAGACCGCATTGGATTTATTACAACTTCTGAGTAGACATGTAGAGCAAAACGACTAAAAATTGTTTTTAGTGATATGGCCCCTGGTTGTGTGGACCAATCTCTCATCTAAAACTAAGTTGTCAAACCTAGACCAAGGCTTGATAAAGACAAGAGCTTTTCCAAATAGTTTTTGGTATTGATTAGAAGATGCTGTCTAAGTGGGATGGGTGCCTGTTTTTAATGTGTTGTTTTATTATGATGATTTATTCCAATGGACAGTTTCACTTAACATAAGTTTAGTGTGGATGATTCATTGCACTGTATTATGTTGTGTAATTGGAGGAGTCATAAAATATGGCAGTATACAAGAATAAGTTTCTGAATTGCTACCAATCTGAAAGGGTCCTTTAACTTTCACAATTATTTTTTTAATCTACAAAATAATAGAGCTTATTTCCTCTAAATTTAGTGCATTGAAAATGCAGCCTTCATATCTTTGGCAAAAAAAAGATTCCAAGTTTTCTTGTGGCTTCTCAAAAACTCATTGCTGTTATTTCTAGGTAGGTTGTGCTAAGTATTCTGGAACTACTTAAAGATGGTCTATTTTTATTTTTTGCTAATTACCATGCCTATGCTAAGAATAAGTACCAGTAGAAAAAAAATGTTTGTAACTCAGGATTGAGTTGTGCGGTCCTTGGTGATCTCTGAATTTGGTTTTCTTGCAGATGTTTCATTACCAAACTAAGGTAACATCATCCACATATTAAAAATCATCCTGATATAGCTGCTCTCATCTGCTAGCACTGATGATGTTTCCTAGTTTGGTAATGAAATGGCTGCAGGAAAACCACTGAGCTCAGAGAGCACCAAGCAACCCAGTAAGAATAAGTAACCTGATGATCTCCAGATATCTAGAAATTCCAATACCATTAATTCTAACCTTCATTGCTCATGTCAAGGGATATAAATCCAATTTTGCTGATTTGTGTGCTGCTTCAGATTTAGGCCTCATTTTTATTAATAGGGAAGTGTGTATATTTGAGGTGACACACATGATTGAGATCTGAATTAACTTTTTTTTTGGTAAGATATGACAAAATGAACATCATCACTTTTTTTGAGGGCCTGATTTACAGTAGTTTCTTTCATATACTGGGATTCTTGCATTAGGCTAAGCTGTAATATAGCCTTGTTCATGGTTTACTATTATAATAAAGTCAGCCAATTATGATATGTTCAGTAAGTAACCCATGGTTAAGAAAATTATAGTTTGTTGTGTTGTACAAAGATAGCCGAGCTTGTTCAAGACCTCATTGCATACATCTCCAAACTGATGTATGTTGAGTTGGAGTATGAGGCCGTGTGGAGAGCATTGTTCCAGAAAGGATGCTTTAAAGACATAGCTAGCAGAAACTTGCTCCAGAATCACTCTGGATTAAGATTGCAACTAGACACAAGAACAGTTTTTTCCCCGAACGCCATCACTCTGCTAAACAATTCCCTCAACACTGTCAAACTAGTTACTAAGTCTGCATTACTATTAATCTTCTCATTGTTCCTGTCACCCTCCCACTTATGACTGTATGACTGTAACCTTGTTGCTGGTATCCTTAAGATTTATATTGACTGTTTTCCTATGACTATCATTAAGTGTTGTACCATATGATTCTTGATGAATGTATCTTTTCTTTTATGTACACCGAGAGCGTATGCACCAAGACAAATTCCTTGTGTGTCCAATCACACTTGGCCAATAAAGTATTCTATTCTATTCTATTCTATTCTATTCTATTCTATTCTATTCTATCTATTCTATTTCTATTCTATTCTATTCTATTCTATTCTATTCTATTCTATTCTATTCCTAACCTTCTTCAGTGATCTTTCCTGAAATCAGCATTGCAAGAACAGCATACTCTCATTTTTTGGTTTTGCAGTCCCCTTCATTTGCCCATGTTGCTGTATTGATTGCTTCAGGCAGAGTATAATATAAATGAATTTTAAGAGGTACATGTTTATTTCAAAAGAAGGGATAAGGTACATTCGTTCCTAAATTAATAGACATCCCTAATGACTTAATGAAAATGAGTTCAGTCAAATTCTTACTGTCGGTGAGTTTTATATTCAGTGCTTTCATCTATAGGTATATTGCCCCCTATTCTTTAACAAGGAAAGAGTTTATTGCTACAAGAATAATTCTGTCTAGTGTGGTTTGAGCATCTTTTGAGTTAAAGGCTCTTCCCTATTTTGTAGGATTGAATTCTAAAATATATACACAATATATAATGATTGTGCTTAAGGTGTATTTCTGTCTGGCCTTTATGAAGTTCTTAATGGCTGGTTCCATTGGATGATGTGAGGTTTTTTTAGTAGAAAACATACATTGATAAACATACAATGATTAAAAATAATTGTATGCATTAGCAAAGCTTGCCAGCTAAACCAACTCTCTCTGGATCACACAAGGAAGTGAGACATTGCTACCAACTGTAGGATTTTGTCAACAAATTGTGTTAACACTTCAGTGTGAAGCTTTTAAATGTGACTAATAACTTGAATTGTACTAGGCAGAAGTCAAACGGGTAGTTTGTAGTAATCTCTCTCTCTCTCTCTCTCTCCCACTCTCTCTCCCTCCCTCCCTCTCTCTCTTTGCAACTTCCTTGTAAGGCCACTATAAATCTCCCTTCCCCGGAAATTACTCTTTTCTGAGCTGTTTGTCTCGCATTTGGCTTCTGAAGCAATCACACAGCTAAAACAATTACTGAATCACCAAGTAATTTGAATACATTTGTTTTAAATGATAGATTACTGAATGGATCCTTTCTTCCTCCCTTAAGGCACAGGTGATGATAATTAAATTAATTTCAGCCCTGTCATTTTTGTTTAAAAAAACACCCAAGTTATGAAAAGAATCAATAATGCACATAAAACAGGATTGTCTTTCAACAAAATGAAATAGGTAACAATTTTATTGCTTGTCATTTTTAAGTTGTTTGTTTTAAAAAAAAAAGTAGAATGGTTTTTACTGCCCATGAGAAAAATAGGGAACAGATGTTTTTCTTTGGGGGAAGCGACTGTTCCAACGTCTGCATGGTCTCAAACAAAAATAAATGTAATCTTGGATGGCTAAGGAGGCTTCTGAACAACACTGGAGATGTCATTCTGTTTTTGATTGAGGAGGTTTGGATGGAGAACAACAGACTTCAATTGAATCCTGGTATGATGGAGTGGCAATGGGTGGGGGATTCCTTTGTATGGGGTGGGGGGATTTACCAGTTTTGGTATTGGATGGGTTTGCACTGCTCCAAATGAACCTGGTGTGTAATCTGTGGGGGGGGGGGTTTCCTCCTAGACTCAGGATTTTTGCTCAAGGAGCAGGTAGTAATTGTGGTTAGGAGACCCTTTCCTCAGTTTTGTGCTGTGTACCAGTTGTGCTCTTTCTCCAGCTACCAGCCCTGGACGACATCTTTGAATCTCGCTGTTTGAGAAAGTTGCATAACATTCTCAGAGTCTCTTCCCATCCTGCTTACAATCTTTTGGGACTGTTGCCTTTTGGCAGAAGATACAGAATAATTAAAACTCAGACCACACATTTTCTGAATAGTTTTTATCCCAGAGCTATAATTGCACTCAACAATGAACTAAAGGGCCACCATCAGTGAGCTGTTGGACAGGATTACTTGGTCTGTTGTGTGGATGTTTGGGTGGCTTAGGGGTGGGGAATTACGGTGGGTGGGAGTGTGTTTGGGGATTGTTATGTGTGTTGGACCTGGTCTTTGGGTGTTAAGTGAATTTCATTGTATGGGTATACTGAGTATTTAATAATAAAGTATAACTTTATTATTATATATTATGTATTATATTATTGGAAAGTTGTTTCCTTAGCCACTCATGTCCTGGTCATCTCAAGTATGGACTACCGCAGTATGCTGTACATGGGGCTACCCTTAAAAAATATCCAGAAGCTGCAGCTAGGGGAGAATGTGGCTACATGGGTAGTTCTGGTTGCCCCTAGGGGTGCATATGTAACATTTCTGTTGTGTGAGCAGCATTGGGTGCCAGTTTGCTTCTGGGTCAAATTTATGGTGTTGGTTATCGCCTTTAAAGCCTTTCATGGAGTGGTGAAATTTAGCTGGCTCTATCTGGATCGTGCAAATCTGGCTCCGTCCACCCGCCTGGATGTCATCACGTCCTGTTTTTGACCCTCTACACATGCGCAGAAGACTCTGTGCATGTGTGGAGGAGGCATGCATGTGTGGAATAGGCATGTACGAACGTAGCGAGCACGCACACGCTCACATTTGTGAACTGGTAGTGAAGGTAAGCGAATACCACCCCTGCTTTCATGAGATGGGACCAGGTTACCTGAGGAACCGTCTTGTTCCAATTACATTGACCTAATCAGGCAGAGGGGGTATGTTACAAACCCCATCTGCTAAACAATTCTGTCCAAATTCCAACCTGTGAGCCTAGGAAGAGTGTCTTTCTACCACTGCTGTTTTGCTTAAAACTAGCAAATGCCAATTTTGGACAAAAATGGCAAAATGAGGTCATGTGATCGTGGCAACCTGCAAACAGCTATAATTGTGGGCTGGTTGCTGAGTGCCCGATGTGTGGCCATATGACCTCCAGGTGGGCAGCCGTTGGAACTTCAGAATTGGAACGTAGGGACCTTTGGGGGGGGGGAATCCATCATAATTTTGAATGGTTACTAAATGATTCACACTCATTTGAGCCGAGGTGGCGCAGTGGTTAGAGTGCAGTACTGCAGCTACTTTAGCTGACTGCTAGTTCAGCAGATCAGCGGATCAAATCTCACCGGCTCAAGGTTGACTCAGCCTTCCATCCTTCCGAGGTGGGTAAAATGAGGACCCAGATTGTTGGGGGCAATATGCTATTTAGTTTACTGTCTTTGGTGTAAGCCGCCCAGAGTCCCTCGGAGAGTGGGTGGCATAGAAATATGACTAATAAAATAAATAAATTTACTCCGCTAGTTATTGTGGACTATAGGGGCTGATGTTCATCTCCCATTGAGCTAGCAAAGACATTTCTGTGATCATATGGCCAACATGTAATATGTATACATGAAAGAAAATTTTACTGAATTTGGTGAAATTTTAATTTAGACAAATGAGTCCAGATATAATGTGTGAGAGAAAGAGGGTGATGACAGCCCCTCCCTCATAGTTTAATATAGCATTAGTTTGATTGATGCAGCGTATAGTATAAGTTCAGGGAACGCAGTGGCTCAGTGGCTAAGATGCTGAGCTTGTCGATCAGAAAGGTTGGCAGTTCGGCGGTTCGAATCCCTAGTGCCGCATAACAGGGTGGGCTCCCGTTACTTGTCCCAGCTTCTGCCAACCTAGCAGTTCGAAAGCATGTAAAAATGCAAGTAGAAAAATAGGGACCACCTTGGTGGGAAGGTAACAGCGTTCCGTGCACCTTTGGCGTTAATCATGCTGGCCACATGACCACGGAATTGTCATCAGAGCAGTGCTGGCTCTTCAGCTTAGAAACAGAGATAAGCATCACCCCCTAGAGTCGGGAACGACTAAGCACGTATGTGCAAGGGAATCCTTTACCTTAAGTTTGATTGTCGGGTGCAAGAAATAAGGAACCAGGATACAGTCCAAAAGTCCTACAAGTTTATTTCAGGCTACTTGTTCACAAGAATCTGAACTACTAACAGTCAAGGTGAATTGGCCCCAGGTAAGACTCAATGGACATTAAGGGGAGGGGGCTGGACTTAGGACTCTTACTGGAGTGTAGAGACTCTAAACTGACGATTCATTTGACCCCTCCCTTGGTTTCTGCCTGATCGTCTCCTACACTGATATAGACAGTAGGGTTCTTTAAGTTGGCAAGATTCTGGTTATATAGGTGTGGAACAATAAAGAATTCAGCTTGGAAGAATCACCAGGGTGTCATTCTTAGTTTGGGACCTGACAATTTGGACATAATGGCCAATCAGAACCTGGTGCACGTTTGCATACTTTCCTCTTTTCAGTAGCAAAACCATTGAGTAAGTCCCGTATAGTTGATTCAGTAAGAATGCTAGCTTATGTAAAACAAAATTTAGGATTCATAAACCAGAAACAAGTCCTAATAGTACTATGGGGCAAAGCCATAACTACTGGTTTGAGTAACACTAAATTAAGCAAAATATCCTTTCCCCTCAAAAAGGAAGTATAAAAATGTGAGGCAATGGGAGAAGGTGGAGTGAATGCCTCATCTCCCCTTCTAGCTTCAAGCACGCTTAGATACTATGAGAGCACAATTTTCTTTCAAGCATAGAGATTATTTGGATCTTGGGTATTCAGAATTCTCTCTCTCTCTCTCTTTTTTTCTAAATGCTGAGTAAATTGTTACAGGAATTATATTGGTCTTTTAAAAATATCTAATCCTTTTTTTTTCTCATTAGGTCACCGGTCATTTAGACGACTGCACTTGTGATGTTGAGACTATTGATACCTTCAACAATTATAACCTTTTCCCCCAGTTGCAAGAACTTCTGCAAAGTGATTATTTCAGATATTACAAGGTAGCTGTTTACTTTTCTTAAGCATATATGGCCCTATTCATCGTGACATTCTCTTTTTAGGAAAAGCAATGTCCTACATAGTGGAATAAGAAACACTAGGCCAAAGAAATTAAAAACAAATAGTAAGAAAAAAGAGGTAAAACTTTTTATGGTTACAGTAGCAATAGCACTTTACAGTGCTAAGCAGTTTTCAGAGTCAGCATATTGTCCCCAACAATCTAGGTCCTCATTTTACCCACTTTGGAAGGACAGAACGCTGAGTCAATCTTGAGCCTGGTGAGATTTGAACTGCCAAATTGTAGTCAGCTGGCAGTCAGCAGAAGTAGCCTGCAGTACTGCATTGTAACCACTGCACCACCTTGGCTCTTATTACTTGCTATAACCATCTTACTACTTCCATGCCCACTTACTAAGCTACTTCCTTTAAATTTATCACCTCTCTTGTTTGAGGATCTCACCAGCTCCATCCAACCAAAACCTTCTAAATCTTTCTGGCTGAGAAAATCTGGGAATTGAAGTCCATATATCTTAAAATTGCCATGTTTGAAAAACATTGTTTTAAATGGTGAATCCACCTCACTTATTTTGTACTGATCACTTCTGTATTTTTACCCAGTCATTCTGCACCTATTTATTCTTGACTTTATCAAGGGAATCACAAATCTTTTCTTCTTATCTGCCCAGAGTTGAACTAATTTCTAAGCTATCCACATACTTTCATGCTCATTTTACTTCTACTGTATGTAGATATACCACATATGCCAACTAAGTTTCAACTTCTCATTCAGACAAAACAGTCTGTAATCCAGGCTTATTTTTATTTACATGATATGTTTTTTTCTAAGTCCAAAAATGTACAAAATATTTCTCCATATAAAACAATTGCCTCTATTACATTTTTAATGTTGTCAGAGTGTTTATTATTTGTTTTATCATATTTTTCCTTGGGGATGAACATAACATTTATAGCATTTATTTCAGCTACACTCTTTCAAGTATGACTCTTACCCTGAAATAAACCTCTGAATTACTCCTTCCAACATTCCCTCACTATCATGTCATTCCAAATCATTTCATTATTTTGATTTGTAAAAATAATTTTCCATTCTGCTACTATAACTCCATAAACATCCGTGATATCCCAAATCTCTTACATTTCACATTGTTACAACATGCTGCCATGTTCTCTTTCCCCCTTCATTCATTTAGATTACAGTAATTTAACTTCTGATTATTTTTCATACTCTTCAGAACCAACTATAAAATAGTTCGGCATTTTCTACTTTTTACAAAAGTGCTTGTTTTTTGAGAATGCTTATTGTACATACTGTATGTAGGTACGTTTACTTTTTTTAGGAATCAAATCTGAGATAAAGGTCTCAGTATTACTTTTCAAATTCTTAAAAAATTTATGCATAAGGAAGAAAAAAAGTTGTTTATGTGGTATATACAGTTTGGTGAAAAGTAGTGGTTTAAGGCACCAGGTTAAAAACCAGAAAACCAATAAGTGACCAGTTTTAATTGTAATTCTAGTCCTGTCTTAGTCATGAAAACCAGCTGGGTGACTTTGGGCCAGTCACTCTCTCAAAGCCCAACTCTCCTCTCTTGTTGTTATGGGGAAAATAGGTATGTTAGCCACCTTGAGTTATTCATCAAAATAATAGAGGTGAGAAGGCAATAATTAAAAATACGCTTTAATGGGTTGCCAAAAATAAATTGCATTCAATTCCAACAGTTACTACTACACAATTCAGCCCATTTTTCAGTTTCATGACTTAGCCTTGGTTAAAATATGTCGTGTTTTGATTATTTAGAATCACAGAAGACAGTATAGAACAGGGGTGTCAAACTCGATTTCATTGAGGGCCACATCAGGGTTGTGTTTGACCTGGGGGGGCCGGGTGGGTGTGGCCAGCTTGACATCAAACCTGCAGCTCTCTGCCAGCGAAAACACAGCTGGGGCAGCGTGTGTGTCTCCTCCGGGCTCGGTTTTCAGCTGCAATGGCCTCCTACAGACCTCTGCCAGTTTTCACTGGCAGAGGGCTGTAGGAGGCCGTTGCAGCCAAAAACAGAGTCTGGGAGGGTTGCAGGATGCCCTCAAGAGCTCCGTTTTCACTGGCAGAGACACTGAAGGCCGGTCCTTTGCTGTTTCCAGGGCGGCCTCGCAGGCCAGATCTAAGCACTTCGCAGGCCAGATCCGGCCCACGGGCCTTGAGTTTGACACCTCTGGTACAGAAGAAAGCATTAGCAATGAGTGACCAGACTTTTATTTCATCCTTGGTTTGTGTATAATTTAAACACAGTGTTCACTCTTTTCTCCTCTTTTCCAGGTTAACCTAAAGAAGCCTTGTCCTTTCTGGAGCGATGGCAGTCACTGTGGAATTAGACACTGTGCTGTTAATCCGTGCCCATCTGTAAGTGCCAGGAAACAAAATAAAGTCCTTTTCTATTTTCCCAATCCTGATATATTTTAATACATTCTATTTAGCCTGCAGAAGACTTGCTTTATGGAAAACACAAAAGCCAAACCTTGGCAAAATCCCACTTCCCTTTCTGATATTATTCTGCTAATATAGATTATTGGATGATCTTTGTGATGCTTTATTGGTTAATTTCTGGTTTGGAAATAATTTCAGTTGAAGGAGAATTAAATATGTCTTATTTTGTGATAGCAGTAATAAAAATTAAAAGATTAAAAAAACTCATCAAAAAGCCACTGGTTTTTACTTAGAGTGTTCCATGAGCTTGCCGATTCTGGATTGTAAGCCTAGTTTTAACAAAAAGTATTAAACCTGTTATGACGGATTGTCTAAGAAAGCATAGTTAAAATAAATCATGGCTTCATGTGATCCCTGTGATCATGAAATCAGATATGACAATCCTTGGTTTATGTTAAGGATATTGTTGAGTTAAACTCAAAGTGGTGGTTTATAAAGCAGAGTACCGTTAAGAGTTTTATGCACGGAAACGTTTTGAGAGTAATTGTGAATAACATACAGACAAACTGGGTTTTATAGTATTTTACTTTTAGGGAAAATCAAAATCATAGTCCTTTAACAATCCAAGTCTTAGCCATATAAAGCACAATGTAAGATCAATCCAGGGATATAAAATCTTACCAGTTTGTAGAAAAATCAGGAACAATATAAAAACAGTTCAATAAATATCAGAAAGCAGTAAATAAATAATCATGATCAATCAACTGACTATAGAGAGAGATCAAAAAGAGTTACAGCGTAGCAGCAGGTAAAAATGGTGTAGTGTCCACACTAACTATAATTTAGCTCTCCTTAAATACATTTGCTACAGAGCTCAGTCAATCAGGATGCAGAATGACTCAGCACAGTTCTTAAAGCTACATAATACATTCACATAATACAAACATACAATGTTGGCTTATATATTTCCTGGCCAACCAATTAGGCAATAACCATTTCCTAACAGTTTATACTTTCTATTCAAATTGCTTCTCCAGCAAAAAATTGGTAGTGGACCCAAAAGATAAAGCACTGTTGTTTTACATTGGCATATCAAATAAATAAATGCATCAAACATGACCTCATTATCTCTTGTTTTCAGGAAGCGGTTCCTTGTGGAATTAGATCAGAGACTAATAAGGTAAGTAACAAAGAGGCCTAGTCAGAACTCACTGGATCCAGGATAATTGTCCTGTTCTCTATGTGTATTTGAAGAGAGAAACATTAGGTTTTGTTTTTTTTCTTAAACTAATGACATCTTGATTTATGAGTCATTATGATAACCATCAACCAACTTGGCTAGGCCTGTCATTCCAACTTTAAATAGGTATTGTGCATTTAAGATCCCAAGAAACATACATCCCTAAAAAAGTCTAGTAACTATTAGATGAATGGTTTAGCTAGAATAGAGATAGACAAGAGGATTTTAAAAAATTGATCACAAGGAAAGAGGGTGAGTGGCCCATGGTCCATATGGCAGACAAGCAAGAATTGATCTGAGGATTGCTGGTTGCTAACTCACAGAGGTGAATCCGCTTGAATCAGTTTCACATCTCCTGTCATCTTGTTTTACAGTATTCAGAAGCAGCTGCTGCCACTCCCTTGGCTGAAAGCTGTGAAAAAGCAGAAAACCTTGGGGCTGTTGACAAATCTTTGAGGTATAATTTGTTTTTCTGGATAAACATGATGGCGGGGTATTTGCTGGTCGCATGCATTTTCTTCTTCCCTTAGAAGTTAGTTTATTTATTTGATTTTTATCCCATCTTTATGAGTAACTCAAGGCAGTGAACATACTAATACTTTTTCCTCCCCTTATTTTCCCTGCAACAACAACTCTGTGAGGCGAGTTGGGCCGAGAGAGTGGCTGGCCCAAAGTCACCCAGCTGGCTTTCATGCCTAATGTGGGACTAGAACTCACAGTCTCCTGGTTTCTAAGCCAGCACCTTAACCACTTTAGCTTGTACTTTTTACTGTAGTCTGCCTGGACCCACCTTGTCAGAGAGGGGTGATGGAAGAATTGTATATCTTTTCCCCTGCATAACCCAATGGTGACTTTTTTTAAATGTAAAAATCATTCTACTTTCAGTTGGGAGTTTCACTTTGTCCACAAGCAAAAAAATTCAGGTTCAGTAGTTCATCTTACTTAAGAAGCATGCTTTCTGTCTCTTCTGCAGGCATGAGTACAGTTAGTAGCTTTAAAGAAAAGGGGAAGTTTTTCTACTTTGGCAACATCCATTGCTATTTATTTCAGTCAGTTGCAATAGTGCTTAGACTTACAGCAATAGCAGTTAGATTTATATACTTTACTGCATAGAGCAGTGTTTCTCAACCTTGGTAGCTTGAAGATGGGTGGACTTCAACTCCCAGAATCCCCCAGCCAGCAGTGCTGGCTGGGGGATTCTGGGAGTTGAAGTCCACCCATCTTCAAGCTTCCAAGGTTGAGAAACACTGACTTAGAGAGTGCTTTACAGCCCTCTCTAAGCAGTTTATAGAGTCCGTCTATTGCCCCCAACAATCTGGGTCCTCATTTTACCAACTTCAGAAGGATGGAAGGCAGAGTCAGATATGTATAGTAGGTGGCTTAGGCAGCACAATGTGTTTAACCATAGTTTCTTTAATTAAAATGCATTGTATGAACTGTTAAGCTGTGTTTGCATATCACACTAAGTTATAAAATGAGGTTTACAAACCACAGTTGTTGGGTTCATATTGACATAAATCAAAACCATAACTTTATTTTGTTTTAGTGCAAGTGGTGTTTCAGTTATACTGTACGTTCAGCCCATGTTGAAATGCCAAATTCAGGGTTCCTGCCCGCCTTCTTAACTGTTGCCTACCAATGTTTTTGGGCACGTTGATACTACGTGTGACACTTTCACACCTCCCACAGTAATTTTACCCAGGTCCCTGTATTTATGTAGAACCATTTTCATGCACAAACATTTTCTCGCTTATTTTGCAGTGAAGAAACTGCACGGGCTATGATTCAATGGACTCAGCATGACGATTCTTCAGAAAACTTTTGTGAAGCTGATGGTACTGTTGTGTAATGTCTCCATTCCCTGTGTTTCTATTAAGGCTTCTAAGATGGTTGCAAAGATAACAAAATAACAGAATTGGAAGGGATCTTGGAGATCTTCTAGTCCAACCTTCTGCTCAAGCAGAGAAACGCTATACCATTTCAGACAAATGGTTGTCCCATCTCTTCTTAAAAACCCCTATGCCCACAACATCTGGAGGATATAAAGAAAACTGGCATATGTATTTGAGATATACAGACACATATCTGTTATCTTGATGGTCACTCTCTTACTCTTATGTAAAATTTAAATCCCTCTAAACTACCTGGAGTGGGAGGAGAAGATAAAAGAACATAGGAGAAAGCTGTGATTGAAATCAGAGGTCCCCAAACTTTACGGCTTGGCGGCCCAGTGTGTGTGGGGGGAGAGGGAAACTGGCTTGCTGCTTGTGCAAGTCCACCTGTGCATGTGTTGGCTGACTAACTCATGTGGCCTGGTTCCAAACAAACCGCAACTCTGTAGTAGGCCATTGCTCAGAGTTTGGGGACCCCTGGTCCAAATTATAGTGCTCGCCATTTATTTGGTTATATGATGAAAACAGAAAATATCCCTGGGCATTATCTAGATGTTTGGGGAATAGCTGTATGTATTCACAAGGGGACATCTTTAGAGAGCATTCAATGGCATCAAAATGCCAGGTATGACCAGGTGATCAAGGCCATTCTTTTTTACATGTGTAGGTTGAGTGCATTGCATATTAGAAAGGGGACAGAGTTGCCTAGTCATACCCACCATTTTGATATCGCAAGTCTGCCCTGTTTATATAAAAACCACACAAGGAATTTTAACACCAATTTCATTGCCGAAAGAGATAACAGGGAAAATGTTGGGAGCAGCTGCAATTCTCAAATCCGAAATGGTACCCACTTCTGGGCCAGCACCATACAGCCTCACGGCAGATCAGCTGCTTCTTCCCAAAGGGGATCGTCAGAAAAAATGAACTGAGTCATGATATGGAGAGGGGGGAGACAGTAAGACCCAGTGTGGTGGGAAGCCCAGAAGGATGGGAAGTGGGTAGTGGAGCACAGGTAGCTCAGGTTTGGGGGGCCTGGGAGGCCACATGTGAGCTGGGGGGGGTGGTATAGTATGGTCCTGGTCCTATGGTGGTTCTCTCAGGGCCTCCCCATACCTTGAGACATTCTGTGCTCTGCTTAATGACTGCAAAGATTGTGGTTGTTAAGTAAGATGATTGTGTGGCTGCCTTGCTTAACAACCACTATAACACATGACTGTAATGGACATGCTCCATTGCGGTCCTAAATCAAGGGCTACCTGTAGCACTTCCAATGTTTGTAGAATGAAATGATTCCAAACGACCATGGAAGAAGCTTTTGATAGTTTTATCAGGTTGTTGCTTGATTAAATGAGGAGAAGTGTGCCTTCCACAGCATGAGTCTGCAACAGAGAAAGTTGTGGGGGGGTTTCCTCATCTGTTTCATGTTGGAAAAAATGGAACACTGAGGTAAAAACTACAAAAGCAATTGGCAAGATGCATCCTCAGATACATTCTTATTCTCTTTATCTCTCTTTTAAATGCAGTACTTTTTCCTTTCCAGATATCCATTCTCCTGAAGCAGAGTATGTAGATTTGCTTCTGAATCCAGAACGTTACACTGGCTATAAAGGTCCTGAAGCCTGGAAGATTTGGAACAGTATTTACGAAGAAAACTGTTTTAAGTATGTTTATTTGGCCAGCCTTTAAAATTTTAAGATTTTTTTCCCCAAAAGATACTCATTCTATGATTGTACTTTTATTTATATTTTTAACATCTTTATATCCTGCTTTTCAACCTAGTTGCTGAAGTAACCTCAAAAACAGCAAGATAATAGCATAGTTTCAGCCTCAGTCCATGGAAAAGATGTTTATAAATGTCTTTAAAAGGGTGAAAAACTAACAGCATTTTAAATACGCACAGAGACTGACTCACATGCTATGCTAACTCAGTTAACAATGGCTTATTAAAAAATCTGGAGTTGGCTGGCATCACACAACCAGATCTATGCTCTCTGCAAACACAGTGACTGTATTTTCCCAACTTGTTGAGCTAAAACATACCATTCAATAAAAGAACAGGGCTATATTGTGGCTTATCTTGGGCATCTCAGCTATGCACAGATGTGTCCTCAGTACAGAACTCAGCTCTGCCCACAAATTCCTCTGGTGTCCTTTGGCAAAGTGTTTTTTTTCAGCCTTTGTTTCCTGTACCACTAGTACAGACAGAGTATTACATCACAGTTATGCTTTCCCTACCGGTATACCTAATAAATAAAGAGAGCATGTTAGAGAAATCAATGCTGTTTGACTTGAATAATATAAAGGAGCAGCCTGTGTTCCCACAACTTCTTGAAGTTATCTTATTAACTTTTTTTTTTGGCCATCGCTTCAATCTTGAATCCTGGCAATTAATGGATAAATCCATATAGTTTTCTAGCCAACATCAGAAGTAATTTGTCTTCCGAGGACTAAGAGAGAGTGAATTGCCTAAAGGTAAATTCCATCTCTAAGACAAGACTAAAGCTCAAATTTTCCCATTCCTAATTCAGTGTTTATTATCTGCATGTCACTGGTTAGATATTGAAAGAATTATAGCAATGTGAAAATCTTTATTTATAGAGTCTTCCCTGGTTTTAGAGAGTTGATTAAAGCTTTCCCCATCCAGAAATGTTGTTACACTATAGCTTCCATCATCCCCAGCAATGCCAATTGCATGGAATTAGTAGTCTAATATATCTAGAAGGTGCCAGATTGGGATAAATAAAGACATTAAAAGAAAGAATAAATCAGAATGCATCCTTGAAAGAAGTCTGAAAGTTTGCCTTTCCCACATAAACTTGTCCATTCAGCAATTAAGATGATATATTTGAAGAATTTTTTCCACCCTTTTGAAATTAGTAACTGGTAAGTTCAAATGCTTCTCTCTAAATATTGGTCTAATTCAGGGGTCTCCAATCTTGGCAACTTTACGACTTGTGGACTTCAACTCCCAGAATTCCTCAGCCAGCATGCGCTGGCTAAGGAATTCTGAGAATTGAAGTCCACAAGTGAAAATGCAGTGAAAATAATTCAGTTCTATGGTGGTCAATTGCTTTTAGTTATACCTTTAACCAATATTATTTGTACATGGTTTTAACTATAAATAATTAAAATATATTTATCTTATAGGCCTCGCTCAGTAAAAAGGCCTTTAAATCCACTGGCTTCTGGCAGAGGTAAGCTTATCTTTCCATTATTTTTAAGAGAAAGTTGATATTATTAGAAGACGGAGTTTCCATGTATTTGCAAGTATTAGGATTATTGATAAAAGAAGAACGGCAAAATTCAAATTGGATTAACATTTTTCAGTGCGTATTAATGTCACATTTCATGCTGCTACCCTAGTAAAAAAAATCTCTAAACATGGGAGGGCAATCAAAAGATGAGAAAATGGCAAATAAGAATGGGAATGGAGTCAAAAATAGGAAGAAAGCAAATAGAAACAATGTGTTCTTAAAATATTGTCCACTCAAGTGATTAGGCACCAGGCTAGAAACCATGGACTGAAATGGAGTTCAGATTCCACCACAGTCAAAAATGCTAGCTGGGTGACCTTGGGCCGGTTATCCTCTCCCAGCCTAGTCCACTTCACAGGGTTGTTGTTATTGTGGGGAAAATAGGAGGAGGAGAGGAATAAGAGGCAGGGGTGAAATCCAGCAGATTCTGACAGGTTCTAGAGAACCGGTAGCGGAAATTTTGAGTAGTTCGGAGAACTGGCAAATAACACCTCTGGCTAGCTTCAGGGTGGGGTAGGAACGGAGATTTTGCAATATCCTTCCCCCAGGAATGGGGAGGGAATGGGGATTTTACAGTTTTCTTCCCCTGGAGTGGGGTGGAAATGGAGATTTTGCAGTATCCTTCCCCTGCCATGTCTACAAAGCCACACCCACAAGGCCATATCATGCCCACAAAGCCATGCCCACAGAACCAGTAGTAAAAAAAATTGGATTTCACCACTGGTACTAGGTATGTTCTCTGCCTTGAATTATTTGTAAAAAAAATAAAGGCAGGATACAAACAAAATCCTTATAGATTAAAAAAAAAATGTAAACTACAAGGAGTATTACTGATACTGCAAGAAGTCAAAGGGTAGCCAAATAAGATTCTTTGCAGAATAGGAATAATGCTAAAGTATTTTGATTAGCTGCAAGCCCCTCCCCATCAGTCTAGAGATCTGGATTAAATTGTGTAAGTCTGATCAATGACTGAACTAAAGCAGTTTCACTCCGAATCATGTAAGTCTGGGGAAAAGAAGCATAATAAATTCAGCAAAGCAAGATAAGATCATTACTATTTTAAAACAAAGTAGTAGTTCTTGGGGTACAATGGAGATTGATGCACAAGCTTAATATTTTTAGTACCAGTTGTATTACATTGGGTTAGGCAATGATGTTTGGACTGCAACTCCCATAATCCTTTACTATTGGCTTTACTGTCTGAGATTGATGGGAAAGGAAACTCAGAACATTCAGAAGCAAATATTTTCTATTTTATCAGAGTGCTCATACCCATAGAAGTAGCCTAGAAATAATTTAAGGCGTTTCATCTGATTGAAATGTAATCTCTTCTTTTTCTATTTTTAATTTGCTTTTACAGGAGGAGTAAGAGAAAATGAAGGTGAGTGCATTCCCAGCAATAACCAAGAGGATAGATACATTGATGGATGTTAATTATTTGATCCTTGTGGGAAAAAATGTCGGTATTTTGCAAAATGCACACTGACTGCCATGTCTTCTTCCCTTCTTTACACTTCATATGCGCTCTTTCAATATTAAATGCCCTCCAGATGTGTTAGGACTTGGCTATGAAGGTGCCAGGTTCATAAACACTATGCTGGGTGAGGACCTAGTTGAGTTCATCCTTCTTCTTAACATCTCCTTTATTCTGCTGTTGGAGGAATATGTTGCCAGCATGCACCAATGTATTAGCTGATAGGGTTGGAGCTAAAAAGTGAAAGAATTAAGAACATTTTACTAATGTGTGCAGCAGGAAGAGATGAGTGTACCTACTTCAGGGTCATGAGATCAGGGGTGGGATTCTACTGGTTCAGACCGGTTCGGGCGAACTGGTAGCTCCAACGGTTAGCTGGGCGCGAACCAGTTCTCCCTGATGATCAGATGGGCCCACCTGTCCTCCCATGCTATTTTCCTACCTTTATCTTCTCAGCTGATTCACGCGGCAGAGCAGATTGCCATGCCTCAGCTGTGTTTCTCCTCCGAAGAAACGTGGAAGTGGAGATTTCTTCAAACTGCGCACGCGCGATCACCAAACCGGTTGTTAAATTGGGAGGATCCCACCACTACATGAGATGCAATGTTGAGATGAGACCCTGCTTTTGAAAAATTGAAATAACTCTAGTAGTCAACCTTGGCATTAGATGCAATAAATGAAGCTATCATAGATACATTTGTGTTGTGAGAAAACCTTTGTAATGGCTCTTTCTCTCTTTCCAGGGAATATGTTTTACAGCTGGTTGCAAGGTAACTGATTTTTTTTTTTACCACTTTAACTAATGCAGTGTGGATTGCATTGCAGATGCAATGTTGATTACACTGCAGAATTAAATGTCTACCCTTCGAATTGCCATAGTTTTCTCTCAATGTTTCTTACAGATCTCTGTGTGGAGAAGAGAGCTTTCTACAAACTTATTTCTGGTCTTCATGCAAGCATCAACATTCATCTCAGTGCCAGATACCTTTTGCAAGGTTGGTGGCCTCCCTTTCTTCTTAATGCCCAAAAGCAGCTTTTTCCAACCTCTAGACAGGGGAAAGGGGAAGAGTAGGATCACATGGCCATTTCTTCTGCTTCATCACCACAGTGGCAATCGTGAACTCTTAATATCTCTCTTCACTTCCTTTGACGCCCAAAATATCCCTTTGTGATTCCTTGCAGAACCTTGAATCATAATAAAACTGTATAAAAGACTCAAATATAGAAAGAAAGTGAAAAGATCATGATATACTAGTACTGTTCTGCCCCAGCTACGGACCCCAAAGAACGCAGCACACACAAACTCTATACAAAGCTTATTTACTCAAAATAACTTAATCTTTATCATTCAAAGGCTGTTAATGCACTGTCTTAACAGCCTATCAGAATTCTACGATAAGGTAATCACAGTCTTACTAGAGTTGGCAGGAAGCCCAGAAGCAGTTTTGCAGACACGAAAGAGAGTGAACTAAAGTTGTTCTCTACAGCTTGTTGCAAGCGGCGTTCTTTCTTAAATAGGCTAAGGGAGTGGCCAAGCCTTACTCTCGAGGAGACCTCCTCCTGAGGAACCACTCCTGCCTTTTGGCAGCTCTGCGTGCCCGTGTATTGAAAAGAGGCTCCTCCTCTTTATCCTCTTCACTTAAAGGAGCTTCTGGAGGTTCTGAAGGCCCTGGCTGAATCCTTGCCTCTGGCACCACATCTTCTCCAGCCTCCTCACTGTCCAGCTCGAGCGCCAGCTGCACAGGCTGCTGGCGCAGCACCACACCAGCCTCCTCCTTGTCGGAATCAGCTACAATCCGCGCAGGCCACTGGCGGCCACAACACGTACATGCTTGGGCATCCCATCACTGAAATGCGTTTGTCTCTTCTACCGCTGCTTCATGTGGAGTAAGAATTCTGTTGATGATATTGGATACAACCGTGATGTATGAGACAAGCAGCAACCATCAAGTGATCTGACCTCAATTTATTTAGGATTCTGAAACACAGCATGGCCTTTTGAGTACAAGTAGTCCACAACTTACAACAGTTCATCTAGTGACCATTCAAAGTTACAACGCCACTGAAAAATGTGACTTATGACTGTTTTTCACAGTTACGACCTTGGCAGCATCCCCATGCTCATGTGATCAAAATTCAGACACTTGGCAACTGACTCATACTTACGACGGTTGCAGTGTCCTAGGATCTCCTTTTGCATCCTTCTGACAAGCAAAGTCAAAAGGGGAAGCCAGATTCACTTAACAACTGGATTAGTAATTTAACAACTGTAGTGTTTCGCTTAACCATTGTGGCAAGAAAGATTATAAAATGGGGCAACATTCGCTTAACAAATGTCTCACTTAACAACAGAAATTTTGGGCTCCATTGTGATCAAAGATCGAGGACTACCTGTATTGCTACATGGCATAGGGCCAAATTACTTGTGGGTTTGCCTTTCCTGGAAGTATCTCTCCCTTGTATTAGGTTAAACACTGTGGGTGCACTCCAAGTCCCCTCCCTTAAATGTTGGCAATGGGAGGAGCATCTTCTTAAGGGCTGCCCAGTCCTTTGGAACAGACTCCCACCTGACATCTTAGGACTGTTTGCTTAACAACTGTTTGAAGTTACTTGAAGTTACAACAGCGTTGGGAAAAATCATGACCTGTATTTGCACTTATGACCATTGCAAACCATCACACCACCTCTGCAATCACATGATCACAATTTGGGTGCTTGGCCACCCATTCAAATTTACGACGGGTTGTAAGCGTCCTGCAGCCCCATGATTGTGAACTGCAAAGTTCTGGGGTTGTTTTTTTTTTGCATGATTCCAATATATAAAATGGCAAAAAAAATCCCATTGGGGAAGCTGGATTTACTTAATTTCACTGAGTCACTTTACAACTATTGTACAAGTGGTTGTAAAATTGGGTCTAATCATATGGCAACTTGACTTAAAACCTCAGCGGCTTGTGATGGAAATTCCTTATGATTGAAATTCCGGTCCCAATTGTGGTCATAAGTCAAGGACTACCTGTAATGCAATATATTAACACAGTGAACCACAATTAAATAGTTATACCATCTGAGCTGTCATGAAAAGAATATAAAATTTTTCAAAAGTATGAAATGAATTTGAACCGTTAGCAGAAAGCACAAATGATTTATCAGTAAACTGGGGGTCCTCCCTTTCAGGCATATAGGATGTTGCTTAATAGCATCAGTTTGGTTAGTTTTAATCTTGATTTCTTTCATTGGTTGTGCAAACCCAAGCAATTTGTTACGTTTATGATTTTAGTATTATGTGAAGTCAAAACGTGTGTTCATTCGGTAACCAGATTAGCTGTGTTACGTGCATTGAACATAACACATTTGGTTAAACCTTTTTAATTGTGTATGTGTGTAGAAAGACTCTAGTATCTGAGGCAGGGAAGTGAAGCTTATTTAGATCTATGGCTTCTGGGCCAGAAAGAAAACAAAGTTTGTCAGGTTTTATTATGACTGTTCATAGATTTTTCACCCCCAGTACTGATTTAATCAAATGACTGAGCAAAACAGAAAACAGAAGTTTTACAAAAAGTTCTGAGGCAATAAAATGCAGGAAGAAAGAGCCAAACCACACATAAAATAGGAAGTATGAGATCATAGAATGATAGAATGCCTTGAATTTTGCTTCACCTTTCAGCAGGATCAAAATTTAATTGGATCAGCCATACTGGCAAAGAAGCTTTTTAATATTTTATTTATGTGTTGTTTTCCCTGATCTGGATGGTTTTCTTTTTCATATGCTATCAAGAGGTCCCTAGCTGAGTAGCTGAGTCTTCTGTTTACCCTTATCAGTGAAATTAAGACACATGGGAGCAAATAAAGTATGTTTTTGGAGATGCTGCAGGGAGTTTTTCTTCCCTTGTGGTGACTGAAAGGTGGCAAATATATGAACCAGAAATAGGTTTGATTGATTTGATTTGATTTGATTTAGAGTGCTCAAGTCCATGCCTATTCTGGGCGATACACAGTTATAAAATCACTACTAAAAAGATACTGTAAAAACCACAGATATCCAGAAGGAGAAAGGTCATTCTTTCTAAAAACAATATGACACACAGGGTTGGATTAGATTAGATTTTTTTTATCCTGCCTTTATTGTTTTTATAAATAACTCAAGGCAGCAAACATATCCAATTCTCCTTCCTCTTCCTAATTTCCTCACAGCAACCCTGTGAGGAGAGTTGGGCTGAGAGAGAAGGACTGGCCCAAAGTCACCCAGCTGGCTTTCATGCCTAAAATCAGACTAGAACTCACAATCCCCTGGTTTCTAGCCTGGTGTCTTACTTGGAGGAACAACCTTTTTTACGGGACCTTCTAAATATAGAAGTTGGCAATGCTTCAAATCTCATCCATTAAGCAATGCCATTTGATGGAACTTACGAAATGTGCTTTGTCTGTATAAGTTCCTACCTTCTGGAATAATATTCCCTAAGATCTGCTTGAGAAGTAAGTGGCCATACGAAGAAAGAGTGAATGAGTCAATCAGTCAGTCAGTCAATCAATCAATCCCATTAGATTTTTTTTTTTTCAATATGATTGAAGTTGTCCATCTATGTATATAAGAAAAAGAAAAAAGCAGATAGTTGTGGGATGAGTGGGTACTTTTTAAACAAACATTTTGGCCACAGAATGGTGTTCTGATGTGATGATGTCACTTAGCAAGCGCAACCTCTTCCTCTTATAGCTTTGATTTGTTCTACAAGTCAGAATAATAGTAATAAATACAACTCATGATATATCTATTTCGACCCTTCTACCCTTGGCTGAATTTCAGCATCATAGTCTAGGCTAAGGGGTCTGCAGATTGTGTGCTGGGGAGTTGCTTAGGATGAGATGGCCATGAATGATTCTTGAGTCATACCTTCAATATTACCTTTAGCCTTTTCTTTTCTTTTGTAAGACACGTGGGCAGAGAAGAGATGGGGGCACAATGTTACAGAGTTCCAGCTGCGTTTTGATGAGATCTTGACACAAGGCGAAGGACCCAGGAGGCTGAAGAACCTGTATTTCATCTATCTAATTGAGTTACGGGCCCTCTCAAAAATCTTGCCCTTTTTTGAGCGTCCTGATTTCCAGCTTTTCACAGGGGATGAGGATCAAGATGTAAAAACCAAGAACCACCTCCTGGAAATTCTTCATTTAATTAAGTAAGTGCATTTCAGTGTGCTTCTTTGGTCACCGCAAGTATGGTGTCCTGTTTGTAATTAGTTTTGCTTGTCAGTAGTTATTTTCAATGGATTGTTAGTCTCCCAGAGTTGGATGTTGGGTGGGCATAAATTGAATACATAAAAAAAATAAATAAACGAAGTCCTTGGGTTGATGGGATGATTGTGCTGCAAAGAGCAGGTTTTTATTCACTTTACCGGTGTAAAGTAACCAGTTCAAACAAAATTGTAATATAGTTCAATGATTTAATTCAAGGTATTATTGGAAGTCACTAAAAAGCATTGTAAAGAATTTTTGAATGTTAGAACAATATTGGGAAAATGCTAAATAATATTATAAATGTATTCATGTTTTGAGTGTATATTTAAAGCATCTGAAAATTACAGCCTTTTCTTCATCCTAACCACTGAAGGATGAAAAGATTTTATTTATTTCCCATCTTTATTATTTTGATAAATAACTCAAGGCAGCTAATGTATCTAATACTCCTTCCTCCTCTTATTTCTCCCACAACAACAACCCTGTGAGGAGAGTTGGGTTGAGTGACAGGGATTAGCCAAAGGTTACCCAGCTGGCTTTCATGCCTAAATTGGGACTAGAACTCACAGTCTTCTGGTGATCGACCCAAAGTCATCAACTTGGTTTTCATATCTACAGTGGGACTAGAACTCACAGTTTCCTGGCTTCTAGCCTGATGCCTTCACCTCTACACCAAATATGACGAAGCAAGAATTTAAAATAAAGCTTGTAGCCCATTTATTTGATAATGTGCACAATGATACATTCATTGCACACTGTGTGAGAGAGCCAAACAAATAACATTCCAGGCAGATTCTGTAACTAAACTGGGCATAGAAATCCGTCATTCCAAGCTGCAACCCACTCAGGAAAGGCTTCCTTGCTCAAACCGAAATGGGGCACTGCTTATTAAGTAGTGTAAGTTCTCTGCACCTTTTTAGAACTATTTTTCCCATTTTTTCTTTATTATAAATAGGATCCATCATATGAGCCACAGATCTTACTAAATGAGACCCTTTGGCGGGATGGAAGGCGTAGAAGTCAAATAGATAAATAAATAAATAAATAAATAACAATAGAATAAGCAAGCTGAGACTAGTTATGCTAATTTTAGTTAAATCACGTCCACCTTTAAACCAACCAAAATCCTTTTAAAATTTCACAATGCGCATATCTGATTTTAAGATTTATATCAGTAGTGGGTTGCCTCCGGTTTGCACCAGTTCTATAGAACCGGTAGTAAAACTGGCGGGAGGTTCTGGCCACCGACTCCGATGTCACTAAAACGCTTCTGCGCATGCGAAGTGAGCGCACATGTGCGGCCCCGCTGCGAACCGGTAGTAAAGGTAAATAGAACCCACCCCTGGTTTATATGCAGGTGAAGAATGCTGGACTCACTGTCATCTTGTTAAGGGGAAAACCAATACCGGTAGCAGCGTGTGGATTTATTTCCCATAGCGCCTGAGAGTAGAGCAAGAACTAACGGATATTTGATAGGGAGAGATCCAAACCAACCATGAGAGTTATTATGCAGTGGAACATCTTTCCTTGTGGGATGATGATTGTTCTATCACTTGGGGTTTTCAAACAAAGGATGAATTGCTATTTGTCTGAGATGGTTTGGGGATTCTTGGGCAGGAGGTGGATAGAAGACCACTAGAAGACTTCTAGTGGAAGTCCCTTCCAGCATTATGATTCTATCCGTCACAGTGATCTATGGCTCCAAGCTCTTTAACTTCCAGGTATCAGAACTGACTGGAGGAAAAAGGTAGTTTGGTTAATAGAATGTGGGAAAGTAAGTTAGAGAAAAATTCAGTTCTTATCACCAAACCTCTCTTGTTTGTTTATATGTATCCCACCTTTTATTATTTTTGCAAATAGCTCAGGGTGGTGAACAAATCCAACATATCTTCCTCCTCCTACTTTCCCCACAACAGAACCATGTGAGGTGGATTGGGCTGAGAGAGAATGACTGGCCCAAAGTCATCCAGCTGGTTTTCATGGCTAAGGCAGGACTTGAACTCATGGTCTCCTGCTTTCTAGCCTTCACCACTAGACCAAACTGGCTCTCAAACTAGCTATTTTGTGAGAGTGGGTTGTGTATTTAGATATACCTGGCTGGTACAATGGCATCCACTTAGTCTTGCAATGAAATGGTAGCTCGTTAAAGAAATGAAAATAAAGAGTTAAGAATTGGGCACTTCCATAGGAAGCTGGGGCAGAAAAGTAAGATAAAGAGATGTGAGCAGGCAAGCAAGAAGCCAAACCAGGGGTGAAATCCAGCAGGTTCTGACAGGTTCTGGAGAACCGGTAGCAGAAATTTTGAGCAGTTTGGAGAACCAGCAAATACCACCTCTGGCTGGCCCCAGAGTGGGGTGGGAATGGAGATTTTGCAGGATCCTTCCCCTGGAGTGGGGTGGGAATGGAGATTTTGCAGTATCCTTCCCCTGCCATGCCCACCAAGCCACGCCCACCAAGCCACACCACACCTGCCAAGCCATGCCCACAGAACCAGTAGTAAAAAAAATTTGGATTTCACCACTGAGCCAAACTGATAAAGAAAAGGTAGCACAGAGAGAAGAGTCAATTTTAAACAAAAGTAAACTATAATTCTGAAAAAAAGAATGAAGTTTTATTAAAATACATTTTATCCTAAGCAATTTACATATTACAGTAGTTCATACAGTTTTATTGTTAAATAACATTTTAATTGTTCACAAGCAAGCAATTAATATAATATATATCTCTGTTTAAGCAAGAGGTACTCTATTATTAGAAACAGAATTGAGAGAATATATCAGTTACCAGATCTGGATAGAAATCAAGATGACAGCAATGAGTTACAAGTATTTTGAGGGCTGACCCACACAACCAGCTCCTCCTAATGTGAGTCTGGGTGTCAACAATGCCACTTTGTCATCTAGCCAAAGAAGACTCCTGGCCCATTGTTTTACCAAGAGTATACTTTACTAAAGCTTTAAGTGGTTACAGAAGTAGGGAAGCTGGATCTGGCATTTTTGCACGCAGACAATAAAATTAACTTTCCCTTTTCCGTGGCCATTCCCCTGTTTATTTATTTATTTATTTTATTGAATTTCTATACCGCCCTACTCCCGAAGGACTCAGGGCGGTGCACAGCCATGAAATAAAACACATAGATATACAAAATTTAAAATCGAATAAAATGAATTAATGTTATCAATTAATGTCCAGTTGGATGCCTGTATATTGTTGGGTAATAGACCTTCATTTCCCGAACTTTTCAGCTCTGCATTTCGATGAGTGACCCTGGCCTGGCTGGTTTCCATTCCCCACCCCCATTCCCAATTCCTCCCTACATTCCAATCCACTCCTCATTGGTAATGTCAGGCCGTCAGTTTATGATGCTTGGCTAGCAGAATGCCAGCCATGACAGTGGATTACTCAAGTGCAGGAACACACAATACTCTGCTTGTACTCAGCTTACCTGAGAGGTAACTTCCACTCGCCTTTTCCTTCTGCACATCAAAATACTGTTTTGTTTTTTTAAATTTTTTATTATATTTTTATTGTTAAAGAATAACAAAAAGGAAAAAAAATCAATACAAAAAATCAATAGTAAGGAAAGAAAAAAATTTTTTTCCCCCAACGTGCTATACAAACGGAAAGGAAGTTTTAGGAACTTGAAGTCTTCAATTCTTCCAGAAATCTCTTTGATAAGGTACTGGTGCCGATTCATCCAATCTCCCAAGTGCAAAGTCCACAAATGGTTGCCAAGTATTCCAAAAAACATTTTCTTTATATATACCACTTCTAATTTTAATATCACAAGTCAATTTATCATTTAATGCAAATTTCCATGTTTCATTGTACCATTCTTCTAATTTTAAGTCAACATTTAATTTCCAATATCTAGCAATTATAATTCTCCCCATTATAACCAAAATCCTCACCAATTAACAACTGGAGAAAGAGAATCAAAATACTGGTTTTTGATTTATGCCAGTTCAAGCATAAAGTCTGGTTCATCTACTGCTCTTCATTTCATTGTAGGAAACCCCTTTGTTTCATTTGGCTGTTGTGCACTATAGGTAGTTCTAGATTTATGGCCGTAATTAAACCTGGAATTAAACTGTAATTAAACCTGGAATTACGATCGTAATTAAACCTGGAATCGCTTAATGACCAGTAAGTCATACTGGTCATTAAGTGAGTCAGCCCAATTTTTATTACCTTTTTGCAGTAGTAATTAACAAATGTAGTGGTCGTTAATCAAACTCATTGTTTGCAATCAATGTTTTTGCCAACCAGACATTGGTAAAACTCTTTGCTAGCATTTAATAGTCTGGATTTTTGTTGCCAAGATTTAGCAGTCCTAATATCAGTATAAGATCTCAGTTTTGGGTGGGTGATTGTAACTTTTTAAAATATATTGCTTTATCCTCTAAATAAACATAGCTTTTATGCTATTTCTGATCCTAGTTAAACTTATCTTCATTCCAACTGCAGTTAAGGTCTAAAAGATAAACATGCTAGTCTCTCTTGATTAGTGTCTCAATGGAGTTTGGGTAGCATTGAATCAAAGGTATATTTAACTTATCATTGTCATCTCCAGTACAATTGCTGAAGGCAATCGGCTTTCAACAAGGTTCACTGTAATGAATTGCAAACTTTGTGGAATACAAGGTGTAGCCCTGAAGGTAAATGACAATAGTACATGGATCTCAAAATAACACTAGAATCTTAAGATTCTAGTTGCAACAGAAACCAACACAAAAAGCCCTTAAAAGAACTACTTCAATTGCTGATAAATAGAATTTTTTTTCATTCTCTTCTACAATGAAAGACCTTCATTATTAATAATGTTTCTCTTCTTCTTCAAGATCTTTTCCTTTGCACTTTGATGAAAATTCACTTTTTGCTGGAAACCAAAAAGAAGCTGCCAAGTTAAAGGTAAAATTAAGTCACTTTCAGCTGGGGTGGTGTTGTTACACTTTTTGTTTGTAAGTTCAGCGGCGCCCAAAAGCAGACACTCTTGATACAGGATTGCATTTGTGGCAGTGAAGACTTTAAATCTAGTTTGTTAAGATGATATAGATACTATAAAACATTCCGATCAGAAATTAATTAGAAATTATATCATCAAACAATAATATAATATATTTACGGGACCACCTACTACCACCAATAGCCTTCCACTGGCCGGTACGCTGTGATAGAGAGGGGCTCCTCCAGGTGCCATCGGCCAAACAATGTCGACTGGCGGCCCCTAGGGGGAGAGCCTTCTCTGTGGGGGCACCTACTATCTGGAACGAGTTCCCCCCGGAGATACGGAGGATCCCGGATCTGCGCACCTTCCACCGCACTCTTAAGACCTTTTTATTCTACCAGGCGGGCCTGGCCTAATCTTTTCCCTCTTTTTAATTATGCAAATTTTAATTGGTTTTTTAAATTATTGGGGTTTTAATATGTTTGGGCCAAATTTGTTTAATTCGATTTTACTTTGTTTTTAACTTTTGTATTTATGTATTTTTACTGTTTGGCTGTTCACCGCCCTGAGTCCTTCGGGAGTAGGGCGGTATATAAATTAAATAAATAATAAATAATAAAATAATAATAATAATATTCATAACCAGATTCTGGGAGAGAAGAAGAAAACTCTCTTTGGCTCACCATCTTTTCACTCTACAAAAATATGTGGAATAGGGCAAATCTTGCAATAACTTCTAGAAGGATCCAATAAAATATGGATTGGAAACAGGCAAGCTTTTAGAATAGATAGACCCTGGGAAACTGAGATTCCAGGCATTAGTGTGCTACAACTCCCAGCACCCTTTACTGTTGACTTTGCTGACTAGGACTACTGAAATTGGAATTCAGCCATTTCTGGAGAAGAATAGATTTCCTATCCCCCAAAAGGTAGTTATAGAAAAAGGACTGTGCCATGCTTTGGTTCAAAGGCAAAAATGTACCTATGAATGCACAGGAGGAGTAGATGTAGCACCTATATATCTAGGTCAGTGATGGCTAACCTTTTTGCTGTCATGTGCCAAAAGCGGGGGGAGCACAAGGGGGGTCACGCCCACACGTGCTCACACCCATAATTCAGTGTGCCCCGCCCCCCAAGCATGCGCGTGCGACACCCCTGCGCTCCCCCCACTTTTGGCATGTGATGGCAGGGTGGGCCCAGTAGGCCCATTTTTCACCCTCCCCAGGCTCCAGACGCTTTCTTGGAACCTGGGGAGGGCAAAAACAGCCTTCCCCATCCCCCCAGAGGCCAGAAACGGCCCATTTGCTGACTTCCGGTGGGACTGGAAGGCCCGTTTTTCGCCCTCCCCTGGCTCGAGCCTTTCTAGGAGCCTGGGGAGGGCGAAAACGGCCTTTCCCACCCCCCTGGAGGCCCTCCGGAGGCCGGAAATAGCCTGTTTCCTGACTTTCGTTGGGCTCGGAAGGCCTGAAAATCAGCTGGCCAGCGCTGAGCTAGGGCAACACTCGCGTGCCCACTGATATGGCTCCGCATGCCACTTGTGGCACACGTGCCATAGGTTCGCCATCACGGATCTAGGTAGTTCTTGAATTATGACTATAATGGAGCCTGCCCCTTACGGATGTAACTTGCTACGGTTAGAAAATGTGTTGGTCATGTAACTGACCTGAATTTACAACCTTGTCTGTGGTGGTCATTGGGTGAATCCATGTCATCAAGCAAACATTGCAATTATTAAGCGAACCAATGTTTCGCTATGGGTGTAGTTTTGACAAACATTTCAAATCTGGGGTGTAAGTACTCCCTAGGTAGTCTGTTGGTATTTCAAACAGTTGCTAACCCAAGGACTAGATGTAACTGCTTAAGGCAATTGTGTTTTTCCCCAGGGTTGGTGATATTTCCATGAAAAGATTCCTTTGGTTTTAAGGAATTGCAGAGAGGACTCTGGGATAGGGTAGTTACCTGAATCCTAAAAAGCTCTTATGCTTTTAAGTGTTGCATAAAGGAAGGAAGAATTCCTCCACTTGATCTTCCTGCATTTGCTGCAGAGTTGCATCCTGGAAAACAATAACATAATAAATTAATAAATAAAGCTCAGAAGCATGGTTCTGGATTTTTCTATTTGAACTAGCTAAGGCAGGGGTGTCAAAACTCAAGGCCTGGGGGCCAGATCTGACCTGTGTGGTGCTTAGATCTGCCCCGCGGGACCACCCTGGAAACAATGAAGGACCAGTCCATGGTGCTTCTCCCAGCAAAAACGGAGCTCGGGGAGACCACGCATGTCCCCCTCGGCTCCATTTTCGCTGGCAGAGGGCTGCAGGAGGCCATCGTGGCCGAAAACAGAGCCTCAATGAGTGATGCCAACCTGGCCATATCCACCCTGGTCATGCCATATCCACACCCATCCCAGCCATGCTGCCCCCCGGCTCCCTGAGGTCAAACACAACCCTGATGCGGCTCTCAATGAAATCAAATTTGACACCCATGAGCTAAGGTATCGAATGGAAGGAATACTGCAGATTCAAATCAAAAATAACGAGTGAGTTTTTAAATCACTAATTCATTAGTTCATTTATTCTTTCTCAGGAGGAATTTCGGTTCCATTTTAAGAACATTTCCAGGATCATGGATTGTGTAGAGTGCCTGAAATGCCGCCTTTGGGGGAAGCTGCAAGTAAGTTACTCCACTCCCCCCCCCTTTTTTTTTTCTTTCCTGTTTCTTCAGCTTCTTTGCAGTGGTGACATTTGTCTTCTGTTGCTATCTTCTCAGTGCTGGCTTTGTATGCATTTGTTGTCAAGGCTTGAGTTTATGTATCCAGAATTAGCCCATCTGTCTTTCTTCAACTTTCCTGCTCTTAGCCATTGCCAGGTCTTATATTATTATACTTTTATCCTCCTCCCCTTTTTATATATAGTTCAACATGATGAACATGCTTAGTTCTCCTGCCTCCAATTTGTCCACAACAACAACTCTATGAAATGTGTTGGCCTTAGAGAGAATGACTGGTCACTCAGATGGATATCATATCTAAAGGAGGCCTAGAATTCACATTTTCCTGGTTTCTAGGCCAGCACCTTCACTACTACATAACATTGGCTCTCTTTATATCTTTTCCCTTCTCCACTCTGCACCAATTAGAGTCTCATTAGGTTAATGACAATGACGGGGTTTTTTTAAGAACTGTAGCTAGAACTTCCTTGTTTTTAAATTACACAGACACACGGACATAGACATATGCCCTAAATGTAGTTACATTCTGTTATGTCATACACAAAATGCACCAATTGGAAGGTCCAATCAATTATATAATTTCTTCTTTTTGATAAGTAACATTTATTTTACTATTGAGTTTTATTTTGTACTGGTCTTCAACTGCAACAAATATATCTGACTATATTTGCTGAATGTCAAACTTGACCCTAGGAGAGGAATTCCCAGTTGTGCATCAAAAAAAGTAAGAATGTTTTTGCTGTGAGGATTTTGACCAGCAATAAATCTTGCTAATTCAGTATTTGTATTATTTTCTTCTTTACTTTTACGTTAAAATTGTATTGATTTAGCTAATGTAATATTTGCATATTTGATCAGATAGGACGTTTGGAGGACTACCCATTCATTAAATACTTTATTTAAATTGCCCAGTTTTTACTTTAAAAAAATGCTGGTAGTGATTACAACCTGACTTCCTGGTGTGATGTTTAGTTGAGATCTTGTTCCCACTGTGTACAGACTCAGGGCTTGGGAACGGCGCTGAAGATCCTGTTTTCTGAAAAACTGATAGAAAACATACCAGAAAAAGGTCCTTCACATGAATTTCATCTAACAAGGCAAGAGATTGTATCCCTCTTCAATGCTTTTGGGAGGTGAGTTTGACACTTTCTATTTGAAAGATGAAATCAGTGTCATGTATTCTCAAATTATGTTTCTCCCCCCTTCCACAGTCTCTTCCAGATTAGCTAAATAGAGATGCCATGCTACACTTATATCCAAATAATCTTTTTTTCGTTGTCTGATGCAGGATTTCAACAAGCGTTAAAGAATTAGAAAACTTCAAGGAGCTCTTACGTCCGCTTCAGTGAATTGACCCTGATGGAGACCAACTTCCTTATTTTATGCAGATTGGGCTCTGAGTGATTCTTGCTGGTGTGGTGCCAGCATGATCCCATTCTTGGCAAGAAAGGCTAAGTCAACATGATCATAAAAATTGGTCACATTCTCTAGCTTACAAGTTTATATTTGGCTCTGAGGTAGCTGAAATATTCATGAAAGACTCTTTTTCCAAAGCAGGATATATATCAGATATTGGCCTTATGCGTTCTATTTTTTAAAATACACACAAACACACACACACACACACACACACACAATGAGGGTGGGAGAATTGTATCCTTCCTGATAATTGCTGAACTACAACTCCCAGCAGTCTTTATCAGCATGACCGTTAGTGAGAGATACTAGGAGTTGTACTTTACCAATATGTGAAGGACTTCAGGTTCCTTACCCCTTGTTTACAAGGTTTCTTCCAGCCTGAAGGATCTTATCTGCTACTAATGAAAAGGCATAGTGCAGCTATTCTATATATTTTTCTATTTGTGGAAGGAAAAGGCTAGATGAAAAAACCATGGTTACAAATGAGACTTGATGACATCATCTGGATTCCCTGCAAAGCAACTGCATGATAAAATGCCTCGTTTAGACACACAATTAGAATCTCTTCATCTTACATAACAATGTCTCTTAACAAAAATTACTCCCTGCTTCAGTGTCCTTAAATAATCTTGTGTAAAATGCCCGAATCAACCTAGTCTCACATATTTGAGTGAAATTCCATTCACTTGAGTGACAGACTTACAAGAGCCACTTGGGGCAGGTCCACTTGCCTGTTCAATACAGGAATTGACATTAAAGCATTCCCAGCAAGATGGCTCTCTCCTCTCACACGGTTTGCATGTCATCTTTTGAAGCTGGTTGGAAGTGGAACTCCAGACTTAATACTTCCAGTCAGCTCCTGTTTATCATTGAGTTGTATGAGATGGGTCTATGACAATTTCCTGCGGCCAACTTGCCACAGTCAACTTGCCATGGCCAACTTGCTATGGCCAACTTGTCACAGCCAACTGACCGCGGGGCAACTCGCCACAGCCAACTCACTGCAGGACAACTTGCTGCAGGACAAGAGTTACACTAATATGAAAGAAATAGTGGAATAGAATCATTAAAGAAAGGATGCAACAGGAGGGACAAAATGAAATGTAAATGGCAAAAATTAAAATAATTAAAAATTTTATTTTAAATAATTAAATTGAATTGTTAAATTGTCCTACAGCGAGTTGTCCTATGGCAGGGCTGTCAAACTCGCAGCCCGCGGGCCAGATGCGTCATGAACTGGCCACATCCATGCCCGGTTTAGCGAAGGGGAAAAAAGTCGCACTACATCATGTGAAGCTGCTGTGATGATGCGAGTTTGACACACCTGTCCTATGGCAAGTTGGCTGTGGTGATTTGTCCCATGGTGAGTTGGCCATGGTGAGTTGTCCCATTCCAGTATGAGATGCCCTTTTTATTCAAAAATAAAAGCCAAGCTCCGAGTCCAAAGCAACTGATCTCTATCCAGACACTCTCCAGAGATCCCATTGTATATGTCTTCATTCCCAGTTGAAATAGCCATTAGCTGTGTTGGCTGGGAATGATGGAACTGAGACTACGTTACTGGGATTTTGGTACAATAATTTTTCATCTAATGCCCACTAGATGGTTCTGAGCTATGCTGCAGGTGAACTTCAAGAACCATTTAAAACAGATCTGTCTTTTCCTGGGACTGCCTGGTTATCTCTGCAGCTCCTGGGTGATTGCAGAAAAATTCAGATTTGGTTTAAGGAGTTGCAGAAAAATGATTAATAAGTCCCTCCCCTTCTTCCCCCAAATTCAGAAGCACCTTTGCAACAGGGGTGGGTTCTACTTACCTTTACTACCGGTTCGCAGCGGGGCCACACACAAGCATTTTAATGACGTCGGGGTCGGTGGGCGGAGCCTCCCGCCAGTTTTACTACCGGTTCTAGGATCCTATTTTTTTCCCCTCACTCTCTTTAGTTGTCCATTCCATTGAGTGTGCTTACTCCACACAATCTTTTGGTGATTAAAGGAAAGATTAGAAGGTTCAATTAAGGATCTACTGATCATAAAACAAGATACTTAAAACAAATCTTTAACAGCGGAAGTCGTAACACAAGGTTTTGAATTTTATTGCTGTTTTCCATTTTACAGAGCTGTAGATTATGAACCTTTTGCAAATTTTAATAATAGTATCCATCAGAACTTGGGGTAAAATTACGTCTTCATTTTTCCCTTTTAGCATAATACACAGCATTTCCAGAGTAAACCAAGGAAGATGCCAGGAGTGAAGAAAATAATTTTATATCTGTATTATGATACTCTCTCATTTTGTTTCTTAGTGGGCTTGGTGCAATTTTGACACTAGATTGCAACATTTTACACCCTGGTGTGAGAAGTTTCACTTTCCCTTCTTCCAAAAAGTTTCATGAAAAGAACAGTCCATATTTGCCATATTTGTTGCTTTGTGCCAGACTTCCCCAACTTGGGCATGGTATTCCCAGAATTCTCAGCAACAAGTAGCTGCTTGGGGAATTTTGGGAACTGAATTCATGGGAATTTCCCCTCCCACATTGGGAATTTTTTTTTCCTGTGCCAAGATAAACTTTATTTACATAACATTGGAGGGGGAGCGGGTTGTAATAAAACCATAGGGAATTTCTGTCACTGAGCTAGATAGATTTGTAACTTATGTTTATAATAGCCTAGAGGAGGTGTTCTTTTTTTTTTAATTGCCTGGAAAATAAGAGCTACTCAGGGAACTACAGTTATAAGATCCCACACGAGGACTTTCCAATTCCCTACTGTTGCACAAAAGAGGGTCCTTCAGCAGAAACTGGATGCTTCAGATCAAGCAAGTCTTGTATTTCGATAATCCTTCCATTAGCTCTGAAACCTCTACAGGACATATGCTATTGTAAGTTGGCCTGAGGCAGGGGTGTCAAACTCGATTTCATTGAGGGCCACATCAGGGTTGTATCTGACCTCACACTGGGCGTGGCCAGGATGGGTGTGGCCAGCTTGATGTCACTCATGTCGGGGGCGCCTGTGATGGCCCACCCGAGGTCCGTTTTCACGGGCAGAGGGTTGCAGAAGGCTATGGTAGCCAAAAATGAAGCTCAGGAGCCTGTTTTCACTGGCAGAAGCACCGCGGGCCGGTCCTTCACTGTTTCCAGGGCAGCCCTGGAGGCCAGATCCGACCCTGGGGCCTTGAGTTTGGCATCCCTGGCCTAAGGGGAAGGGCAGCTTTAATTTAGGCCAGCCCTTGAGATCACAAGCTGGTGACATGGGAACTGGGCATTTCAAGCTTAAAGTAAAATAAAATAAAATAAAAATAAGCAAAGGCTTTTTGGCCCTCACCACTGAATGTAATACTTGGAGCTGCCTCTATGTGTTTAATTTCTTCATATTTGTTTAGTAAAATGATGCTTCTTTGATTGCTGTCCTATTTTCAAGGAAAGCACAGAAATAATTTTGTCCTGTACTTGAATTGCTCTTTACTGTGAAGATTAAAGTAAGACTTCAAAATAAGATTAAAGACTGAGACTACTACTTCCAAACCCCCGTTTCCTTCTTTTTTGATTAAATCACCATAGAGAGGACTTGTAAGAGAATAATGCAAACTTTGCTAACTAGCCTTGGGGGTTGGGAGCTGAGGTGGACAGTACTGGAATGTACATGTAAGTACAAAACCTGGATATGACAATTAAGTATATTTGTTATTTACTTCTCTTTCTTTTGATGTTTCCAAAATGAGGCCAAGAAGCTTTGGGGAATTTGAAGGAACGGTTGTTGAAGGTGTTGAAAATTTCACTGTGGTGATGGCTTTCTTTAAAGGACTAGTAGTACAGTATACACTTTCAACAAACAATATTGAACAGAGAAATTTTTGGGGGGGTATATGTTTTATTTGCAGTTTTCCTTTAACAACCAATTTTTTTTGTGGACAGTGTAATGACTGGGTTAACATATTTTTCACACAGTGCTCACAGTATTAATAGTTACCTATACAGAATGTTTGTCTTCCAACTTCTAACCTTAATGTGCTCATTATAATTGTAATATACCCCTTTTATGTATCGATCTATATTATACTATTTTCCCAATTTATACTTATTTCTTTATTTTTCCCATTTGTTGGGGTTCTTCTATATTCACCTCATTATCTTTAATGTTATTCTCTCTTTGTCATTTTTTTATCACTTTCTCCAAAAGTATATGTAAAACATCAATAACATTTCTTTATACAATATACTTATTAACCCATTAAATCACTAATATTTTAATATTATAAATATCACTCAGTGTTCCACCACATTTTCAATATCTCAATTTTCTATAAACACCAATAAAACCAGTTGTCAATAAGATTTAATCAGTCCCAAGTTTATATCTCTAAGTCTCCTGAATTTATAGTCCTTGAAAACTATATTTTCCAATATATTTTTGCATCCTGTTAATCATAATACCTTTAGATATACCTAGTCTTAGTCTTCTACCTCCTAATCTTAATATATTTATGTTTATAATAAATTCAATTATATATCTATATATGTCCTATTTTCCCAATTTAAACTTTCCACTTATTTTTATTGGTTTTCAATATAATTACTATATTGCAAATTATACCTCCATCATCTCAGCCTTTTTAGAATTTCAACATTTACTGATTTTTTTGGTGATTCTCTTATGTTTCCTTCTTGGAATCCTATATATCTTTCTAACATTTTTGCACAGACTAATTGTTCCCTTTGCCTTACCGTTTATCTCAGTGGTGAAATCCAAATTTTTTTACTACCGGTTCTGTGGGCGTGGCTTGGTGGGTGTGGTGTGGCTTGGTGGGCGTGGTAGGGGAAGGATACTGCAAAATCTCCATTCCCACCCCACTCCAGGGGAAGGATACCACAAAATCTCTATTCCCTCCCCACTCTGGGGCCAGCCAGAGGTGATATTTGCCAGTTCTCCGAACTACTCAAAATTTCCGCTACCGGTTCTCCAGAACCTGCTGGATTTCACCCCTGCTTTATCTCCTCCTGCTGCATCTTTTGAATATCCATCCATAACCCTTTCATTATTTTTGAAAGATCTTCCTTTTTTCCCTCTATTATAAGCTCTTAAGGGATTATCTATTGAATTTTTAGTATTATTACTGTCCTTTCAGTGTTTTAATCTGCTTTTAACTTATTTTTATATTTTTGTAATTTATTTTGCTTTGTCCCCTCCACCACTTCTTCTAATTTCTCAGCTATCTTCTGTGTGTTATATTCATCTTTCCCCACAATTTGTTGACAGCCTTCTACTTTCACATCTTTATCTTTAAATATTCCCATCAACCTCTTATAATTCTTTGTCACTATTTCTAACATTTCTTCATAAAACTTTATTGTCTCCTGCTGGGTCATTTTGTAACAAGTTAATATACCTCTAATATCCCAGTATCCCAATATCTAAAAACTCCAGAAAAAAATCAATTGTTAATAAAATTTGGTCAATCCCAAAATTATTACTCCAAGTCCCCTAAACTTCTAATCCTTAGATGCTATAAATTTGTGCTTTTCAGTCCTTGTAATTTCTAATTTACACCTTCCCAATTGTCCAAATTTTAAAGATTTATTTATCTTTTATTTTTTTTCTCCCCCCCCCCTCCATCGCTTTTCTTCTTTTGCTTTGTAAGATGATCTATCATGTGATGTTGATAACCCAAATCCAATTTAGCCCACTGGGTTTCTTCAAATCTTTCAAATCCGCTTTTCAGTGTACAGTTCCAATAAAGTTTAAGTGTTTAATTTAATTTGTCTTATGAATCTTCAAAAAGCTCAGTTAATATTTCCCAGCATCCAAATCGCCTACTAAGATAAAGTCACGGTCAAGTAGCTTTCCAGGTGTTGTTTACTTTCTGTCATCAGTTCCTTTGAATTTTACATGTTGCAATCTTCTTCCTTCAGTAGATGGCTCCCCTGCTCCCAATTTCAGCATTCAACATAGTGTAAAAGTCAAAAACAGCTGATTATCATCCAGTCAGGGGAGTTAGAGATCGAATTTAGAAAAGCAATATATCCCAAGTCACTTTTTACAATGTTGTTTGGCTTTTCCAAGCTTTCTATGTTTTAAATCATCCTTTAGGTTTTTCTTTTACTTCTAGGTTTTTAATCTTTAATCTTCCTCTTTAGTTTTTAATCTTTAATCTTTCTTCATAATCCAATCACCACTTTTTTAACATTTGGAGATCATTTTTTGGAACTTTTACTTAGGTTAAATCTCTAAGGTAACAGTTGGAAATTTTCTCACCCAGTTTCACTGCTCTGTCCACACACCACTCCAGCACAATATCTTAGTGTCCTGGTTGTCCCAGCTTGTGACTGGCCAAAAATGGCCGTTGTCCCTTCTGTTCCTTCAGGAGAGCTTTCTTCGGATCAGTGAGGAGATTGCAATTTCATCGTGATCGATGAAGTGCCTCTCCTTTCTTCACCACCCCTCCAGGGCGGCTTAACCCTGTAGGGCAGGGGTGTCAAACTCGATTTAATTGAGGGCCATATCAGGGTTGTGTTTGACCTCGGGGTGCAGGGTAGGCATGGCCATCTTGACATTCATGTGGTGGTGGTGCCTGAGCACTCTGCCAGCAAAAACGGGCTCCTGAGCTCTGTTTTTGGCCTCCTGCAACCCTCTGCCAGCAAAAATGGAGCTCGGGAGGGCTGCCCGCAGCCCCCCAATCTCCGTTTTCACTGGCAGAGGCACTGCAGGCCGGTCCTTTGCTGTTTCCAGGGCAGCCCTGCTGGCCAGATCTAAGCATCCCACTGGTCAGATCAGGCCCCGGGCCTTGAGTTTGACACCCCTGCCATAGGGTCTCCCAGAAAGCAGTTGCCGGCTGCATTTCATGGAGCCCAGCAAAGCTCCAGTATTTTCCAGCCGTTCTTGCCGTGACACCAACCAGAAGTCCCAACAAAGAAAAATTTTTATAGGTGGGGATGTTCCTGCAACATGCTTCCACATGTAGTTTATTCAATCTTGAGCACATGTGGAGGGTAGCCTAACTAAGCTAAAATGTAGATATTTTGTAGTAAGTTGTATCTGATAAAACAGCCAGAATGTTCCCTTCAAGCATGTAAATTCTGATTTGTTACAGCTATTTGGAAAGTCACAATTTTAAATAGAAGCTCTTCCATAGAACATTTGTGAAAATGCAATTTCACATACTTTAGAATTGTGATCTAGGAATACACAGTATGGATAGGGGGGAGTTTTAACAACTTTCCCTAACCCCTCTCCGTGTTTGCTTGAAGATATAAACACATGTTTTAAAATAGCAGTAAGTGATTGACGTCCTATTTTACTGGAAAACATCTAAAAGCCTGTTTTGGTTTCTATTCTTTTAGGAGATATGTACGAGTTGTTCAAACCATTGAAGTTATAAGGATGCATCCTTTGCCACACTTGTAGCCTTTTTGAAAGTATAAGCATCTGTACTTATTCTCCCTTAACCATCCAGTCTCAACTGTCAGTACCTATCCTTCCATCCCCACCCCCTCCACTATCATGATTGATGAGGCTTCTTGGATGAAAAGTGAAATGTTTTCTTCTTAGAGGGAAAAAAAAGTCCAGTTGCCTTTTGAAAAAGCTCCTTTGAGACCTTATCCAAGTTCTTTCTTTTTTTCCAAGCTTATTTTTCTGGCAGCCGACCAGAAAAGTAATATTCTGGCAACTGGAAGAAGATTCAGGGAAGATGATGACAAAAATAACTGAAGAAGTCTTTTCACAAGATAAAAACAAGCCTCTTTATTTTAAAATGTAACATTACAATTCAAGAGAAGGAAATGAACATGGTAGAGCCAGGGTTGCCTCTTTTAGCCTCTCCAATGATTGGAGAGAAAACAGGCAAATAGTGTCAAACAAAACATACCTAAAATACCCATTCTTGATAAAGGCTTAATTTCTTGATTATATATAAAAAGTAGTTAACGGATATAAATAAAACACAAGACTGGCCCTCTTCAATGCAGTCAGAATTTCAAAAGCCATGTGAATAAAATGGACTCAAACGCTTTAATAAAGAAACTCAGCTTATGACTGGAAGGAACAGCCATCTTCATTCAATGCAATTCAGTGCAAAGACAGAGTCCCCCTGGCCTTCATGCAATAGCTTTCCCTCCCAAGAAACAAACTTAAAGTGCTCCAAGTGCATTATAAAACTGATAAAGGAGAAAGTCAAGATATTTGGGGCAGAAAAAGGAGTAGCTCAACTAGTCTTTGGTGGCTTGTTGAAAAAAAAAGGCAGACAATTCAAATCTTGGCTAAATTTTTGCTACAAGTCAAGGACCAGTTAAGCAGGGAGGGAAGGAGAGAGGTCTTAAGAGCAGAGCCTTATAGTAATATGCTCAAGGAATGTTTGAAATAACTCGTTTCATGTGTCAATACTGAAAAATTACCTCTCTTCTTCCTACCCCAAATTTTGAACATTGTGCAGCAAATAGTTCTCCCAGCACATGTGAAATGCTTACTGCTGTGCATATGCGATTAATACCTGAAGCTATACCTAGCACATCCAGGGAAGTCAACTCAGTGGTCCAGCCTAACTCAAGAGGAATTAAAAGGGCTCTGCAGCTGTTAACTGCAGAACATACAATCTACTTGCATTGCAGCTGAGGTGAAACAGCTTTGAGATTTGAAAAATGAAGCACCTCAAATTCCTCCCAACAGTTTTGCAGCCATCTCTTACAATTTATGCCAGACTTCCCCAACCTGGCTTCTTCCAAATGTATGGAGACTCTCAACTCTTAGATTTCCTCCATTATGACCCCAGGCAGCTGCAGTGCCAATCTATTTACAGACACCATAGTGGAGATGGATGTTTTACACACACCAACTCTCTTGCTGTAGTTCAGTTTTTCAGTCTTGGCTACTTTAAAGAGATGTGGACCTCAACTCCCAGAAGTCTCTAGCCAGCCATGGGAGGTATTTCTGGGGAGTTGAAGCCCACACCTCTTAAAAGTAGTCAAGGTTGAGAAACACTCTTCTGGTTTGATAACCAGTCTTCGCTCCAGATGGATAGTGCTCCTCATCACAATCCTATTCGACATCAGGAAATCCATCTAATTATGCAGGGAGGATCTCCACATCATCTTGAGTTTATGTGCCTTGTAGTGAAGAAGATGAAGAACTGACAGGCTTGCCAGTGTAGCCATCTTTACAGAGATTTAGTATTAATTGATTAGAAAGCAGCTATGGAAATTCAAGAACTTCAAAAGTCTATCCCATAGCTACTCTTTGGCCAAGGAGTGAGTTGTAAAAACGTTAGCAGTAACAGAGGGAGAAATGATTAGAAAAAAAACAAACATTTCATTTGGAATCATTCACCCACAGCTGATAACTTCAATTCAGTTTTAAAATCCTTATTGAAGTGAAATGCTAAACATACAGTCCAAGAAATTATTTCCCAGACTTTTTTTGGGGGGGGGGAGAAATATCTTCAAATCAGTCTTGACTCCCAGGGCCTGTACAAGACCCTGCATTTTTGGCAAGGTTTTCAGAAATGGATTGCCACTGTCTCCTTCCTATGTCTGAGAGGGAGGGACTGGCCCAAAGTCACCCAGCTGGTTTTGTGCCCAAGATGGGACTAGAATTGCCTCCTAGTTTCTAACCAGATGCCTTACCACCATACCAAACTGGCTCACACTTTCATTTAAGGATGGTAAGCCATACTGGTAATCTTCTTTGTGGGCTATATCACTGGAGATACTAGGGGTTTTAATTCACTTCTTGAAGGCAATAGGTTCATTTGTCCCTGTTGTAACATTCGGATAGTGTTTTAAGTTTCTTTTCAACTAGGAGCGTGTGGGATCCAACAGTTCTATTCAATATAGGCACATGTACTCTTTTCACAAGGGAATAAAATGCATTTGGTCCCACCATATGCAGATTCACCAAAAACGTGTTCGAGAAACCTGGAAGTCACCAAAAGTTCCACCAGGCTGAGATTCAAACACCACCTTTACGGAAAGGTCCTTTCAATTCTAAAACTTTAGGATTTCTTTTGCTCTAAGCAGGTTGAAGTTATTGGTTGTAAGGAAAAGATTAATCCCAAAGCTTCAAGACAATACTGTTGTCAGAAGCCATTTGTGAAATTATGGCTGTTAACACTAGTAGAAGATATACAGTAGTTCTAATTCCAGTTAAAAATGGATGTACTTGAGTTTTCCACATTCTCCCAAGCTTCTCCATCCTTAAATCTTCCAGGTGCATTAAAGGCTATGTCTCCCATAATTCCCAAGCAGCAAGAAGACACTGGAAGATGATGTTACACATCTAAAGGTCATCAAGTTGAGAACGGCAAATCTAAAAAATACTTCTAGAAGCCTCTGCTGCCTGGAGTATAAATAGGAATTGCACACTTCTGAGTGGGGGCAGATATAATTAACACTTTCTACTAGGCTGGATCTAACTGCAAATCTTTCAGGAGATGCATCCATGGCTACAGTTGCCCTTATCTTCCCCTGCTTGCCTCACTTCTTGGTGATCTCATTGCCTACTACTGTTTCCTTGGTAGGTGGAAGAAAAAAAAAAGACTTTGCTTCACATTTCAAACAGTTGTTTTCACAGTACCAGAGAATGATGCTCTTGGGTGGTGGTTAAGCAATCCAGGAGCAATTTACATCTCTGTGGTTGCAAAGAAATCAGTCTTGCTTTCATTCCATTGTGGAACATCAAAGCAGCTGCCAGACAAAGCAGTGAAGGACATCTGTGCCAGTTGGCTATGCATCACCCCAAACAAGCCCACAATTCTCATAGGTCCACCCTATCTGTAACCCACTCTGAATCTGCTTTTCCAGTATAAAATAAATTACTGTTATTGAAAATGAAGTTATTACTGTAATGCTAGAAATAGGCCAAAACAACACAAGGACGCTGCAGGGAATATAACAACACATGCAACAATGGGGCTTGCTCTAGCAATCTCAGTAATTATTGATGGCAAAACGTAACCACAAGCTATGTTAGCCTTGTGAGACTGGCACTTGTGCCATACTTGTAAAATGCTCTCCAAGAATTTAAAAGCAAAAGAGATTCTTCATCCCACCCCCCTTTCAAAAGTTTCCACTGTTAAATATGTAGAGTTGTTTGTCACCATAGGAAGACAGAACAAGTTTCCCAACCAGAGATGTGCAATTTAAAAGTGTTGTCTGGAACAGACATTTCATGCCATTGGAGAAGAAAGATTGGGAGGGAAGAGAATTATCCCTTGGAAATGGTTGATTAAAAGTGCAAATATCCATCTGGACAACAGTCATGGTCTGTTGGCCAATAAAATAGAATGCTTTCAGAATATGCTCTCCTTTGGCTTCTGTTATTTCCAGTACCACATAGCAACAATTGGTCCCTCCAGTCCAAAGTGCAGAGCTATGAGCCAATATTGTTCCATTCCCATATTAGAAGATCATTGGAAAATACTATATGCATTAGGGGGAACCTGAAGGTCACTGGGAATTCCTCCAGGCCCAAGATTCATACAACACCTTCAGGGCAATGTCCTTTCAATCCTAGGATTTTAGGATTTCTTTTTCTCTAACCAGGTTGCAGTTATCAATTGTAAAGAAAAGACTGGTCCTAAAGGGTTCTTCACACCTTACAGGAACCCTTCCCCCAAAGCTACTCTATGATTAGTTTGGTGGCTTTGGATGTGAACTGTGATGACTTCTGGATTCCAAGCTTTCATGGCTGAAGAGCAGTGGAGCAACATCCATTGGGGGTGCAACCAAAGGTGGAATCATGATGCAGCTGTCGCTCCCTGTCAGAGAGCCATACCACCCAGAATTCTGAGGAGTAGCCAAGCTGAAAAATACAAAATGGAAATTTGGGAGAGTAAGGCATGGAAAGATCATATTAGAAAACAGCAGCATCAAAAAATCAGCAACACACAACTTTCCCCAATCTAACCATCCTCCAAATGTAGACTTCACTTCTCCAAATTCCCACAAACAGCATGGCTGTTGTGGGGGATGCTTGAACATTACAATTTATGGCTATCTGCCAATTTTAGGGGCTGCAATTAAGGAACCTATTTTTTTCAGCAAAGGTACCCAATTGTGGGTACCCACAGCTGTCTACTGTGTGTGTGTGTGTGTGTGTATATAGATAGATAGATAGATATATAGATATATAGATATATAGATATAGATATATAGATATAGATATAGATATAGATATAGATATATAGATATATAGATATATATCACCAGGAGCTGTTGTTCCTGAAGGAGCACTGACAAAAAGCAGACAATTTATGCTCCTAATTAAGGAAGTGCAAGATGGATTCAGCAGCTTCAACATGATGTTCTCCAACAATGAAAGAGGCATGCAAAAACAAAACAGAAAAAAATCCCTCATTGTACAAGGAGAGGCAGATTGTAAGAGCTTTCTGACTTCTCCTTTGTGAATGGGCAGATGGTCATTACTCCCAGGTTTGAAGTTACAAAGTTTTCGTGTGTTGCTTTTGAGTTTCCAGAAGACACCTGATTGATCTCCGGAAGAAATGAGATGTTGATTGGGTTGGCCTAGCAGAGCCTTTCTCATGTTTATTCATTGTTTTCAAACTACATTTTTATTATCACAGAATGGATATTTTTTACTATCTAGGCAGAACATGCAGAACCTTTCTGCAGATATTATAATAGGGCATAGGCCAAGAAATAGGGCATAGGCATAGGCAGTGTAAAACACCTGGAATATCATGATGTCCAAAATTAAGCAATTAAACCTGGGGTTCAAACTTTTTAGTGATCTGCCTGTAAAACAAATAACTATTGCTTCTGCCCCAAATCTGCACATAGTGATAGTACTGGTTTATATTAGAGAACAATTGCAGATATATAGATCACTAGATCTCTTGGATTTGCATTAAACTGAATTTTTAACTGAATATGTAATCATAGCAGCACAATTTTGCACCCCATCATACTGCTGAAATGAAGAATGATGGCAGGGAGTGAAACGAGCTGTTTGGTTTCAATGGTCAAAATGCATTTCAGAATCTTACATCCCAAATGTTCTACTTCTACATGAGCCGTGGTGGCGCAGTGGTTAGAATGCAGTATTGCAGGCTAATTTTGCCCACTGCCAGCAGTTCAGTTCTCATAGGCTCAAGGTTGACTCAGCCTTTCATCCCTCTGAGGTCAGTAAAATGAGGACCCAGATTGTTGGAGGCAATATGCTGACTGTAAACTGCTTACAGAAGGCTGTAAAGCACTGCGAAGGGATAAATCTAAGTGCTATTGCTGTTGCTACATCAGGTTCCAACTATTGAATCTTCAGCTGAAATAGATGTTCCACAAGCATCAAATCTGCCACATTTTACTCTAAACTATATTTCCCTCCTCTTAGTGAAATCAAGTTACCTTCCTCCACCAAGCCTTGGGAGGTCATCATCACTGTCATATCTTCTTGGATTATCAAAGAAATAGGCTCGTGAACTGTAACTGTGACTGTTGATCATTCCAGCAGGTGCCTTTCAGGTTAAGAGGGATATTGAGGAAGGGGGTTAAGAACAAAAGAAAACATTTGCCTTAGAGATCTGGAAGGAAAAATATGCCAGTTCTTTGCCTTTTCCAAAATCAAAATCATGCAGATATACTACATGTTATTTCTTTAAAATGTAATTTTTACAGCATTTGTAATAAACTATTCCAGTCTGATAAATGAAGGAGCTGTCTGCTCCTCTGTAGTAGTTACAGAGTCTTTATAATAAGCGAGGGAAGGCAAAGTGAAAGGAAACTGTTGAAAACAACTACTAGCACATGAAACAATCTTGTGCGAGTCAATTAAGCAAAATACGACACATGACAGCAGCACATGTTACTGCCAAGTAATGAACAAAATTCAATTAGAGTCTTCAGATCAAGTAACTGAAACAGTTGCCATCCCCTTTTGCAGACTGCATTCTCCAGGGGCCTGCAAAAACTACAGTGGAATTATACATTCTAATGTAAGAGAAGGAGAAAGTTATTAAATAAATAGCAATCGTCTGAAATGCACTAAATTAATGCAATCCAAATCAATAAAAATTTGCCATGTCTTAACATACTGCATTTTTCCTGATCCTGTTCATTTTTGAAAGATGTCAAAAGTTTTAAACAAAAGCTGCTATACAGCAGCGTTTTTCAGTCTCAGCAACTTTTAAGATGTAGAATTTCAACTCTCAGAATTCCCCAGCCAGCCTACACCTTGAGATTCACATTTTATACAGTAAAGAGAGAAAAGCCTGTGAACCCTCAGAAGTACTCAGAATGCTGTAGTACTGTGATCAGCAATAAGATTAAAGCCTAATTTATGAAGAGAATTTCTGAATCAGCAACATACAAAACAGTATGCTTTCTGTTGTCCTTATTGAATGCATTGAGTCAATGTTTACTGATGGTTGGAAAAAGTGTGTGAACTTCAGATACAGTAATTGGTGATACTTCCTTAACAGCAATGACCTCAACCAAATACTTGTCTTGCTTGTTGATCAGTCCCATACATGACTTTAAAATTATTTGTCCCAGATCTTCTTTGTAGAACTAATTCAAAACAATGATCGTGGGGCTCTCTACACGAACTGCGTGAAGTTTTGAATTGAGCGTTGACTATAAAACTTCTATTTTGGCTATTCTGTTGCAGACTTACTTTTTGTGTTCAGAATTACTGCCTTGGCTGAATAACTCACATTTTCTTAGGAATAGATCTCTTGACATTCTCCTACAGAATTTGTGAATCCGCCTTCAAACCATCTCCACTTTCTAACTCAGTGACTTTAACTACTATACTAAATCAGCCCTGTAGAATTTGCTATTAAATATAATTTTCTGGTAAGTCTAAATGATTGCAATCTACTTGGGTCCTGAAGCTGCAAAGGAGTCCCAAACATGATACCTTCACCATTATACTTCACAATTGGGATAAGGCTCTTTTGCTAGCATGCTGCTTGTTATTTTCTCCAGAAAAAAATATTCTGTTTACGTTACTTAAATTACTCCTATTTCCACAAGACATTATTTCAATAATCTGTTGTATCATCCAGGTTGGCTTAGGTAAATCTGGGTTGGGTAGCAATGTGTTTTCTTGAGAGTCATCACTTCTTCCTTGGTATTTTTCTATTCATAGCATCCTTGCTTATGGTGAACTCATGAACTGCAATAAGAGATAATGTAAGAATAGTCTCCAAATCCTTTGTCATTTCACTAGGATCCTTTGCAATCTCCCAGAGTATTATACTCTAAGACCTTGGGATGATATTCATTCACTGATTACTTTGCAAAGAGTAATAACGGAGTTGTTTTTTCTCTTCTTGTACACTATCTGTTTGACCATGGACTGATGAAGGCCAAAGTCTGTATCAATTGTTTTGTAGACCTTCCAATCATCACAAATATCAACAGTCTTTTTTCAGAGGATCACAGAACTCTTTTGATCACAGCAGGATTCATTTCCACAGATCTGTCTTATGAAAGCAGAATCTGATGGTAGCTGACAATGTATGTGTTAAAAAAAACAAACAACGGAGATAAACTCTTCAAGCCTTGGTACTACAGTGGTTTAAAGCACCCTGTTATTAACACAGCTGCCTGCAATTTACTGCTGGTTCGAATCTCTCCAAGGCTCAAGGTTGACTCAGCCTTCCATCCTTTCTAAGGTAGGTTAAATGAGGACCCAGTTTGTGGGGGCAATAAGCTGACTTTGTATAAAATATACAAAAGTATGAAGGCTATTGCTTAGCGCACTGTAAGCCGCCCTGAGTCTCCGGAGAAGGGCGGCATATAAATCAAATTAAAAAAAAAAAAAGTTTACATCTGATTGAAACCTCTAACTCAACCTACCCCCTTAAGATTGCTGATTGTTTTAGGGCTTCATATGTAGTTTTCCAACAAAGGCAGGGAAAGTTGAATTAAAAAAAGGCATGACACAGTACATTGTTTTGGGTGTTATTTATCAAAATCTTTTTATTAACAGACCTACATAAAGCTCAGATCTCACAGATAACAAGTGAGATTAAAGGTAATCCTAAAGGGTTCACAAATTTTCTCTCAGCACTCTGTGGGATGCAATAGTCCTAATTCTTTTTTATTTTAATGACAGAGTACAAGGTTCCCTATGTGATTTTTTTCTTCCAATATCACATCATAATCCCGCTGTGCGTAACATACCAATTCTGTGGCAAATCAACCCTATGAAGCCAGAAAGATGGCACAGTCCCCATTCACGCCAAGGGCTAAGGAGCAATATCCTTGGACAGAGTTTGATACAAAGTGGTCTTCTATTCAAGCGTTAACTTGGAATGTCCTCATTTGTCCCCAAAGAAACATTTTCATCGTGTTCTAAATCCCTTTGCATGTTTTCCCTCCACAATGTTGAGCATTTGCTTATTTTGAAGAAACAATTGAAAAAGAATAACAGTTGAACCCAATCCATACCAAATTTTGGGCCAATCTCTGTGCTCGGAAGAAGAGTACCACAAATATGGTTGGCACGAACTCCCAGAGAAAAAGCACCACACCAAAGACTACGTACTCCTCACCGTTAACTTCTTTTCCTTGAAGCTGTAGGAACAGGACATGGACACACATTCAGAGAAAAATAACAAGTGCTTTGATGAGCTCTCTATGGAGCAGCACTCAAAGACCGCAGATGGAACAACAGCCTACCTCCCACCATGAACTAAGTTGCATATATTGTAACTCAGTGGTGAAATATAAAATTTGTTACTACCGGTTCTGTGGGCATGGCTTGGTGGGGGTGGGGTGATAATGTGACTGGGTAGGCATGGCCAACTTTTTTTCTTTAACTTTTAAAAGCATTTTTTCTACAACCTCTTCGGCTGAAGAGGTTATTAAAAAATGCTTTTAAAAGGCTCTGACGATCCCAGCTGAGCTGCCTGATCGTCAGAGGCTTTTGTTTTCTTTTAAAAGCATTTTTTTTGCTTTTAAAAGAAAAAAAAAGCCTCTAACAATCGCGCAACTCAGCTGGAATTGTCAGAGCCTTTTAAAAGCATGTTTTTTACAACCTCTTCAGCCGAAGAGGTTGTAGAAAAAATGCTTTTAAAAGTTAAAAAAAAGCCTCTGATGATCGTGCGGCTCAGCTGGGCATGGGGGTAGGGAGGGATTTTTGCTATTGGTTTTCCGAACCATCCACCACCATCACTACTGGATTGGGTGATCCGGTCTGAACCGGGAGCATTTCACCCCTGCTGTAATTACTACCTCATAAGTGGGTTTCAGCAGGTTCTGACCAGTTCTGGAGAACAGATAGTGGAAATTTTGAGTAGTTCGGAGAACCAGTAAATACCACCTCTGACTGGGCCCACCCTCATCTTTTCTCTGCCTCCCGAGTCCCAGCTGATCAGGAGGAAATGGGGATTTTGCAGTAACCTTCCTGTTGTGACTCCGACCCTGTCCTAACACAGGGAGAGGACTCAGAAGGTGAAGGAGAGGATTTGGCAAGGCCTCCCTCTCCAGGACCCTCTTCTCTGGCAATGCCTCAGGTTTCCTCCGAAGGCCAAGAGATATGCCAGGAGCAAGGCACTTCGGAGCAGCCGCAGATAGAGAGCGAGGGGGATGAGTTTTGGCTGGATCCCAGACAGCGTCGGAAGGATAAGTGTGCGCAGCAGAGAAAGAGGTGTGGGCGGGCCAAAGATTGAGCTGAGTCACTGGACCACACCCCACAAGGGATAAAAGGGTGTGTGTCAGCTATTCAGGCCTTGTGATGGACAAATTGAAAAGCTCGGAAGTCATATCGTGTTTCTAGAACCCTGTTAGAATCTCTTTTTGGATTTCTTCGGACTGGACTTTGACAATTCTTTGCTTTGTGGAATTAATTTGGTATATCGGACTGAGGAGAAAAAACCTCCCTTAGTGAGTAAAATCTCCTGGCAGGCAGTTCATAGGTCGCTGCCGAGACTGTTATCTTAAAGGAATTCCTGACTATTTGATTAATTAACTCCTGTCTGTCTGTTTGTGTGTGTGCGTGCGACGGAGACAGAACACTTCCCCTCGAGTGGGGAGGGAATGGAGATTTTATAGTATCCTTCCCCTGCCACGCCCACCAAGCCACACCCACCAAGCCATGCCATGCCACACCCACCAAGCCACGCCCACAGAATCGGTAGTAAAAAAATTTGAATCCCACCACCGTACTACATATCCATATATGTGTGTGTAGGTGTGCGTGCGTGCGTGCATGCATGCATAAAATACATTAAAAAACAAAAGAAAGTAGCAAGCCTTATAAATTCTCATATTCTGAACAGAATACTATAACTTACAGACAAGTCTAGTATTTTAGTTTCCTGTTGAATTTCAGGATGGTTCAAAGGACTGGATCTAATCTTAAATCCCAAGACACGTATGATTAAATTGGCTCCATTTTTTTTTCCATTACAGGATATTTCAATTGAGACCCTTCCTTCCATTCTAGGAATAGCCTCACAATCCACAACAAAAGATAGTTATCTCTTGGAATCAAGAGAAACCAAGAAAGAATGCTTAGGGATCTTTCATATCCCTCTTGTTAGCCATAACATGGTTGGTTGGTTTTTGGATTGATGTGATATGTGAATCCAAGCCACTGTGCTTTATAAATCATAATTCATGCCTTAGTATTGTCGAAAATCAAATGCTATGGCTTAGTCTCATAAGTGAACCTTGTCACAGAATAATAGCAGCAGTACTGGACCGTACCTAATGTTGGTTAATCAAATCATCATCAAAAAGCTCCAAAGTAGGATATTTTCCTTGCAGCTGTTCCCAGTAACTGGTACTCAAATGCAAATTGTCTTTTATCATATAAGTAAAGGTAAAGATAAAGGTTCCCCTCACACATATGTGCTAGTTGTTCCCGACTCTAGGGGGCAGTGCTCATCTCCGTTTCAAAGCCGAAGAGCCAGTGCTGTCTGAAGACATCTCTATGGTCATGTGGCCGGCATGACTAAACACCAAAGGTGCACAGAACACTGCTACCTTCCCACCAAAGGTGGTCCCTATTTTTCTACTTGCATTTTTTATGTGCTTTCGAACTGCTAGGTTGGCAGAAGCTGGGACAAGTAACGGAAGCTCACCCTGTTATGCAGCACTAGGGATTCGAACCGCTGAACTGCTGACCTTGCGATCAACAAGCTCAGCGTCTTAGCCACTGAGCCACTGCATCCCTTTTTTATCATATACATGTATTCATATGTACATGTGTGGACAGGTAGATTGACACGTGCACATCACATACTGTATCAATTTTGACCTGTAGCATTTGACAGCCTAATCCTTTTGGATGAATTAGCCATTTCTGGATAAGGCCGCTTCATTAGCTCATCTCAAGTTGCTTTCCAACATATATACATCTTATTGCTGCTCTTCTCAACTATCTCCCACCATGGTGCCTCCACCCAATTACTATTCATTGGAGGCACAGTGAAGGAAACAGGTGGACAACATCAGTGTTCCAACTTAGATGTGATCTTTCTCTGTTTCTATAGATGTATGAAAAGTTTGATTACCTTATCTGAAAGATTATCCCAACCATAGTTGAATGGACTAGGTGCATGGTCTGGAGTGATCACTACTGCCACCAAATTATAAAAAGCTCTTGAAGAGTGTAAGAGGATGACAACAGAACCCACAAGGAGAGCTTGGCAGAGAGATGTGCCCTAGTTAAAAAAAAATACATAAGTATTAAATACAGTAAGTTAACAAAAAGATATTTAAGAGACTTCTGTTAAGTAAATACTATCTAAAGAAAGCCTTGAGTATTTCTTTTAAGGAAAGTAAACCTGAATGATAATACAAGCTACATGGATCTAGATGTGATATAAGAGATACTTCTTCCTTCATTAGCTTTAAGGACCCAAACATGTATTTGTTAGTAAAAGGAAGGACAGACACTGAAAACCTATTAGCTCAATTGATGAGTAATCCAATACAAAAGAAACCATTATAACTATTCTGAATAAGGAACAAAGAATAGGAATACCACATGTACTAGATGATCTTCTTGTCCTATCTTTTAACACTTAAAAGAGTAATATAATGGTTAAGATGTAAGACTATGGAGCTCCCTCAAAGGTTTGGGCAGTCACTACCCAGAGAATGCTCCTTGTGAGACAAAATAAGTAAAAAGCCCATGTGTACCACCCTAAGCTTCTAGAGGATAACTAATGCACAATAATAATACATTACATCCATGTTCAATGGATGTTATTTTTCTAATTCTAAGATCTCTATCTTCTTCAAATATTCTTCCCTTAAAAGTTTTGAGCATTTTCCCTCATTGGTTCTCATGACACAAATAAGATGTTTCCAGTCTTCCACCAAATTCTTCTCTTCTGTGAGGCCCCTGATTTAACTGGGTTCCTCATTTCCAACTAAGCTTTCTTTTAATATATGTTTTATTGATATATTTTTCTTTAATAAAGATAAAAAACTCAGTATCTATATGAACAGCATGTTGTCTGAGTACAATTCATTTTGAATAACAACCCCCCTCCCAATATACATAGTAGTCATAATATGCATATCATTAATAATGGTCACATACTATTATTGACATTAGCTTAACCATATTAGGAAACTTTTGTTATATAATTATTCAATCTCTTAAATCTTTTTAGTTTCTAACCTCTGTTTCTGTTAGTTAACCATTGGTAAAACAAATCCCATGTTTAGAAGTATTCTGTTTCTTCCTTCTCCTTTATTTTTAATGTTAATCTATCCATCTCTGTGCATTCTAATATTTTTTTAATAACACCTTCATCTGAAGGGAATCTCTTCATTTTTCCACTGTGGTCCAAAAACAATTCTTGCTGCTGTTAACACATGTAAGATTAGATATGTATTCCCTTTATTATACAGTTCTGGTAAAATACCCAACAGGAATAATTCTGGTCTAAAGTCAATATGTTGCTTTATGATTTTTTCTAACCATGTATGTATTTTGTTCCAATATTTTTTTGCCTTTGGGCATGTCCACCACATATGATAATATGAACCCGGTATCTGATTTTATATAGATAACTTTATATCTTATATTTTTTTCTAAATAACCACATTCAGATGTATCAGTGCCTCCATTGTGGAGAGCCAGACTGGTATTTTCATACAATGTTTTTCTCTGACTAAGAAAAAAAATCTTATTCAAAACATTTAGATTTTAAACATTCTACTATGTCACCCTAAATTCTAAACAATTATTTCCAAATAGACATCATTCCAAATCTTTGTCATGTTAACAATCAATATTTCATATATATTCCTCTTTTCTAAGACCCATTACATCGAGTCTATATTGTACCTCTTTTAAATGGCAACTAGTATCCATAATTTTGACAAGGAATATTTTCCTCCTCTTAATTGTTTCTAATTCCATCTAAAATTTGTCACTCCCAAAATACTTTATTTTAAGTCTAATATTTAACTGATTCATAATTTAAATAGCTATTTCCCAACAGTGTTTTCCGCCACTTCTATCTCTATTTATTTAATTGGTTCACAGTTTGGCTTAACTATTCTCCAGTATTGTCTCCTCCACTTCCTCCTAAGTTTATTTTTTGGCTGCTTCGCATCTTAATCAGTTGCTTTCCAGCGATGCTTTCCTCCACTCAGAGTTCCTCCATGGCTTAGGACCTGGCTACTTATGGGACCGCCTACTACCACAAATAGCCTCCCACCGGCCGGTACGCTCTCATAGAGAGAGGCTCCTCCGGGTGCCGTTGGCCAAACAGTGTCGACTGAGTCCTTCGGGAGTAGGGCGGTATATAAATCTAATAATACAAACAAACAAACAAACACTCCTAACCTTACTTATTTGAGCTGGTTCACAGTATAATTTTAACTGCATACCAACATTATCTCCTTCAATCCTCCTAAATCTATTATGAAACTGGTTTGCAACTCAAATAGTTGCTTCCCAGCAATGCTTGGGAATGTTAGGATGTTCCTTTTTATTGTAGCTATTCTTCCTAACATCGATAGATGCAAATTTTTCCATTTCTCCAAGTCTCTGCCTGCATTCCCTGCTTATTTTTCTGTATAGCATCTGCCAACAATTCTGTCATTATATCAGGAAGGTCTTCCCCTTTTTCCTCTTCAATATTTTGATATCTCAGTAAGAAAGCGGCCTTTTCGATTTCCAATGAAATCAGAGTTTCCTTCAGCTCCTTATTTTCCTGTGTCAGTCTTCGGTTTATCTCATCTACTTTTTTCTCTGCTTGTTCTGATTTCTCTTCTCCAATTAAGCTTTTGAGGAGTCTAAGAGTCACACTGATTCAGAAACCCCTATACATTTTGCTCTTCTTGTCACCTTTTGCAGTACTTAAAATGTAGGCAGTCATGCCTTTGAAGGAAGAGATCATTTGTTCAGTCTTACATATGCTTGCTAAACCATGCCATATTTTCAACAACCATTTCACTGATTTTGTATCTGTGACATGCTTCTTCTACAATCAGAACTCAAGTCTGAAAGCGAATTACATGGCTATGATGCTATGCAACAGGCAAATTATTTTGCAGATGGGAGCATAATACCAGATACAGAAGTTTTTGATCAAAACACACCATGAAGGTTTCAGGGGAGAAAATAATGACTAAAAAGAAAAGATTAGCTCTTGTACTACTAGGCACCAGGATTCATATTCACAGCCCTGTTTGGCAATTATCTTCTCCCTTGGCATAAGTTCCTCCAGACCATTTCTTAACTGCAAAATGGGAATCACTGCAATGAGGTGAGAATAAGGCTATAAAACCATTCTGTTCATTAAAGAATAAAGTGGACTAAATCACCGAAAAAAAATTGCAGTAATTATCTTCTGGGTGGGAAATGGGTGCTTAGAACAGACAGATTGAAAAATCTATGTCTTTACAGGATAAGTGGCAAAATGTAAATACATGAGATACTATTCTTCCTTTTCCTCCAAAGAAAAAATGTAAAGCTGGTTACATTTTCAATACACTTGCTATGAAGCTCCAGAAACTAACTAGCATATTCTTGATGGGAATGTATCTCCTCTGCAACAGCATCTTGAAATTTAGGAGTGCTGCCTAACCTTTCCGGATTTTCAGATGGCAACGGTGACAAAGAATGCATTTGCATAATCATATCCAGCATGCCAGCTATAGGTATTTCCAAGATGTTTGGACTTGGAACTCGATATATCTCAGTTTGACTAATGCAACGAATTCTGTGTAGGGTCACCTTTCATGAGCATCCAGAGGTTTGCACTAATGCAAAACTGGATTGTTAATTGATGCAAAACTGGATTGTTAATTGATGCGCGATACCAGAAGCATGTCATTTCCATTCTGAAGATTTGATTATCAGTTTTCTGCAGAACTAGTATAAAGGTTTAACATGGCTATAACTGCCAATCTCAGTATGAATATTTCTGGGCATTAAAGGTCAATAGGAGAGACCTTTATTTTTTTGAAACTATTTGCCAGGGACACAGGAGAGGATATTAATCTACATTGTTCAATAGTTAGACTTTCTCCCAAGTCGACTTCATGGTTGATTCCAGCTGCAGGAATTCCTTTTCCTTTTCTGACACGGGGCTGGTATTGCTGAACAATATTCTATTATCTCTGATCCAATCTGGAATGAACCTCTTAACTAGAATAAACTGCTATTGCTCATTAGACTTCGGCAGAAGACTAATGAATAATTCTAGACACTAATCATTGGCTTACCAAGAACCAGGCTCTTAATCCATAATATGAAGATGCTAAGAAGCAGGACAAGGCTTCTTTTCAAAACACTTTCCTGCTTAGCAGCCTTAATTCATAGTTCACTGATGGCTTCTGATTGTAAAAAGATCTGCATCAGCATTGTTTGCCACTTTGTATTTATGCAAATGAAACGGTTATTTCCAAACAAGCAGAATTTGCAGTTGTTATGTGGATTGCCTGCAAGTTACAGTGAAATATATATTTGACAATTCAAAGGTGCTTTTTTAGGAGGCAACTGGGCTTTCTTGTTTTTTCTTTGAAGACATTTCACTTCTCATCCAAAAGCTTCTTCAGCTCTGACAGGATAGTGGGGAATGGAAGGATCTTGTCAGAGCTGAAGAAGCTTCTTGGATGAGAAGCGTCTTCAAAAAATAACCAGAAAGTCCATTTGCCTCCTGAAAAAGCACCTTTGGGACAACCATGACCTGGATGACTGAGAATTTCTACAGATTTTAACAATTCACTTCCCACAAATAGAGAATGCTATCAAAAAATATAGAAAACAGCAACTGCAATGACCATGACATGTGTAAAGTTCCCAAATTATGGCACTTCTGTCTTGGGTGGTATTGATAAATATTTGGTTAAAACAAAAGAATATTTGTAGGCAAATTTCTATAAGGCTAGCAAATATGGTCTTTTTTGGCTGAGTATAAACTCTCCAAGAGAGAAACTGTGTAAAGCCAGGTTTCTCAACCTTGGTCACCTTAAGATGCGTGGACCTCAACTCCCAGAATTCCCTAGCTAGCATGGGTGGCTGGGGAATTCTGGGACTTGAAGTCCACCCATCTTAATGTGACCAAGGTAGAGAAACACTGGTGTGAAGAGACAACAGGAAGCAAGGAGCAAGAATGTTGCACCAACAATAGTTAAAAGATAAAAAAGGCAAAGCTAAGTAACTGCAGAAAAGTAAGTATAATAGTTTTATAACCAGATGTATATTTTCTCAGAAAGCTCCATTTTGCTTCCCACTATACTGTCGTTTTCACTTTTCATCACTAAACGAGGTAGCTTAAGTCTCCCTTAAACTGCATTGGAATAGTCTCTCCCATTCCAGCAGTGTCCCCGGAGTCACAAACATCAAGATGGATGCTTCAACCATGCCATACAAGCCCTGCACGGACATGCATACAGAGACACAGCCCTTCATTAAGACATCTTTCATCATCCCATTGTGTTGGCTTTGCTCCTAAGCCACTTGTGCATTAGGAGTGAGCATTCTTCAAAAACTATTCCTAAAAACCTATTAACTTTAAAGTATATTAATCCCTTCCCACTTTCTAGGAACTTCCTTACCTAATCATTAAAAAAAAGCTGCCTCCGAGGCATAAAGCAAGCACAGAATTTCTTCTCAGAGGTTTTTAAAAGCAATGGGGAAAAACAGTAATTTGATATTTGATCTTCCATTGAAAGCAGCAGATATTATACTTTAACCCAGCTGTTACTAATCTTTTAGGCTACTAAGATTTTTAAAAGAATTAAAAAAAAGAAAAGTAGCCCACATCTCCAATCCATCTTGAAAATGGAATACATCATCTTTGTAATGTCCCCTGAAAACACATTTTATTCTGTGTCTGAAATACGGATCATCTCCTTACTCAGAACCTGACAGGTTGTAATAGAGAAGTATGTGTTGCTTCTTTACCTTGGACTCGAGGTAAACATTGGCTGAAGACACTTTGGAAAGTTTGCACATGCAGCAAGCTAACAAGATGGCCGAAAGAATGAAGAGACTATCATTGATCAAGGCCCGGGCAAAAACTGTCCACCTTAGCTGATCCTCTGGAACATTATCTTGTGCCAATAATGCACATGTCAGGTTCACAAAGATGAAGAGGAGGCTGATAAATACAGACCCCATGTACAAGAAAGTCCTGGAAAGAAAAGAAAAAAGACAGTTGATGTCCAGCACAGCTTTCTATCTGATCCGCTCTCCTAATCTTTGCTTTCTTCTTTTGGATTAATGATCATATCTGAATAATGCTGTCTTTATACAAATAGTATAGGGGACGCAGTGGCTAAGACGCTGAACTTGTTGATCGAAAGGTCAGCAGTTCAGCGGTTTTAATCTCTAGTGCCGCATAATGGGGTGAGCTCCCGTTACTTGTCCCAGTTTCTGCCAACCTAGCAGTTCGAAAGCACATAAAAAATGCAAGTAGAAAAATAGGGACCAGCTTTGGTGGGAAGATAACAGCGTTCCGTGCACTTTTGGCATTTAGTCATGCCGGCCACATGACCACGGAGACGTCTTCGGACAGCGTTGGCTCTTTGGCTTTGAAACGGAGATGAGCACCGCCCCCTAGAGGTGGGAACAACTAGCACATATGTGCGAGGGGAACCTTTACCTTATGCAAAGAGTAAACATGTTCGAGATACATTTATATGGTGTAAGACACATCTCTTCCCATTCCTAATGTATACCCACAACAATCTGCAGGTGGACACCATCTGCTTAATCTGCTCCATAGCCCAGTCCTGCTATTAGAAGTAAACCCACAGCGTATTTGCTCAGAAAGCCGTGTTCTTTGTCAAAGTGATATAATCAGATTTTTTAAAAAAAATCCTATTTTATACAAGTAACTTTTGAGCTACTGTATAATGTTATAAAGCAGTTAGGATTACTAGGTTCCATGGAAAAGTTATACTTTGCTATGCATTAATTTGAACCATCAAACATCAACATTTGGCTTGGTGCAAGAATGCAAATTAAAAGACAGATGGTGATGCAGTTTCTGCTCCAGCACGCTGGGCTCTTCAATTCACTAAGGGCATCTTGAAAATATGTTGATTAATCGGCCACAATATCTACACGCTAAGGTGAAACTTACTTGTATTTGTTGAACTCAGCTGCGCACTTGACTTTGAAAATAACCTTTAAAAAAAGAAAATGCTTTATTTAAGAAAAAATATATATATTGCACAGGTTCAAGAGTCACAGTGGACCAAAAACATTTTAATAATATGCAAGCACAAATACAGATTTTTTTTCTATTGGAAGCATAAAAAGGAGGGTGAATGGAAAAGATGCCATGGTTTGCAGCCAATTAGCTATTAGTGGGAATTCAGAACTCAGAGCTCTCCCTAATGTTTGACCTCGTTACGGTTCATTTATTTATCTATCCAGAACATTCTTATACTATTATCTAAATGATGTTTCTATGGCAGTTTTCAAAAATGTCAAAATGCATAAATAAATGGAACATTTATTTATTCAACTTAGAAGGCTGTCCAATTCTCAGCAGAGTATAATATGAAAAGCATATTAAGAACAAATAGCCAGAAATGATAATGGTAGAGAAGAACCAAAATATCTCTGCAGAGACAAGACATCATTCAAATCAAACAGGACAGGTTTTAAAGATTTTTTTAAAAATAAGGCACAATGTAAAATATTGACATGTGTGCATACATACATTTATACATTATATGTAAACAGTACAATTGTATCAAGTTGAGTGACCTACACAGAATCAAGTAGAGTTAGTTCTAAGTACACATGAATAGGTTTGAGTAATAGTGCTGTTCTATTGCTGTCTATACTGTCATAAACTCCAATATAAAAGCACAGCCTAAAAACATGGAGAATATACACGATTCTTTATTTGTTCCTAAAATTTAAGGCCATATCTACAAGCCAGCCCTGGGAAAGTGGGATTCCATTCTCCGAATCTAGATGTTACAACTGACTGTGACATACATTTGCAATTAACAGGAGTCAAAAACAAAAAAATAAAAAAAACACTCCTTTTACATTAGAATTTTTTAGAATCCTTTACAATAGAATGACCTGGAAGGGACCTTGGAGGTCTTCTAGTCCAGCCCCCTGCTCAAGCAGGAGAACCTATACCATTTTAGATAAGTGACTATCTAGACTCTTCTTAAAAACATCCAGTGATGGAGTGCCCATGATTTCTGGAGGCAAGCTGTTCCACAGGTTAATTGTCCTCACTGTTAGAAAGTTTCTCCTTAATTCCAGGTTGCTTCTCTCTTTTATTAGTTTCCAACCATTATTTCTTGTCCTGCCCTCTGGTGCTTTGGAGAATAATTTGACCCCCCCTCTTCTTGGTATAATATAAATGTTACCTATTTATTAAATGTTCACCGAAAAAAACTGCTGACCAATTCATAATGAGCAGTTGCTGATTTCTAAATTAAGATCTTAAAATACTTTTTCCGTATGACTTTATTTCAAGCATTGCTTTCCGGTATATGCAACCTTTCAAAGGGATCAACATATGAAACAATATAAAGCATCCCAATTAAAACTACTGTAGATCAATAAGTAAAAATGTATTGCTTTGTATGCATCTGGCAGGTCTGCTCCATTAAGTCATCTGGAGCACTACATGATTTCAATGTGAACATTTGGGGTGAAAAATTGTAACTGAAATAGAATGGCTAGCTTTTATTTTATTATTCTCCATGTTGAGATTCTCAGAAGTCAAGACAATTTGAGAGAATTCCAGTTCTGCAGTTTTCCAGTTTTCATACAGGCAGTCTTTGATTCACGACTGGGCACTTAGATATGACAGCCCCAGAGGTGGGTTTCAGCAGGTTCTGACCAGTTCTGGAAAACCGGTAGTGGAAATTTTGAGTAGTTCGGAGAACCGGTAGTAAAAATTCTGACTGGCCCCGCCCCCATCTATTCTCTGCCTCCCAAGTCCCAGCTAATCAGGAGGAAATGGGGATTTTGCAGTAACTTTCCCCTGGATTGGGGAGGGAATGGAGATTTTACAGTATCCTTCCCCTGCCATGCCCACCAAGCCATGCCACGTTCAAGCCACACCCACAGAACCGGTAGTACAAATTTTTGAAACCCACCAATGGACACACCTGAAAAAGGGAACTTACAACCTGGATCTGAAGTTCTAATAGACATTTTACCTCCCCCCCACCATCTCATAACTACACTTCAGGCACTCGGCAACATGAATGCTTTATGTTCATTTGCAGCACCCCACAATCATGTGACCATGTTTTATGACGGTTTTGCTGCAAACTAGTAGTTCTGGTTTTGAGCAACACCATGCCATAGTGAACAATGGGTTTGCTTGACAACCACTACAAAAAAAGGTCGTAAAATTGGATCAGTCATGTGATTGATCCATTTTATGACCATTATGACTTATAACTGTAATAGCTAGGCTGCGTTACAGTTGTAACTTGAAGACTACCTGCAATATACGAGACCGCCTTCTGCCACCAATAGCCTCCCACCGGCCAGTACGCTCGCACAGAGTGGGCCTCCTCAGGGTGCCGTCCGCCAGACAATGTCGGCTGGCGACCCCCAGGGGGAGAGCCTTCTCTGTGACGGTGCCCACCCTCTGGAACAACCACTCCCCAGAGTTACGTACAATAACAGACCTCCGGATTTTTCGTCGGGCCCTGAAAACCTATTTATTTCAACTAGCTGGGTTGGCTTGAGTTAAATTTTAAATTGATTTTAAATTGGGTTGTTTTAATTTACGGCCAAAATATTTAATTATTTTAATACTGTTTTTAAATTTTGTATGCTCTGTTTTTTACTTTGGCTGTTCACCGCCCTGAGTCCTGTTTGGAAAAGGGCGGTATAGAAATGGAAACAAATAAATATTTTCTTAACTACCTGCATTCTAATTTTGGTGCAACGCTTCCCATATTTTGGAACTATTTCCAGAGGAGTCCTTTGGTAGAAGATAAATATCATGGTTTTCTACTGTAAAATAGATGATGATCCTCCCATGTCCTAATATATTCCTTGGCTCCATTCTATAAAATACAGAAGGGATTTGGCACTAGTGGCTCTGACCTCTGATTCTAAGTTTTAGCCTCAGGAGCCATTTTAGGAAAGCTGCTAGGCCAAGATCTGGCATAAGATGGAAAACAGGATGACCTCCAACCCCGATAAAAAACTAGCTAAGGTACTTCGGTGGGAAAAAATGGTTTAAAATCAGAATGCACAAATACACATAGATTTGAATACAGCTATCTATTTAATTGAGGAGTGTATAAAACCCTTACCAGATCGTGGTAAAATCGGTCTTTTGGAGCAGATAGGAAGACAATGCAAATTTTTATTTAATTGTGGCAAACACAATTGAGTAGAATGTATATACTGATAGACTGATTATGTGCTATCAAGTTGGAAGCAGCTCTTAGTAATCACATAGATTATCTTCATAATGATCTGCCCCTAAACCTGCTATTTTAGATCTTCCAATGGTGCACTCATTGCCACTTTAACTGGCTCCATCTGTCCTGCTGTTGGTTGTCTTCTAGATATACTTTTAAGAAGAAACATATAGAACTTAAACATATGCATACTTGCAAGAGGAAACTATGAACTTCCCAACATCTCCCTTAACTTTTCAATTACTGGAAAAGGAACTCAGCGGAATCTACTTACTGATGGGATCACATATCCTTTTCTCCATTGGGCATAGTTTGTTAAATAAAGAGAAGCAAATCTTTTTACTTGATAAAGATATAACACCCACCACACCCAGATAATAGTGGGGCTTCAATTTTATATGATTATATCTATATAACCCAAGTTGACAGGCTTCAAATCGCTTTTTACCACCCCACACTTTACTAAAGGGATGGTATTTAATTACCTATTGTACAGAAGATTCAATTAAAAAAAAAAGGTTCTGAAGATATTGCAGATACTGCTTTCTTGCTGTTGTGTTTACATTAAGGTTACTTCAAGTTAAACATCTGTGAGAATTAGGATTCCACTCTGGCTCTTTGTCAGACACAGCAGCAATCTGTAAATGTGTGGGCTGAGAGGAGGCAAGAAGGTAGCAGAGAAAGCAGATCTGCAAGCGGAATTTTAATTTGCAAGGAAATGCCACTTGGCCAACTTCAGTCTATCAGTTTGAAGTCTTCCTTCTTATCTTGGTTTTCTTGTTGACAGGTTCTACTTTCCATGAAAAGTTGGTAGTAGCACTCAAGCTGGTTCTCTGATTGACATTTCAAATTCAAGGACCACTGCAGGTTCAAAAAATGTCAAGTCTTATTTGGGAAGTTCTCAATTCATTCCACCCTCCACAGGGTGAGAGCAAGCTATTAAAACAGCCCCTACTTGATCAACTCTTCCACGTATAAGGTTCTACATCATATTTCTAACCTAATGAAGGCTCTCCATTTCAGATGGTTCCCTCAAGATGTGACTACTGTGCTTCCCTGAAAATACGACCTACTCAGAAAGTAACTCCCAGCTTGATTTTTACACCCGCGCCCAATATAAGCCCTATCCCCCAAAATAAGCCCTAATTAAGACCCCTGCCCACTCCAGTGTGCATGGGTAAACATTAAGCTAGAGTGAGGATGGGGTGGTGGAGCTGCCCTACTACTTACCTTTGGACAGTTGCAGCCAGGCCTTGCACATCTCAGCCCATTTCTTTTGCTGCAGCCAGCAAGGCTTTCCTAAAGACCTCTGTAGCTGATAACAAAGCTCCAGAGAGGTGTGTGAGGCCTGGCTGCAACTGTCCAAATCCAAAGAAGTTCCTGAAGGCCTCTGACAGCAAAAGGAAGGCCAGGGATGATGTGTGCAAATGAGGCGAGTCAGTGGACGACATCCCCCCTGAAAATAAGACCTGGTACCTTTTTTGGTGGCAAAAAAATATAAGACAGGGAAACACGGTAGTAGTGAGTTGAGCACGAGTGGGAACTGACATCCACCCCATCTATCTACTGTTCTAATTGCAAAAAGAGATATACTGAGTGACTGAAAACCTGCACAAAATTCTCAATGTTCACATGTACCAGGGTGTAGCTTGTATACAAATGAATTAAATCTAACCAGACTAAACTAACTTTCGAGGCCAAGCAGAAGGACTGCAAACACCGATACATTTTTGGTCAATATTGTTTCCTAAGAAAAAGGAATCTTCGCTTTGATCATTTGTACAAAAGAAAGGACCAATGCTGCCTCTATTATCAAGAAGGCATTCATTTTGTGGGTAATCCAGAGAGCGATTCCCAGTTCTATCTGGGAGAACAAAATATTGATTTGTGGGGGTCCACATTTCTCTGTGTTTGTTGAACTTAGTCCCAACAATACCTTCATTGGCCAGGCACTTTCATCTTTAAGGTTGTGGGCTAGAAAATGTTCCACTTCAGCAGTGGTGAAATCCAAATTTTTTTACTACTGGTTCTGTGGGCGTAGCTTGGTGGGTGTGGTGTGGCTTGGTGGGTGTGACAAAGGAAGGATACTGCAATATCTCCATTCCCACCCCACTCCAGAAGAAGGATACTGCAAAAGCCCTATTCCCTCCCTACTCCTGGGAGAAGGATATTGCAAAATCTCCCTTCCCACCCCATTCTGGGGCCAGCCAGAGGTGGTATTTGCTGGTTCTCTGAACTACTCAAAATTTCCACTACCGATTCCCGAAACTGCTCAAAATTTCTGTTACCTGTTCTCCAGAACCTGTCAGAACCTGCTGGATTTCACCCCTGCACTTCAGACACATTAGGTAGTTTCCAAGTTGTATGAGGCTCGATTGCCCATGTTCCCAATATTCCCATACAAATATTTTTTTCTACACATCAGAAAATTTAGTTTCTTTGAATATTCAAACCTTACCTAATGAGCTAATTTTGCCCCCCTACACAGAAGAAATAACATAGCCCACATACTTATACAGACTCTAGATACTGAATAAAGTATTTTGAATCATACTTCTCTACACAGCAATGTTTTTTTTTAATTCAAAATATTTGAAACTTCACATCTCTGCTGGAATATATAGAAAACTTTCCACCTCTTTTCCCCATTTATATTAGGACTCTCCCTTACTCTGTTATAGGGCTTGTACGTTGTCATTGGGGCTGCCTGGCTAAAGAAAGTAAATGAAAACAAGACGTCATAGCTTAGCATGATGTGTGAACCCAACCTTTTCTAAAACACTCCTTTCCTTTGTATTTAAAAACATTTCCTGCCGTACACACACAAGATCATATACAGTATTTTATATCTCAGAGAAGTACAATACATAGCACATATATTTTAGAAAAGGTGGCACAAGAGAGAGAGAAGGGTTCTGAACTCAGCAAAGCTTTCTGCACCACACTTTCTTCCCATCTGTGATATTCTATTTAAATATGTATATTTAGTTCAACTGGTAACTTTTATTTAATTCTCCAGCAAAGGCACTGCCTTTTCTACCCGAGACATTTTGGAGCTTGGTATCTCTAATCTGTAAAATTAATATTTTTAAACTCCTGCATCATCATGCCCAGTTCCCAACTACACTTTATTTGCACGAAAGACATTTACTAGAGATAAAGTTGTTCATTTTGTGTACATGTAATTTGGATGGAATGGTAGCATTTGCTTGAATTGGGGGCCAAATGTAAATGGTTCAGAGGGCACTGAAATAAGCTGTCTCGATTCTGTTGAACTTGATTTGCGGCCAACCAGGTTGGCTGTGGATTAATCTCACCCAATCTTCCATATCCTGCAAATTGCAATGTTATTGGCTATGTGCCATTAGGTATTTCCCTTAATACCCTGTTTCCCCCAAAATAAGACATCCCCTGATAATAAGCCCAATCGGGCTTTTGAGCGATAAGGCAATAAGGCCAAGCGCTTATTTCAGGGTGCAAAAAAATGTAAGACAGGGTCTTATTTTCGGGGAAACACGGTATGTTTTAGAATTTGTGGTTAGAATTTTCAGTCAGTAATAATTCAAGAGCGAATTTACTTTTATAGGCAAAAATATATGCTCAAGGAGACAGTATAAAGTCCACAATGACAAATTTTGCTCAAGGATTTGATCTTAGTCCCTACTCTTCTGGAATACAGAAGATCTTGCAAATTGGAATCATTTTCTTCAGCATTGGCAAAATTAAGAACGTTTATTTATTCAACTTAGATGCTGCCTATCTCATCTGGAAGCGACGTCATTCATTTATCCTAAATTATTGCTCAGCTTCTATTTCACTGATTTAGTCAGCTCCTATTCTACCTAACATTCTTGGGATTCATATTACATTGGGATTTATCAAACATTATCATGGATTGTTACTATCTCTTCATAATACCTGCTCACACTCTTAAACCTTAACAAGCTGGATACAGTCCCTAGCTGAAGTGTAGTCATTCCCCAGCCTTCTCCAATTGGGGTCTCCTGCATAACAGATGAATCACAAATCCCATCATTCTTTGCTAGTACAAAAGACAAAGCTTGTTCTGAATTCTAAAAGATCAATTAACTTAGACAAACTTGACTTGTTCCAAGTTCTCCTATTTCTTAATAGGGAACAAATAGCTTAAGGTTTCAATTTTTTTTCTCTAAAAGAAAATGACATGAGTTGCCTCCCTTGAAGAAAAGAGAACAAACTGTATTGCATTATTAGTTGTTTTTTTAAGCAATCAACCAACACCACAGATCTGACTCCATATCGGTTACACTACTCAAATATTTTGTCTGTTTCATTGCAATGGGTTATTTTAAAAATGGGCCAATACAGTGGAGGTGCTCCAGATTTCAGAAGCTATTTGCCTCCTTGAGTTCCTTTCACACAGGTATCACCTTAAGAGTTAGGGTAGGTGGCCCCTTTCCCTTTTTGTGACTTTTGGAACTGCTGTTTATCATGCTCGCTGAATACTGACTGCAGGGTTCACAGTTTTCCCGTGTTTGTTAGTGCAAAACAGCACCAAGCCTTCAAATTCCCAGTTTAAAAACAACAAACCTTCTCAATTCCAATTCCACCCACACGTGAGATGTCAGCCAGTTTGAGCTCCCTGTCCTCCCAAAAATGTTAAGGCTTGCTCACAAAACAAACATTTTTATTTTCATGGCAAGAACAGCAGCTCTCTTGTGCTCATCATGTGAACACCCCAGAGTTTCTCAGAAAATGAAGTCATTGTCGAGACCGCCTCCTAAGTGACAATACAGTTTTGCAGTTGCGAGGGAAAGGATGGTCTGCAGGTTTGTCCGAGAAGTAACAATTTCCCCATAATAACTGGAGGAAGTGGAACATAAAGATGATACATGCCATTGGTAGAAAAAGTTTACTTAGATCGCTCACCAGGCATGCATAATTGAAACCAAACAAGCTGTAATTTCAGGTACTTTGCTTGGAAGTAAGCCATCCACCTTATAAGGGAAGATGCAGCTAAGAGAGTAGATTGTATTATGGCACAAAGGCTATTATCTTTCTAAAGTCTCAAAAAAAAAATCTTTGTTCTTTAGGCATAAGATTGCAATGTAGGACCCTAAAAGGCCATCCAAACCTTGCTGCAGCTATTGGCTATTGGCTTTGTTTCAATAGATGAGGAGTTCACAGGAAGCTGAAAAGCAAAGATGACACTAAGGATTTGAAAACAGCTGATCAGCAAGCCTAAAGAGGAGTGTTGGTGGGAGGCTTGGAAATGAAACATAAAGATGGTATCAACATTTCAGATGTGACCCAGTCAGATAAAAAAAAACAATGCCAAAACTACCATGCTGCAAGATGCTGTCTTCTGCAGCAAAAAAAAAAAAAAAAAAAAAGGGAAAAGAGGGGTTGGGGAGAAAGAGCCAAGTCTTTTTTTTTTTTAAATAGTATTTTAAGAAAGGCAGCAACAATAGGAGGTGGAGAAGAAAGCCCAAAGCAATGACGTAATGGCTGTCAGCCGTCCCTATCCCAGCTGAGCAACCTAGGCTGTTGCTTATTATTCGCGTTGGCTTCACTCTTAAAAGAAATACCGATCTACGCTTTCCAAAGAAGTCGCCGCATTAACTGTGCTGCATCCTTCCAGAACCAAAAAGGATTTTTTTTATTTTTTTTTTTTTTAAAAAAATTTGGGTGCACTTTAAGGGCAACATTTGTTACACCGCAAGCCTCCCGGTCCAAGATACTGTATGCCACCCACCCGGGGAGAGCTTTCTTTGCATCGGAGCGCGGTTTTGCTCGCCTGGTTACGCGCTCGACCGGGGGCTCCCCGAAGCTTGTTTGTTCGTTGAGAGGCAGTAGTAGGCGGAGGAGGAGGAGGAGGGCAAGTAAACCACCGAAAGGCTTTTTTTTTTTTTTGCAGATGCACCAGAATGTGGTAAACATGGAGACAAACGGCGGAGGGGAAAAAAAAAAAAAAAGCAACACGCAGGAGGAGGGGAGGCGTGCCCGGCTCGCCGCCTCTCCTTGTGCCCCCCTCTTGTTTACGGCAGGCAACCCCTTTGCAAACAGTTCAGGGGGGGGGAGAAGAAAGAAGAAAAGCCGGCGCCGGCCAAGCCGAGCTGACCACTGACTTACCTCGGCGAAGTAGAGGTTGAGGAGGCAATTGGTGGCGAAGAGCAGGCAGACCGGGAAGCAGAAGAGCAACCAGTGTGGGAAAGGCTGGAGCCGGAGCTCCACGGCTCGCGTGGACGTCTGCAGGTAGAAAGAGAAGAGGACGGTGCGCAGCGCTGCCCACAGCAGGCAAAGGAAGAGGCACACGGTGCGGTAGCTGAGCCGCTTCTCCCGGTAGTAGAAGAGCAGCCAAAGCTGCAGGTAAGTGAAGAGGAAGAGGCCGGCGTAGAGGAGCGTGTACAGGACGCTCAGCCCCAACTCCAGAGCGGGGAAGGGGGGGGGCAAGAGAAGCGGACCCGATGAGTCCCATCGCTCCCGGCCCCACCATAACCGGGGGGGGGGGGGGGGGGGGAGGGGGGGGGGGGGGGGGGGTGGGCAAAAAAAAAAAAAAAAGGAGAGGAAAGAAGGGCAATTTTGGGGGCGCGGGGGGGGGAGGGGGGGGGGGGGGAGGGTTGGCGTCCCGCTTCGGTCTTGCAGGACGATTCAGAGAGCCATGCAAGTCGCCCGGAGAGGGGGGAAGAAGCCCCGCCGCCCTCCCTTTGTCCTCCGCTCGCTCGCCCGCCCGCCCGCCTCTCTGCAGCGCCGGCTCCCCTTTTGCCGAACCCAACTCTTCGCTCCCGAGAAACAATCAGCTGAGAGCCCAGAGGATTTGAGGCGTTCGCTCCGGGCCACGCGCCGCTTCCCATTGGTCAGCGCCCGGCTCCGCCCGCCGGGCGTCCAACCGCCGAGCCCGTTGGCTGCGCCTCCGAGTCATTCAGCAGGGAAGGCTCCGCCTCTTTCTGTCTCTCCCTCTTCCATCCCCCCCCTCCGCCCTCCCTTTTTTTTTTTTTTTGCTCCGCCGAATTTTCCAATCAGTGGTGTTTTTTTTTTTAATTAGATGGGTGTTGGGCCCGCCCGTGCGACGCGCTGCCTCCCGGCTCCCCCACCCCGCCAAATCCGGTTCGCTTCTTTTAATGCCCGCTCCTTTCGCTTTCGCTTCGCTTCGCATTTGGCTGCTTGGGTCGGTGGTGCGAGAGGCCTACGCCCTGAGTAAATGCTCGCCGGAGAGGATTTTGTAATAATACTTAAACTTGTTTTCCTAACGGCGTTCCCCGCTTCTCCTTGGATGGGTGGGCTGAGGCGTTGCGGCTTGAGGCGCTTTTTGCAAATGCGGTTTTCCCCTTGGATTCCTTCGTCTCTGTCCGGCGCAGCGGGATTCCTGCGAACTGACCGCCTCCTTTCTTGAATGTACTTCTCACCCCTGTGCCCCGTCTCCGAAATGCATTCGTCTGAACGAGGCTCTCTCCCTCCTTGTTAGACGGCTGGGATTTTCCTTCATTGCATCTTTGCCGTTAAACTAGTGCGGCTCAGATTTGGAAAGATTGGAAGTTGACTTACCTAACATACATTTTCCACCGTTAACCCTTTTGCTCTTGCTTGCTTGATTGCCTGGTAAGGTCCCATAAAGTGGTTTTCGGCTCATAAAAACATCAGTATTTAAGCAATGTATTAACAGAGTTGGAAGGGACCTTAGAGGTCATCTAGTCCAACCCCCCAATCAAGCAGGAGACCCTACACAGTTTCTGACAAATGGCAGTCCAGTCTTTTCTTGGAAGTCTCAAGTGATGAAGCTCCCACAACTTCCGAAGGGAACTTCTGTTCCATTGGTTGATTGTTCTCACTGTCAGAAAGTTCCTCCTCATTTCTAGGTTGACAGTATTGACAGTCTTGTTTTAAAGTTACTGAATCACTGGACCGCTCATAATATCACTTCAGAACATCACAACCGTCTAGAAGAAAGTCGATGGGAGTCTGAAGTCTGGGTTGACAAGGCACATCACTGTCTGGATCCTGTGACAGCGGAAATGGAGTTCTCAATAACCACAATTGAATCTGGGGAATTTGGCGGTGGGGAAATTCCCCAGGAACATTGAAGTGGTGGCAAGCAGCTTGGACTGCGCTCCCGACGCACAGAGTGAAATGTCAGGTGAGTTACTTCTTTTGATGGTTGTTTTGTTGTGATAGCTCTGATCAGTAATATCTACTGATATAAGAGGATGTGTGTGTGTCAGAACAATCAAAGAAATTAGAACTTTTGATCATTAATTAGTCCTTGACTTATGACCATTGGTTTAGCATCTGTTCAAAGTTACAACAGTGCTGAAAAATGTGACTTAGGACGGGTCCTTGCACTTACATCATTGCAGCTCTGCAGTCGTGTGATGGTGATCTCAGTGATTGATTGATTGATTGATTTGTCAAATACGTATAAGATAACAGATATAAGTATAAACATGATTATGGATACGAATAAATGGGGACATTAGGACAGGGACGGTAGACACCTTGGTGCGCTTATGCACGCCCCTTACAGACCTCCTAGGAATGGGGTGAAGTCAAAAGTTGACAGTCTAAGGTTAAAGTTTGGGGAGTTTGGGGAAGAGATCACAGAGTCAGGTAGTGCATTCCAGGCATTGACCACTCTGTTGCTGAAGTCATATTTTCTGCAATCGAGTTTGGAGTGGTTTACTTTGAGTTTGTATCTATTATGTGCTCGTGTATTATTGCAGTTGAAGATGAAGTAGTCATTGACAGGTAGGATGTTGTAGCAGATAATTTTGTGCACTATGCTTAGGTCAGCCCGAAGGCGGCATAGTTCTAAATTGTCTAATCCCAAAATTTCAAACCTGGTGACATAAGTATTTTATTGTGAGCAGAGGAGTGGAGTACTCTTCTCGTGAAATACCTCTGGACTCGCTCAGTTGTGTTAATGTCCAATATACAGTGCGGGTTCCAGGCAGATGAGCTGGATTGGTCTAGCAAAGGTTTTGTATGTCCTAGCACAATATTACCGGAGAAGAAGCTTCGCAAAATTAGGTTAACAACTTATAATGCCTTTTTAGCAATGTTGTTGCAGTGAGCTCTGGCACTTAGACCATTTGAGATGAGTACCCCAAGTCCTTGACAGTATGAGGGTCATCTACGATGTCGTATCCGCCCAGCTTGGAGACTGGCATCTATTTATGATAGTTGCAACATCCTGGAGTCATGTGATCGCCATTTGCGACTTTCCCACCAGCTTCCAACAAGCAAAGTCAATGGGGAAGCTGGCAGGGAAGGTTCCAAATCGGCATCCTGTGGTATCTTGCAAAATGACTGCGGCAAAAAAGGTTGTAAAATCGGGTGCAGTCATAGGTTGCCTCACTTATCACGCTGTTTAACAATGAATTATCTTACCCTCAATTGTGGTTGTAAGTCGAGGATTACTTGTAACATCGATCAAAGATAAAGATAAAAATGGCAAGTGCAACAGACTAGACGGACTGTAGCAAGGTGTCTCACCATGTCTCGCTCAAAGTTTTGGGTCAAGAGCCAGATCTTCATGGCTCCTCTAAACAACAGCAGAGTGCAGGCCATTCAGATCTTGGGGAAAACTTTATTCCAGAGGGAAGAGGCTGCTACAGAGACTATTATTATGGCCAAATTCATAAGCATGTGTACTAGGAGATAAGTGATGTGATGTTTGGGGGAGTGAATATAAATTAGATATTTTTCCTAATTGTCAAAATGCCTCAAAGGTTGTGAACATCTATGAGTTTTGCGGTTGAATGTCTTAAGTATCTTTAGGGACTACCTCAAGAGTATGTCAAGGACTCTTCACAAAATGATTGGCTCTCCATCTCTCTCCCTCCCTCCCTCCCTCTCTCTCTCTCTCTCTTTCTCTCTCTCTCTCACATACACACCTTAGCTCCCAGGATGCATGCTAATGCCATCCCAATTTATCCCCCCACCCCTGACAGTTGGTCAAACTTCAAAGCATAACTCAGGGCTACAAAAATCCGCCATGCTTTGTGTGTTTTCTCACTTATTTACAATAAGAAATGAAAGAAAACATGTCTGTTAGTTTCTTTTCTGGCTTTTTACAGAAAATTAAGGTACTTCTACATAGCTATTAACTTGATACTCAAAGCATCCAAAATGAATATCGACTAACTCTTCAATGGTGAAGATTCCTCCTGAGTCAACAAGTTGTTCTTCAAGTAGCCCAAAGAGAATAACAGAATAACAGAGTTGAAAGGGACCTTGGAGGTCTTCTAGTCCAACTCCCTTTTCAAGCAGGAAACCCTATAACAGTGACAGCTAACCTTTTTGCGACAGCAAAAGCGGGGGTCACACGCACACGCATGCCCACACCCATAATTCAATGCCCCCCCCCGCATGTGCATGCAACACCCCCCCCCACGGTCCCCCTGCTTTTGGCACACAATGGCAAAAATGTTACCGGTGGGCCTGGTAGGCCTGTTTTTCGTCCTCCCCAGGCTCCAGAGGCTTTCTTGGAACCGGGGGAGGGCGAAAACGGCCTCCCCCACCCTCCCGGAGGTCCTCCCGGAGGCTGAAAATGGCTGTTTCCCAACTTCCGGAAGACCCGAAAATCAGCTGGCTGGCGCATGCATGCACACTGGAGCTGAGCTAGGGCAATGGTCGTGTGCCCACAGATACGGCTCCACATGCCACCATAGGTTTGCCATCACGGCCTTATAACATTTCAGACAAATGTAACTTTCAAATGCCCTACTCCCATTTTAGCCACATTTGTTTGTGAGGTAAGGGAGCAAGTGTAGGTGTGCATGCAAGCACCCTGAAGTCTGTGCAATGATTACTGTGTTAGTGCCAGCAACACAAATCATTGGTTTTGATCTGTGCCTTCTCTAGTTCAGAAGGAAATGGGTGGATGACATGGTGCCAATCAATTGCATGGCCCCCAGAGGCCTTGTAAAAGGGTATTTACAGCATGAGGAGTTCCATTTGAAAGGGAGCATGGTGTAGTGGTTAGAGTAGGCATTCCCAAACCCTTTTGTTTGTCAACCTCTCATGAAATTTTAGATTGTCCATTTACACCCCCCCCAAAATATTTATTATTGGAAATAATTTAATACAGGTAGTCCTCAATTAAATGAGGTAATTGCAGCAATGTTCAGAGCAGTGGTGGGTTCCTCCCAGTTCGGCCCGGTTCTGCCGAGCCGGTAACGGTGATGATATGACGTCACCAAACCGGTTCTGCCCCACCCTCCACCCCCGCGTTATTCTTACCTTTTATTTGGCCCCACCCCCAATCTATTGCTGCCTCCTGAGTCCCAGCTGATGGCTAGAGGGAAAAAAACTGTTTAAACTCTTGCAGCAGGGCTTCAAAGGGCCACCCTACAGCTGATCAGTGTTAAAAGAAAACAAATGAGTAGACCGGTGCCTGCAAAAATAAATGGGTAGATCGGTACAGCTCTGCAAGCAGTTAAAAGCCTGGTAGACCAGTACCTCTGCTAAATCCTAAATAATTGTCACATGACCATCAAGCCACGCCCACAAAATAAGCCACGCCCACAGAGCTGGTAGTAAAAAAAATTAGAACCCACCCCTGGTTCAGAGAGACTCTACTTACAAAGGAGCATGGATGGGCATGGAGTGTTACAAGTACACCAGGTAGTTAAAGAAGAAAAAAAGGCATTGAAAGAATATCTGAAGAACAGTGAAGAAGATGTACTGAAGCCAGTACAGCTTAAGGCTGACTGAACCCTACAAGACTAAATAAAGAACAGAAAAGAGATACGGCAAGAGAAGGTATTACATGGCCAGCCATACACACACAAACACATATACATAGGCAAAGCATGTAAGAACAATATCTGGCAATGGCTAAGAGCAGGAAAGTTGAAAAAAAGGACAGGGGGCTAATTCTAGCTGTAGAAGACCAAACCCTAAGAACAAATGCATACAAAGCCAGAATTGCGAAGACAGCAACATAAAACAAATTCCATCACTGTAAAGAAGCTGAGGTGGAGCACCTAGTTAGCTGCTGCATGTAGATTGTAAAGACTGGCTACAAACAACAGCATGACAAAGTAGCAACAATGGTGCACTGGAAGATCTGAGAAATACCATTTGTGTGCAAGCAAGAACTAGTGAGACCATAAAATAGACAAAGTAATAGAAAATGAAGAAGCTGAAGGAAATGAAAATGAAGAAGCTAAAGTGCTTTGGGACTTTAGAATTCCAACATAACACTCAGACATGATAACAATTGTTGATAAGAACAATTCTGGATAATGGATGTTGCAATTCCTGGAGATAGCAGGATAGAAGAAAACTAGAGAAAATCACAAAATACATCGATCTGCAAATAGAAGTTGAACAAACTGTAGTAAAAAAAACGCAACAATAGTACCAACAGAAATAGGCGCCTTGGGTGCTATTCCAAAACATCTGGAGCACCACTTGAACACCATTGGCATTGAGCCATGGTGATGCAGTGGTCAGAATGCAGTACTGCAGGCCTAACTCACTGCTCACTCCAAGAGTTCAATCCTGAGAGGCTCAAGGTTGACTCACCCTTCCATCCTTCCGAGGTGGGTAAAATGAGGACCCAGATTGTTGGAGGCAATATGCTGACTCTGTAAACTGCTTAGAGAGGGCTGTAAAGCACTGTGAAGAGGTATATAAGTCTTAAGTGCTATTGCTATTAACAAAGTTACCATCAGTCAATTGCAAAAGGCAGTGTTATTGGAAAGCGTATATCTTGTCAAGATACCGTTAATAGCATCAAAGAAAAGCATTTGCCTATCCCAAATCCTGAGATGGACTTGCTAGGTGGATAAAAATGCCAAATCCAGTCTAAATATCTGGTTGACTATGCAACCATCCACATTTTTTTCTTTCTTTTTACGATCCCGTAATGCCTTGATTTGGGGTGGAGTTGGGGAAACTGAATGGAGTTAATTGTTTACTGGCCCTGAGCATTTACTGGGTGGATGCCCTTCCTGACGCCCACGTGGAGTTTGCAGCAAATTTTTCTCTTTGCTCCCTGATAGAGAAACATCTGTTGTTGCCTAGGATTAACTCTCAGCCTTTGGACTGGGAGGCCAGCATTTTCAACTCTAAGCCACTGCTGCCCTCAGTGCAACCCACCACAATAATAACAACAATAATAATAATGGATAGTTCTACCCACTCTTGGGGATTGAAATTGACCACCTTGAACTCTGGGTTAGAATGTTGAACTTAACATTTTATCTGTACTGTACATAGCAAGTTTGTATTTTATTTATTTTTCCTTTTTACCCAGTATAAGGTTGAATTCTCCTGAGACAACTTTGAGCAGCTGGAGACATGTCACCACCACAAATGACTCAACGGACTCACTTCTTTTTCCTGCTCACGTGGGTTTCTTGCATCTCACTGACAAGCAGTGTCGAAAACGTGATTCCAGAGTTAAGTCCCCAGGAATATTTTAGCGGCTTGCAAGCATCGAAAGCATCTTTGGTTTATTTTCAGAAGGATGGTGAGTATTTTCACCAGATTCCTTGAGAAAATTGGTTAGGAAAGAAAGAAAACTTACACGGCTAGGTTTAGGAACCAAGTTGTAGCATGCATAAAATGTATATTCTGATGATTCCCTCCTAATGACAATGAGCCTTTCATTCTACATGGTGCTCGTTCATGGAAACGTCTTTAGTCAGTCATGACTCATAGCGGAAACCCCAATTCAAATAATCTTTCAAAAAGTCAAGTGGGGTGGGTGGTAAGGAAGATACCCACGGTGATCAGATTCCCTCAGGCATTAGTCCCTTCCACCTGTATAATTTGATGAAGAATTCTGCAGAAAGTGAAAGGTTATATATGGTTTTGTGACATTTTGGTTGGTGTAATGATTTCTTACATAGCTGTGGCTCAAGAATTTTTTTTTATGCGCCAAGAAAAGGTTTTGTTTTATTTATGTTTATGATCCTTTCTATAGCGGTTCTACTGGAATAGGCTGTGTCCTGTCCTTAGGAAGGTGACTTTGGCTGGCTGTTCAAACCCTGATTTGATTTAATATCTGAGGAAGAATGGTCACAACAAGGCCATCAATATTTATGGTCACCTTCTGGAGCCTTTGGTATTGACATTGGTACTGATATATTTATCTCATTTATTTTACATATAGGTGAACTTTGAATTCTGCTTAATTTTCTTGTTATGGCTTGCTTAATTTCCCCCTTGGCACATCAGTGTTTAATCTTCAGTATGCCATTTAGTAGTAGGTATAGGCCTCAGCCTCAAGAGATATTCCTCATCATATGAGCCACGGTGGCGCAGTGGTTAGAGTGCAGTATTGCAGGCTACTTCTCCTGACTGACTGCTGCCTGCAATTTGGCAGTTCAAATCTCACAAGGCTCAAGGTTGACTCAGCCTTCCATCCTTCTGAGGTGGGTAAAATGAGGATCCAAAATTGTTGGGGGCAATATGCTGACTCTGTAAACCGCTTAGAGAGGGCTGTAAAGCACTGTAAAGCGGTATATAAGTCTTAAGTGCTAAGTGCTATTGCTATAATAATACTGTGTGAGAGGACGTTCTGCAAGATTTCACTGGAAGGAATCCCACAATTTATGTGCCATTCCAGGGAAGGCTCTATCTTTCTGCCAGCCCTTCAGGCTAGACCAGTCTAAAAACCAATGCCATATAAGTCAGTACAGGTAATCTTTGTCTTACAACGGTTCATTTAGTGACATTCAAAGTTAAAACGTCACCTGAAAAAGTGACTTGAATGACCATAAGCGTAAGCATGAGCATCCCCATGTCGCATGACCAAAATTTGGACGTTTGGCAACTGATTCATATTTATGATGGGTGCCATGTCCTGAGGTTACATGTTCCCCTTTTGTGACATTTGTGTAACAAATGTCTCTCTTAGCAACAGAAATATTGAGCCCAATTGTAGTCGTAAGTCGAGAGCTACCTATACTACTATTAACATAAAAGTCTAGCGTTGAAATCATATAAATCTGAATGCATTTCTTCCTTCCTCCCCTTTATCTTCATGTGAATTAGGAAGGGGTTTGTTTGAAACATTTGCTTAAATTATTTTCTTGGCCTAGACTCAAACCCTTCTTATCTGATCATTGCCTTGATAGTAGCTCTTCCTTCTGTCCTTCAAGGCCGTTTTCTCTGCCCTTCAGGCTTTTCTATTTCTGTCATGGGGACAGAACAGAGATAAAAGGGGGGAAGCAGGTTAATAAAAATGACTTTAAATTAACATGAAGATTTCAAGTCAAGCCAACAATGCATTACTATTAATCTTCTCATCATTCCTATCACCCATCTCCTCCCACTTATGACTGTATAACTGTAACTTTTTGCTTGTATCCTTACAATTTGTACTGATTGTTTCCTAGTATGATTTGCTTGCTTATTTGTACCCTATGACTATCATTAAGTGTTGTACCTTATGATTCTTGAAGAATGTATCTTTTCTTTTTATGTACACTGAGAGCATATGCACCAAAGACAAATTCCTTGTGTGTCCAATCACACTTGGCCAATAAAGAATTCTCTTCTCTTCTCTTCTATTCTAATAGAAGCTTTCAATGTAGAGACAGTGATGTGTTTATTCCTGCTGTTAAATTCAATATATGCTTGGTATATATTTCTGTAAAAAAAAATGAAGATGAAAATGAAACAATGTTTTAGAAATATTAAAAATATCACTGTGATTGTCATTATGATGCCAGTGAAGCTCTTGTTTTTTTTATTCCAGTTTCACCATCTAGTGAGGTGTTCTTGGAACAGTTGGAGAACTCCAAAGAAGCTCTCCAAGATTATGGGATCTTTATCTTAAAGGTAGAATTGTTTTCTGCTTTATAATTCTTAGGGAAGTATGACCTTTTTGGAATTTCAAGACAATTCAGCCAAATTCTACAACAATGTACAATAAATGACAAATTGCCCATCGGCTTTTGACTGCAGAGTGAAATAGTTCTCCATTGTTTTCAACAAAACATAATCCTACTGTGTCAAATTATTCTCCGTCTATCTAGTGTAATCTGTTTGACTGTTAAGTCCTGAGATAACTGTTTTTTCCATTACCGTTTTCTCTCTGTGCTGCCCAACTCAATAGAAAATTGGAAAAGAAATTAAGTAAAGCAATTGAGACTGTATGCCTCTGTCTGTTGGCACGGTAAATCTCTGAATACTGAACAGAATGGAACCACATTTGGAGTGCAGGGAGAAAGAATGTGGTAAAAAATGGCCTGGATCAGTCTGGGGGCTATAAAGAAGGACATTCTTCCAGCTGTGGGAAAGGCTCAAAACATTGACAGCTTCTCTGTTCCACTCATGTGATCCAGAGCAAAATCATATGTAGATTGTCCTGTGCCTCCCAGTATATACATATGCATGAATTTAGGGCCTGGAAGGGGTTGGAAAGAATTCTAGAAGTCCTGCTCTGTATGCTTTCCTTAGCTTGTAAATTGAAATTTCTAGGACTCAGTTCTATCACTGAACTAGCACTATATGAAGAGAGGGCACGTAGAAGGAGAACATCAAAGATCTGGGAATAACAAAGGAAGAGGGTGTTTTTTTCTGATTTAATATGGGTCCATGACAATTCATTAAAATCATGGTTTTATATAACATGTCTTTATTTACAATAATACGTGCTACTATTTCTATATAATACTTCTATATTAATAGAAGCTTCTCTCCCAGAGCAAAAAACAGCTTTGGAAATAAGGATTTTTAACAAGTTTGTGATGCAGGGACATAAAACCCAACTCCGTATGCCTCAGTCTCAGTCCTGATGTTTCCCCAAAAGCTGTTTTTTAAAAATAAGCAAATTCAGATACCTAAAATGTATACTTGATGCAACATTCAGTCTGTCTAATTCATTGATGTAGAAGATGAGAGGAAGGTTTTCATATAAGTGTTTCCAAATGAATTAAAGTAAGCCTCAGCAGGTGATTTGAGCTGATCTAGAAAGCTAAGAAAGATAGGGGACAGGGGGCTTAGTGGCTAAGACGCTGAGCTTGTCGGTCAGAAAGGTCGGCAGTTTGGCGGTTCAAATCCCTAGCACCGCATAACAGAGTGAGCTCCCGTTACTTGTCCCAGCCTCTGCCAACCTAGCAGTTCGAAAGCATCTAAAAATGCAAGTAGAAAAATAGGGACCACCTTGGTGGGAAGGTAACAGCGTTCCGTGCGCCTTTGGCATTTATTCATGCCGGCCACATGACCACAGAATTGTCATCAGACAGCACTGGCTCTTCGGCTTAGAAACGGAGATGAACACCGCCCCTTAGAGTCGGGAATGACTAGCACGTATGTGCGAGAGGAACCTTTACCTTTACTTAGAAAGTTAAGTAGGGTTGGGCTTGATTTAATTCTAGATGATATCAGACAATTCACTGAGCTGGTCAATTGAGCTGGTCAAAAATTTCATACCTTTGCAACATGACAGTTAATAACAATATCACTTATACATCTCTTATTGTGCTTTGCAGCCCTCTCTAAACGGTTTACAGAGTCATCATCTTGCTCCCAACAATCTGGTTCCCCATTTTACTGATGGAAGGTTGAGTCAACCTTTGAGCCGGTCAGGATCAAACTCCTGACAGTGAGTTAGCCTGCAATAGTGCATTCTAACCACTGTGCCACCACGGCTCTTGCAATAATACCCCAGTAAAGATTTTAGTTTTTTTCCCCATAGATTAACTGCCAAAGAGGAGAAGCATCCAGCTACTGCAGAGGAGATAACTCCATGGGAAAAGTATACCTATTCAGGTAAACAGTTCCTCTCATTGCGAATAAATAAATTACAGTGGTTGAGCTTGCACGAGTGGTTTTTGAGTTAAAACAGGCATTGGACCAAAATTTCTGTTGCTTTGCAATGCAGTGGTAGAGTGGGATGTCACATGATTGCATCAATTAGTGACAACAATCCTGGCAATCTTCATTGCTGTGCTAATCCCAGGACAGTGCAGGTGTTAATCAAGGATCTTGCGTGACCACAATGTTGGTAAATGTGGGAGTCCCAGGCAAGGTGAGAACAGCAGGTGAGAATTATGGGTGGGCAGGTGCTGTAGAGCAGGGGTCTCCAACTTTGGCAACTGGAGTTGAAATCCACCAGGCTTAAAGTTGTCATGGTTGGAGACCCCTGCTGTAGACCATTGGCAAGTGCTGAGTTTGGTCTGCTTTGAAACAAAATGAATAAATTCTTTATCCATGCTTTGAACTGAAAATACATTCCTTTTTTTTTGCTGAAATATCCTATTTCATTAAATAAACCATTAGGTTGTGACAAAAACATGCCATTTTTTCTCCCAACATTAGAATTCCAGTAGTGAATTTCAAAGCTATTCGGTTCTAATAAGAGAAGTATTGATTTTGTAACTAGACCACCAAACATCGAAGCTATCAGATGTGATGAGGATCACCAATTTAAGTAGTTTTATCAAGGAGTATATTAACTAAATAGCATGGCCCGGAGACTCTAGCAGCTTGTCCTATGTTTACATAATGATCTTGTCTTCTCTTAGGTTCTTTGTTTCCCATCTTGCAAGCTTCAGCCCTCAGACCCAAAGGTGCTTTTCCAAAAGGCAACTGGACTTCCTTGGTTTTTTCCTTGAAAACGTTTCGCTTCTCATCTGAGAAGCTTCTTCAGTTCTGGGGAACAGAAGGATTTATATTCTTTGCAGTCATCTGGTCATTAGTACTTTGAGAGTTGTTGAGGCCACCTGGGGATTTATCTATATCCTCAGATCACCCAAATCAGTGTGCAAATCAGTGTGGAACTTTCTTGGGACTACTGACTGAGCTGTAAACAGGAGATAGGTAGGATTGTATCCTTCCTCCTCTGTTGAGAGAGGGCTGTTCAGTCTTAACATAGATGGTCTCTTTGACCTCTCTTTCAGACCAGGGGTCCTCTCTGTCCAGAATGTGAACTTCTGAAAAAGCACCTTTGGGGCAACCATGACCTGGATGATTGAGAATTAGCCTTCAGACATATGGATCTATAGCAGGTCAGATCAACTTTTCTCAACCATTTGAGAAAAGGGCTGGTTCTGAGGGTTCTTGAAAGATCAAGGGGTCACCTCTTAGTCTGGACAACTTTTGATACAACTGCTCCAGGTAACAGAAACACATGTTGAGATGGCATTGAGCAGCTTTGCTTCCATTCTGCATGTTATTGGGCATATTGAAGGCTCAGTGGCACCCCTAGTGAAAACTAAAGAAGTCTGACTCCCACCATCCCCAAGATGTAGCATGTGATAGACCAGAGGTCTTTAAACTTGGCAGCTTTAAGACTTGTGGACTTCAACTCCCAGAATTCTCCAGCCAGCATAGCTGAATTCTCCAGCCAGCATAGCATAGCTGGCTGGAGAATTCTGGGAGTTGAAGTCCACAAGTCTTAAAGCTGCCAAGTTTGAAGACCTCTGTGATAGACAGTGTTCACTGTTCTTGCAGAAGCTGCCAGCTGGCTTTAAGCATTTATCTTATTTTCCAGGGACCGTGTGTTGGTTCGTGAACTTGCCATAGATGCCTTGTTCAGCTTGGATGCCATTGTGGCAAATGTACTTTTGTAAGTTCTCTGTCCTTTATTTACTCAATATACATCCTGCCTGCAAATAACAATAGTTGGGGCTGCCAGAAGAGCAAGAGTATCTCCCTCGACACCTGACATAGTAAAAAGAGAAATAGAAGATGAGAAGGAGAAGGAAAAGTCATTCTACCTTTATTCAAGGCAGCAAACAAAGCTAAATACAAATGCAATTAAAAAAATATTAAAACAAATTAACAGTTAAAATTCTCCTCTTTGGGGTATTTCCTGATGTTATTTTTTTTTTCCTAATGAGCTGCTTTTCATTTTTTGTGGAAAGCAGATAGTTGGTCTCAGCTGGTTCATGAGACATGACCAGAGAGACCTCTAGAAGACAGCAGGGTTTTAGGAATGAAGCAGAAAAATGACAGAGCAAGGAGTCTTTGGCAGGAGCTTACAGTGAAGATCTGACCTCGTGGTTCTTAAATAGGCTTGGATTTATTTCATTGAAATTTATTTATTTATATATTCAATTTATATGCCGCCCTTCTCCGGAGATTCAGGGCGGCTTACAATGCATTTAAAAAAAACAAAAAACACCATTATAAATGTTTGCAATGACATGTGACAATCCTTCCAAGCTGAGTTCTATATCGTTTTTTATTACCCTTTCTTTGGGTACCACCCTGTGGTGATGTACAAGCCAAATTCCTGCCCAGTAATCACAATGGCCTGGGTTCAGGATCCATTGGAGTGTTGGGTTATACCAGGGGTGGGCAAATGTGGCCCTTTTACAACCTGTGACCTTCAACTCCCAGAATTCCTGAGACAGCCAAGCTGGATTATACCACTAGGTTTTTTTTTAACATTCTATGTAAAAATGAATCACTTAATAGGGACTGGAATACTGCCTTACTAACAAAGTAAAGACAGCCAGTGCAGTGGTTAAGACTCCAAAATTGGGAGACCAAGAATTTTAGTCCATTCACCATGAATGGATGACCTTGGGCCAGTCCTTCCCTCTCAGCTCTAGGAAGGAGGCAATGGCAAACCACTTCTGAAATCTTCTCAAGAAAACTGCAAGGACTTTTCCAAGTAGTATCTGGGAGTCAATACTACCTTGAAGGCACCGAAGCAAACAAACAAAGTAGACCTCACTGGACTTGAATTCACACATCCTTGTGTCTAGCAAGCTGAATCTGAAGCTACAGTTCATTATTTTCATGGGTTTCTCGGAATAAGAAGCCATAAATTCTGATTTGTAGACCACAGCTTGTTTTCTTTTAATACAAAGTTTCCTAATTCATTTAGCTGTTTTTAGAAGGAACCAGCTGGAAGGCCATCAAGCAGGAAGTATATGCATGTTTGTTAAATTATACAGTAATATAATGGGCATTGGGTTATAGGCAGGGGTGAAATGCTCCCGGTTCGGACCGGATCGCATGATCCGGTAGCGATGGAGGTGGGTGGTTCGGAGAACCGGTAGCAAAAATCCCTGCCCCCCCCCAATTGTCCAGCTGAGCTGCGCAATCATCACAGGCTTTTTTATTATTTTTAAAGCATTTTTTCTACAACCTCTTTGGCCAAAAAAAATGCTTTTAAAAGTAAAAAAAAAAAAGCCTCTGATGATCGCGCGGCTCAGCTGGGATCATCAGAGGCTTTTTTTTAAAAAAGAAAGCCTCTGCCAATCAGGCAACTCAGCTGGATTGTCAAGAGGCTTAAAAAAAAAAAAGAAAGCCTCTGCCGATCAGGCAAGTCAGTTGGGATTGTCAGAGGCTTTAAAAAAGAAAAAAAGAAAGCCTCTGCCGATCAGGCAAGTCAGCTGGGATCGTCAGAGGCTTAAAAAAAAAAGCCTCTGCTGATCAGGCAAGTCAGCTGGGATCGTCAGAGGCTTTGAAAGCATTTTTTTAACAACCTCTTCAGTTGAAGAGGTTGTAGAAAAAATGGTTTTAAAAGTAAAAAAAAAAAAAGGTTGGCCACGCCCACTCAATCATATTACACCCCCCCTCCCCCACCAAGCCATGCCCACAGAACTGGTAGTAACAAATTTTACATTTCACCACTGGATGTAGGCCCCTTTTAAACCCTCCTACTTAAAATACAGGTGGTGGTTCTATTGCTGAGGGTTTTCACATGTTGGTCATCCTGTTTTCTTCCCAGCGCTCTCCTCTTCAATGAAGTGAAATACATTTCAACACTGATGGACCTTCAGCATTTAGAAAACTCTTTGAAGGGTCAGTCCGATCTTGCTTTCGCATATGTGCAAGCAGTCGGGACAGCAGGTAATCCTACAGCTCTGGTATCCATTCCCAAAGCTTTCTATCATTCATGGTCTGCTGCTTTTGTGACATGCTTTGCTTTGAACTAACATGCCACTTTACTGCTAAATGTTTTTCTATTTTTAGTGTTGTCTTAATTGTTTTCTCTTGTATTTTGAACTGGGCTAGAAGAAGTAAGCAATATATACGAGTACTATGTAGATCATTAAAAGGTAAACGATACATATTATGTCTGTTTATACATGCCATGAACATGAATCGCTTTTGACATGGGTAGATTTTGCCTGGAGTTTGCAAAGTCAGGATTAAGTTGGTTTAGGACAGGAGTGAGTGTGTTAACGTTTTCCACACGAAGGAGTACACTTGGCCTTTGGAGTGGTACACTGAAGAACTGTAATGGTATGTGGGAATGATCTTGGGTGACAGGAGGAAGAGCCACAGACTGGACAACCGGTATGTAAAAGGTATTACAGCCCCCAGAAGGAGGAGGGAGGGCGTGGGAAGCATTTCAGAAGGAATCCTGCCTAGAGAGTAAAAGGAAAGGAGGGGAGAAGTGCCTTTGGACCTGCCAGATTCTGTTAATGTAACTTTACAATAAAAATAGAGGTGCTTCATTTCTGGAGTACAGATAGTCCTCGACTTACAGTCGTTCATTTAGTGACTGTTTGAAGTTACAGCAGAACTGAAAAAGTGACTTATGACCATTTTTCACACTTAGAACTATTGTAGCATCCCCATGGTCATGTGATGAAAACAACTGACAACTGACTCATATTTATGACTGTTGCAGTGTCCCAGGGTCATGTGATCATCTCTGGACACCTTCTGACAAGCAAAGTCAATGGGAAACCTGATTAACTTAACAACCTTGTTACTAACTTAACAACTGTAGTGATTTACTTAACAACTATGGCAAGAGAAGTCGTAAAATGGAGTAAAACTCAGTTAACAAATGTCTCATTTAGCAACAAAAATTTTGGGCTCAATTTGGTCATGAGTCAAGGACTATCTGTACCTCAGAGTTCTAAAAAAACACCCTCCAAAGTTAATTTTAAATTTGAATTAAATTAAATGCAAAACAATCAACCAATGGAACAGCTTTGCCTTCGGAAGTTGTGGGAGCTTCATCACTTGAGACTTTCAAGAGGAGATTGGACTGCCATTTGTCAGAAATGTTGTAGGTTCTCCTGCTTGGGCGGGGGGGTTGGACTAGATGGCCTACAAGGTCCCTTCCAACTCTGTTAATCTGTAAAATGCAGTTACTATTATATTCCTTATTCTCAATACTGTTTTTTCTAAGTTTAAAAATCACTAAGCAGTGGCTGTTTTTGAAAAGGCTCAGATATCCAAAGGCTCTACATTTCTGGCTTAAAGGGAAAGGGGAGACAGAAAGACAAGATTTAGTCAGTTAGAGGAATTGATGAATAAATATTTTCTCTTCCTAGAGCACCGAGTCTTCATGGAGGCCGCGTTTGTTTATGGCTCAGTGAAGTTTGCCTTAACTACTGAAGTGGCAGTTCTGAAGAGCATCCGGTATGCATTTCTCTAAGAGTATAAGAGCCCAACTACATCAGACCAAACTCTTCAGGCTAGCATTAAATGTCACACACAGTGGCCAATGAGGATGATAGCTTCATCCTCTTAAGATGCAATAATTTCTGCTTTGGTTACTGTCATGACTGGATTTAGAGCACCAACTAAGTAAAGGCGGTGATGCTAAGAAGGGAGTGATGAGTAACTGGGCTCCAGTTTTGTGGATCTGCTAAAAATGCAGGGGTCAATTAAGGCAGGGGTCCCCAATCCCCAGTCAGTAGACTGGCACTGGTCTGTGGCATGCCAGAAACCACTCAAATAAGTGAAGCCCCATCCGCGGGATGCAGACGGTACATGAAACCCTCCTGTCCATGGAAAAACCTCTCTGCAGAACTGGTCCCTGGTGACCAAGAGGTTAGGGGCCGCTGAATTAAGCAGTTGAGGCTTTGATAGAGGTAGCTGTTTGGACCAGGTGTTAAAAATGACCTTTCACATATGATAGAGGGCTTATTTCTTGTTTGCCTTCCATCGTGTACATAGTGTAGCCAGGTGTTGGGATGTGACAAACAAAGCCAGCTCATTTGGGGGTTTGTGTTTTCTCACTTCAGCAGTGAAGAGCCAGAGGTGCCATCTTCAAAACTCTTCTTTTGCCACTGTAAAGTGGCCACGGATCCTGAACAGCCATGCCTCAGGACTCTGATGGAAGAGCCATTGACTACGTTAAGCATCCACAAGTTCCTGAAGCTGATGGGGGAACCTCTGGTGGTAGGTGAACAGTAGCCACGACTTCTTTCTGATGTTCCTCTTGTGTTCTGAAGTCCCTTCAAAGCATATCAGGGCAGAGTTGCATCAGGTGGGGCTAGTGGAATCAATGGAAATGTTCAAGGAACTGGGAAAAAATCCTGTTTTGTTTTTAAGAAAAAAGGAAATTGAAAGTATGGGCAATACAATATAGGTACTCCTTGACTTATGACAGGTCACTTAGTAACCATTTTTTTTTTTAATTCAATTTGTATACCACCCTTCTCCTAGTGGACTCAGGGCGGTGCACAGCCAGAACTAAAACACATACCAATACAAAATTTAAAATTATTAAAAGAATTACATACTTTGGCCCAAATTTAAAACAATTTGAATTAAAATCCGTTGACAAATTAAAAGCTAAAAAACTAAAAAAGACTAAAAAAAGGGGGGGGGTTCACGCCAGCCCTGCTTGATGGAAAAGAAAAGTTTTCAGGGCACAGTGAAAGATACGATATCCTTCGTATCTCCGGGGGCAAATTGTTCCAGAGGGCAGAAGCTGCCACAGAGAAGGCCCTCCCCCTGGGGGTCGCCAGCCGACATTGCCTGGCTGACGGCACCCTGAGGAGTCCCTCTCTGTGGGAGCATACTGGTTGGTGGGAGGCTATTGGCGCAGAAGGCGGTCCCGCAAATACCCAGGTCCTATGCTATGGAGCGCTTTAAAGGTGGTAACCAACACCTTGAAGTGCACCCGGAAGACCACTGGAAGCCAATGCAGCTCACGCAGGAGAGGTGTCACATGGGAGCGCCCCCTCGCTCCCATAATCCCCCGCGCGGCCGCATTCTGCACCAGTTGGAGCCTCCGGGTGCTCCTCAAGGGGAGCCCCATGTAGAGAGCATTGCAGTAGTCCAGGCGGGAAGTGACGAGTGCCTGAGTGACTGTGCGTAAGGAGTCCCGATCCAGAAAGGGACGCAACTGGCAAATCCGGCGGACCTGATAAAAAGCCCCCCTGGCCACAGCTGTCATATGCTCTTCTAAAGACAGAAGAGGACGCCCAAGCCAGGAGGACGCCCAAGTTGTGAGCCCTGACCGTGGGGGCCAATAACTCGCCCCCAATAGCCAGCGATGGCACCAGCTGGCTATATCGGAACGCCGGAAGCCACAGCCACTCGGTCTTGGAAGGGTTGAGTCGAAGCCTGTTACTCCCCATCCAGATCCGCACGGCCTCCAGGCACCGGGACATCACTTCAAGGGCATCGTTGGGGTGGCCTGGGGTGGAGATGTACAGCTGAGTATCATCAGCGTACTGATGGAACTCCACCCCAAAGCCACGGATGATCTCACCCAGCGGCTTCACATAAATGTTGAACAGAAGGGGCGAGAGGACCGACCCCTGAGGCACCCCACAAACAAGGCGCCCGATTTGAAGTTACAACCCGATTATGACAGACACCCTCCCCGGCCTTCCTCTTCTGACCCAGATCCCCAAACACCACAAACCCTCTGAAGTGAATTTAAAGATTCCTTTAATTAGGAGTGTTGGCAGCCCCAACAAAAGATTTCTCTCTCGCCATTAGCTAACAAGTCCGGCCAGTCGGCCGAAAGATAAATAGTTGTCTGCCACATCTATTCATCTCTGCCTCCTGCCTTTTATTCCCAAAGCTAGGGTGGGGCTTCGCTAGCAGCAGTGGCTCTTCCTTCCCAAGGATCAGCCCACGGATTTCCATTACTCTTCTCTCCTCTGCCTTCTGCACATCCGCACATAAAGCACTGGACTCAGCTGTTCCTCTTCTTCCTCATCAGCCACCTCCAGACCTGAGGGCTGATGGACGGCCCAGGCTCCTCCTCTGTCTCTCTTTCTGTCAGCTCCACTCCCTCTTCCCCCTCGGAGCTCTCAGATTGCCTTGATGCTGGCCCTGACTCCCACGCCTCCTCCACATCTGATTCGGTTGTTGGAGGGGCCAGTGGCTGACAGGCCACAATACCCCCTGTGGTTAAGTGACAGCACTTTGGGCATTCGGTAATATGATCACATTTTTGCCCATTTGCAGTGTTTTGTGGTCGTGGGATGGCATTTTATGATGGTTTTGCCAAAAACTGGAAGTTACCTGCGTATGAAATGTGATTATCAGAAATCTCATAGCAAGGCAGGATCAAGGAAGCAAGAAATTCTAAAATGCCATGATTTGAGGTAGAAAACAGAATCAGGCTGTGGAAAGCAAAATCCATCTGGTTCAGTTCCAAGCTGGGAGAAAGAAGCTGGAAATAACATGGAGGCTGTTTAGAAAGTTGGTTTATTGAACAGAACCACAAAGACAGTGCGCAGTTCTGGGTCAGCTGAACAAATGGTTGGATGAGTGGATGGATCTTTATAGGTTTCTGTGACTTTGAAGTTTTAACTGTTCTGGGGGTGGTGCAATGAAGGGTCTTGTGTTCTGAATGGGTGTTGGGCAATTCATATTGTAGCTAATGGCTTTCATCCTGTATTGGATCTTGGGTGAGGGGCTGCTTCCAATCCTATCACTCTAGTCCAGTGGTGAAATCCAAATTTTTTTACTACAGGTTCTGTGGGCGGGGCTTGGTGGGCATGGTGTGGCTTTGTGAGAGTGGCAGGGGAAGGATACTGCAAAATCCCCATTCCCTTCCCACTCCTGGGGGAAGGATATTGCAAAACCTCCATTCCCACCCCACTCTGGGGCCAGCCAGAGGTAGTATTTGCTGGTTCTCCGAACTACTCAAAATTTCTGCTACCGGTTCTCCAGAACCTGCTGGATTTCACCCCTGCTCCAGTCCTTTGTTTCAATTTCAGTCTTTTCTTCCTAAGTAATAGCAAGTTGGATTGAGATAAACTACTAATTCACCCCATTCCATCTTTGAATTGTTAATGGCTGGCATTCTTCTCATTTCTTTCTCAAACCTCCTCACAATCTTTCGCAATTACTGATAAATAATATTTTAATTGTTTATTATTAGCTGATCTTCTAAGTGAATGAACATAATACCTTCCCAATGACAAAGATATTATGCCAAGAGGAAAAGTATAAGTAAGAAGTGAGGTAACCTTAAAATAAAAGCTTATTATCATCTGAAATAATGCCCATGATGTTTTAAAGTACAATTATTCATTCCCCTAATTGAAACATCATTGCTAATACATGCTGGATAATTGAGAAAGTGAAAAAATACCTAAAAGAAATCAGTAAGTGCTTCATTGATTATAAAAAGACTTTCAATTGTGCCGATCACATCAAGCTCTGGAATGTGCTTACAAAAATAGGAACCCCAGAATATCTCACTGTCCTCCTGAAAAACATATACAGATTAGGAAGCCATGATATAGACAGAACATGGCAAACTAGATTGGTTCCAGGTTGGCAAAGGAATGAGACAAGGCTGTATACTCTCCCCTTATTTGATAGATAGATAGATAGATAGATAGATAGATAGATAGATAGATAGATAGATATACATACCATAGATAGAGATAGAGATATACAGATAGAGATAGATAGACGGGTAGATAGATACATATATAGATAGATAGATATACACATAGGTATACACACACACACACACACACACACGCACAGAGTTCATTTAGTGACCATTCAAAGTTAAAACAACACTGAAAAAAGTGACTTATGACCATTTTTCACACTTATGATCATTGCAGCATCCCCATGGTCACATGATCAAAATTTGGATGTTTGGCAACTGGTTCATATTTATGATGGTTCCAGTGTCCTGGGGTCATGTCACCTCTGGAGACCTTCACTTAACAACCATGTTACTAACTTAACAACTGCAACAATTCACTTAACAGCTGTGGCTTGAAAGGTTGTAAAATGGTGCAAAACTATCATGTAAGCCAGGGTATTCCCTGTGATGCTGTACGGAAGCAAATGTTGGACTTTGAAGAAGCAAGATAAGAAAGAGTATTGACCAGTGGTGAAATCTAAAATTCTTTACTACCGGTTCTGTGGGCGTGGCTTAATGTGACTGGGTGGGCGTGGCCAATTTTGTTGGTTTTTTTTAACTTTTAAAACCATTTTTTCTACAACCTCTTTGGCGAAGAGGTTGTAAAAAAATGCTTTCAAAAGGCTCTAACGATCCCAGCTGAGTTGCCTGATCGTCAGAGGCTTTTTTTCTTTTAAATGCCTCTGCCAATCAGGCAACTCAGCTTGGATCGTCAGACATCGTCTTGGATCGTCAGCTTGGATTGTCAGCTTGGATTGTCAAACTCAGCTTGACGATCAGGCAACTCAGCTTGGATCGTCAGAGGCATTTAAAAGAAAAAAAGCCTCTGATGATCGCACGGCTCAGCTGGGCATGGGGGTGGGGTGGGGCAGGGATTTTTGCTACCGGTTCTCCGAACCACCCGCCTCCATCGCTACCAGATTGGGCGATCCGGTCCGAACCGGGAGCATTTCACCCCTGGTATTGACACTCCTGAACTTTGGTGTTGGAGAAGAATCCTGAAAATATCACGGACAACCAAGAAAACAAACAAATGAATCATTGATCAAATAAACCCAGAGTTCTTATTTGAGGCACAAATGATCAGGCTCAGATTAACCTATTTCGGGCATGTTACGCAAAGACCCAGATCTTTGGAAAAAGCTCTAATGTTGGGAAAGGTGCAAGAAAGAAAAGGGATGAGGGATGGATGGAAATATGTTCTGTTTCACCACATTTAGCAATTTTTGAAAAAGACCTATTTATGGTTATTTTTAGTAAGCAGCAAAAAATATGAAAGAGGTACTTGATTTGCATTTGGGTCTAGGACTCACTTTCTGAAAACACCTTTTGCTCTTGTTCAGGGTTATAATCAGATTAAAGTGAACCCAGCCTATGTGCTAAAATTTCCGCCTTTGTCTTTAAATAGTGGAATAAAATCATATTTTGGTCTCATCAATGAGTAGCAGGGCCAAGGTCCCAAATAATACAGCATCCTTAAGGTTAAGAAAAGTCTTGGCAAGGGAACATATTTATTAGAAACTATCCACATAAAAAGCACTGCTTTTGTGGTAGAGTTTGTCCTGCCCATTTATTTTTCTTCTATATCATGTCTATTTGATGGTCCACCTCCAGTACATCTCAGTTGATTTTTTTTATGCTGGTGTTTCTTCTCCAGGTGGAAGTTGCAGTAGATCCGGAAAAGATTTCAACTACTCATCTCCAGCTTGGCCTACCACTGATTTTCATTCTGAGCCAGGAAGAGACCTTGGAAGCAGACAAGAGGATTGCTGAATCTGTAGCCTGGCAGTTGCTGGGGAAAGCAGGAGTCCTCCTTTTGTCAAGGTCCTTTGGAATTAAAAAGTGGGGAGGCAGAAGAGAGGGGAGAACTTATCTCACCATTGTTCTTATCTCAGTACAATTCTTGAGGTTGGAAATTCCCAAAGACTCACAGCAAGTGTCATGGGCATCAGCATGGAGGCATGTCTATAGAGATTCTCGGTCATCCAGGTCATGGTTGTCCCAAAACATTTTTGAAATTGATCATCTTCAATTTAATTGGAGCTTCAACTGTGCGGTAGAATTTGCCTCTGATTCCGTCATGGATGCAAGTCTATAGAGATTCTCAGTCATCCAGGTCATGGTTGTCCCAAAGGTACATTTTCAAAAGGCAACTGGACTTTGTTTTTCCTCAAAGACATTTTGCTTCTCATCTAAAATGCTTGGAAAGAAGCTTCTTCAAAAATGGAAGAAGTTTCTTCCAAAATGGAAGAAGGTTTGGATGGGAAGCAAAACATGGTTAAGGAAAAACGAAGTCCAGTTGCCTTTTGAAAATGTACCTTTGGGACAACCATGACCTGGATGACTGAGAATCTCTATAGACTTGCATCCATGACGGAATCAGAGGCAAATTCTACTGCACAGTTGAAGCTCTAATTAAATTGAAGCTCCAGTTAAAGCTCATTAAAAAGGGGAGGCTGTTTATGTGCGTATGATGCCTCCCACACACATGCAATAAGAGATTGAGCTTTGATTGTGACTGCCTATCTCAATAATTTGGTCCCCCAACCTTTCTAACCTCCACAGATATCCCTAGGAAGATTTAGAAGAGGGGCTTACTTCCAATCAAACATGTCTAAGGTTGAAGCCTATCATTTTGCTTAGGACAACGTTCCACAACCTTAGCAACTTTAAGTTGTGTGGACTTCAACTCTCAGAATCTACACATCTTAAGGTTCCCAAGGCTAAAAAAAACTTAGTTTAAGAAATTAACCTGGGTGCCTGAATCTTAATTGTATCCCTTCCCAAACGGATGTCTGCAAGAAGTGTTTGATTACAGTCCTCATTCCTGGCAAATAGGATTGGTTTGACTGAAACAGATTATAGGTGGGCAGGTGTTCCTGCAGTAATGCTCATTCCTGTGATTAAACAACATCAGCAATGCAACATCTTGTCAGCGCAGATAGGAAAGAGCAAGCATGAGTTCCCAACATGAGAACCTTGCTGAAATTAATAAAAGATGAATTCTGCAAGAGCTGAATAGACTTGCTTATCTTTCATAATTTGATCAGTTTGCAGTTAAGCCGGGAGAGGAGAATGAGCTATTAGTCAAACCATTAGCTTACTGAAATGTAATTCAACAGTGAAAAAAGCAAGGTTCTACATTTAGGGAAGAAAAACAAAATGCACAGATACCGTATTTGTAGTACCTTACTCAATAGTAGTAACTGTGGGAGGGATCTTGGAGTCCTAGTGGACAACCATTTAGATATGAGCCAGCAGTGTGCAGCAGTTGCCAAAAAAGCCAACACAGTTCTGGGCTGCATAAACAGGAATAGAATCAAGATCACGTGAAGTGTGCCTTGATAAGGCCACACTTGGAATATTGCGTTCAGTTTTGGTCCCCACAATGTAAAAAAGATGTTGAGACTCTAGAAAGTGCAGAGAAGAGCAACAAAGATGATTAGGGGACTGGAGGCTAAAACATATGAAGAACGGTTGCAGGAACTCGGTATGTCTAGTTTAATGAAAAGAAGGACTAGGGGAGACATGATAGCAGTGTTCCAATATCTCAGGGGTTGCCACAAAGAAGAGGGAGTCAAGCTATTCTTCAAAGCACCTGAGGGTAGAACAAAAAGCAATGGGTGGAAACTACCCGTAATCAAGGAGAGAAGCAATTTAGAACTAAGGAGAAATTTCCTGACAGTTAGAACAATTCATAAGTGGAACAACTTACCTGCAGAAGTTGTGAATGCCCCAACACTGGAAATTTTTAAGAAGATGTTGGATAACTATTTGTCTGAAGTGGTATAGGGTTTCCTGCCTGGGCAGGAAAGAAGGATCTCGGAGGGACTAGAAGACCTCCAAGGTCCCTTCCAACTCTGTTTATTCTATTCTATTCTATTCTATTCTATTCTATTCTATTCTATTCTATTCTATTCTATTCTATTCTATTCTATTTCTATTCTATTCTATCATTTGCATTTATAATTGGCCAGAAGTTGTTGAGCTACAATTTTCAGCACCCCTTACCCTAAACCATTACATTCAAAGACTGCTGGGAGTTGAAATTTAGCCACTTCTGGGATGGTAGAAGTTGCCCACTGTAGGATAGCTGCAATATGGCAAGAAATACCAGGTGGTGCTACAGTACAGCTTTTGAAAGTTTCGTTTACAACTTTGGCAAAAGGGGTTGTTTTGTAAGGAATGTAAAATGAACCAGATAATAAATGTAGCTACACCAGGCAGAATCCACATCTGCTTTCCTTTCTAATTTCAGCTTAGTGAGAGGTCATACACCTTAGTGTGTGTGTGTGTGTGTGTGTGTGTGTGTGTGTGTGTGTGTGTGTTAGTGTTAGGAATGGCAGGCAGAAGGCTTTGCTGGAACCATACTTCCAAAAGTAATGGGAAGGATCAGGACACAAAAGTAAATTTAATTTTACTTTGCTTTAAACCAAAGCAAAATAATTAATATGATCATTCCACAGTAATTCATGCAGGGATGGTGGTAAATAGGTCTCTGAACCTAAATAAGAGAAAGTTTCAGCTTCTTTGGCTTCCATATGACTTTTGCGCTGGTGCACAAGTAATGTTTACTTGTGCTCTATTATGTATATACAGTTGTCTGTCTAATGTGCAATTTGATCCCCAAGTATTGCTCGAAGGAAGCAAGTAAAAGCAATATGAAACAATTCTTTTTATAAAGCAGGTAACCCTGGATGCCATGACTGGACTTCCCAGTGAAGTCCGTGGCTAGGTACCTTTTGCTATCTCTGTGTACATGTGTAAGTAGCCAAGGAGAGAGCTTCCATATATTTTACTAAGAGTTTTGTTGGGAATACTCTTGACAGAACCAAAGGAACTGGAGGTGTACCTGGACTCATGAGAGTTTGGTCTCAGACCCAAGAGGAAATTTGTCACAGCGAAAGAACATTTGGATAGATGAGAAAAATTAGAGATTAAGGATAAGTGGAGTGAGAGAGTCAGTCGAGCAAAATAACTTAAAAGGGTTTTCACAGAGAAGAGGGGGTTGACTTATTCTCCAAAGCACCTGAGGGTAGGACAAGGAGCAATGGCTGGAAGCTCATCAAAGGGAGATCCAACCTGGAACTAAGGAGAAATTTCTTGACAGTGGAAACAATTAATCAATAGAACAGCTTGCATCCCAGAGTAGTGGGTGCTCCGTTGCTGGAGGTCTTCAAGAAAACATTGGATAACAATTTGTCTGGGATGGTAAAAGGACTCCTGCCTTGGAAAGGGAGATGGACTAGAAGACTTCCAAAGTCCCTTCCAGCCCTAATTAAGACAAAAAGAAGCTGAATTTCATGAATTTTTAACAAACTGGTTAATACTTTAGCTGCATTTATAGATAAGACCATCACTTTCTCCCTTATATCTATAAACGTGGATAATAGCAGTAGCACTTAGACTTATACACCACTTCACAGTGCTTTACAGCCCCCTCTAAGCGATTTACAGAGTCAGCATATTGCCCCCAACAATCTGGGTCCTCATTTTACCGACCTCGGAAGGATGGAAGGCTGAGTCAACCTTGAGCCTGGTGGGATTCGAACTGCAGGCAACGGGCAGTCAGCAGAAGTAGCCTGCAGTACTGCACTCTAACCACTGTGCCACCGCAGCTCAGCACATCGGGGCAAAAGATGTTTTATTTAATCTGTCTGAGATGCTAATTGTTTTTCATGGGGCATTTATTTTTATACAAAGAAGTTTTGAATAACTTGAACACAAACCTGTAGTCTGATACAATATTTCTCACTTATGTCTCTGAAACTGTTACAAAAACGTAATTCTGTAGTGTAATTCATAACTTAAACTCTTATATATTCAAAGGAATTCTGTTGGTCTGGATGTTTCTTCCCGATTTAATGTGGCTATCAAGACAGTTGAGGAGGTAAGTGGTCATAGTTGTTATTTTGGACTAACTTTTTAATTTATTTTGCAATCCTAGGCTTGTCTGCTGGAAAGGAAATGCTCCTGCTTACTTCCAGACTTATGCACATAAAATTTGCTGCTTTAGCTGTTCTGTGTTATAGAGTGTATACTAGTAATGTATTTTTTATTGACGATGATAACCTTGGAATATTTCCAGACAGCTTTTAACAGTGTCAGTCAAAATGCATCTGAGAGTTGGAGATTTGATCTGAAGATCAATATTCAATAATAGAAACCCCATTTGTTTATAAGAGCTATAATAATTCCCATGTCTTACTTCAGCACCCTTCTGAGTGTGTGGTGTGCTGAACAATTGAGTTACCAGTTGAAATCTGGACTGTCCTAGACGTCCTATTTTGGGCCACATTTTTGCATATTTGCATCTCTGCAGGATATGCCTGTTAAATACCTCACATTGAAAGATGCAGATGAAATCGTAGCATTGGTGAAGAATGGCAAGCAGAGCAAACCTAGTCTGAATAATAAGGCAGAAGAGGTTTATGAAGAGGAAGAGGAAGAGGAAGAGGAGGGAGTGGAGAATGAGAACAACGAACAAGGTAAGTAAGATTCCTCAGAAGTGTCTTTGACCTATTACATTTTCACCAATTTGTTTCTTTGCTTTCCGATTAAAAGAATGGTAAAAAAAAATATTCTTATTGTATTCACTAACCTGTTCGATATACATTTCATTGAGGGGTCCTTGGTGCTCTCTGATAAGGTTGTTTTCTTGCAGATATTTCATTACCCAAAGTAGGTACATCATCTGCATATTAAAGATAATCTGCAGATAGCTGCTGTCATCTGCTAGCACTGATGATGCTACCTAGTTTGGGTATTGAAACATCTTCAAGAAAACAGCCAAGCTCGGAGAGCACCAGGAACCCTTCATTTCAACCCTGAGCTACAAACACACTCCTTTATTGGTAACACATTTCGTTGCCATCCTTCTATAACTTGATAGTTAGACTAACATGCCCCAAATGCTGATTTTGACAAAAATAATCCTTTCCTGCCAGCCTGCATGGATTCCATATTCACCAGAGATGAGCAAATTATTTGCACAATTGTTTTACAGTCACACTGTTTCTACATATTATTGTTTTTGGTCCAGCTAGAGGGCAGCATATAACCAAACTTGGCTAGTTGCTAACAGCTAACCAGGGTCGATATTGGCATCAGAGGCCACTAGCATTTGCAGTACCCTTGCTGGAAAGCAATTTCCAAATCATTTATTCCCCAGAATTCCCTTGGGATTCCTCATAGGTCTTAAGAGCTGTTCTTAGAAAATAAACATGTTAAGTGACTGCTGCCTTAACAATGTGTTCATAGTATCCTGCAGGGAAAGTGGGTATTAGGGAACAGATTCAGCAGTTTGCCTTCTTGAAAATGGACATTTTATGGTAGGACCATTTTGTATCTAGGCAAGCTTTTCCCAGATACGCAGTGATTATTTTTGAGCACTCATGATAGATCGTATATTAGATGTGCCTACTTACTCCAAGAGATTTTGGGGGCTCTTTTTACAGTTCTCCCTTTTAAGAAGTCTAACTGGATTTCCAAAACTTTAGCAAGAGGGAAGGTGATCATCTCATGATCTCTTAACTTCAGCTGATATTCCTCCTTTTTAATAATTCTTGGCTATTCTTTAGCCATGTCATTTCTTTTAGTATATTCTTAAAGAAGCTTTCCTACTGGGCAGTCTTTTGCTTCTCATTTTGCTGATGAAAGTTTATTTATTTTATTTATTTATTTTGTTGAGTACACATCAGATAATATATATAGGTGTAAGCATGAATTGAATACATAAAATGAATACAATTAAAGAGAACATTAGGACAGGGACAGTAGGCACGCTGGTGCTCTTATGCACCATCTTAGTCCAGCGGCCTCCTTTCACCTTGGACAACCAAAGGATAGAAGGCAGAGATTGGCATTGTTTTACCTGCCAGAATTCAGAGGTGTCCCATTGCTGTTCTCCAAAGCTATCGCTCTTCTTTCTTCTTGTCCCTGTGACTTTTTCAGTGGGCCTCACTGAACACTCAAGTGGTGACAGAAGCAAGGATAAGGAGCAGCCTTGGCCATTTGTGTTGCCTTCTCCTCCTAAGCCCAAACCATACAGTGTGGATGGGTTTCTGGCCTACTTGTCAAGCATCAGGGAAATCAGGAGATCCATGAAGTTCAATTGCATATAAAGATTTATTGTAAGCTTAAGCTCACTACAAGAATCTGAATTACTAGCAGTTAAAGCAATTTAGCGGTAAATAAGGAATTCATGGTGTGCTGGATTTTCTGTGGGCATGAAGGGACTCATGACTGATGATTCATTTGACCCTTCCATCAGACTGGTCATCTCCTATACTACTCCTCCTTAGGAGGATGGCCACTAGTAAGGGATGCTGGGAGTTAAGTTCAACGATGTCTAGGAAACCCCAAGGACATCCTCAAGAAGAAGAGGGCAAGCAAAGAGGCAGTGATGGTGATGGTGAGGAACAAGAGGCAGGTCTGTTTGGGTGGAGGTCCATTGTGAATCTCACGCTAAGAAACGTACAAAACCTGAAGCTAGTGATGGCTGACAAGAAAACAGTCTCATTTTTCATTTTTTCCATCATTTTTCCTCAGAGTGTATTCAGTCTAATGCATAATACAAGTACCTTTTCTCTGCCCCTTGTCCCTCTTACAAATTGGAATGTGCATCTGCTTTGCAGAAATTCAGGATGATGAGGTGGTGGAATCTGTTGTCAGAGATCGGAAGCGTGAACTCCCCCTGGAAGACATCCATACCCTGACAGAAGAATCCTTCCTCTCAATTCTGGCAGAGACCAACCACACAGCAGTGCTCTTCTATGCCAGCTGTAAGTCAGATTTTGCAAGGGGTTGTACAGTGGGTTTTGGTGTCTTCTGTTTGCTGTAGTGCTCTTTAGAATTTAAACTTTTTTAAGTGTTTAGTTTGCTCGCTTTTGATTGCAAGGTTGTGGCTGTTGTGGCATTATTGAAGTACATTGATGTACATTGCCCAGAGTCATGCTCTTGTGAGATGGGCGGTCATACAAATATGATAGGTGAGGCTGTGATGGAATGTGTATCAGGAAAATGAGTGGAGAAGAGTTTTGGCAACACAAGAGCTTTTTCAGGGACGAAGCAGTAAATCTTATCAGAGAAACGGCCAGATCAAGATAATGTACAGTCCTGAGCTGTGAGGGGGGGAAGAGGAAGAGATGCATGGTAGCCACACCCTAGAATCTCTCAGGCTATACCTAGTAGGTTAGAAAGTTATGGCTTTAGTTTGGCAAGATTCTGTCTACTAGGTATGAGCAAATAAAGGATTGGACCCTACTGGTTTCATTGGGTCATCTTTGGGCTTGGGCATGACACAGTTCTTCATAATCGTGCTGGAAACCTCTAGTAGAAAGCCCAAGTAAGAGCAGGATTTCACTGCCAAAAGAGGAGAATCAAAATAGAGTGGAGTGGACTACAATTGGGGAAACCCAGTTTCACATCTACCTTTGGATAGGGGAGTTTATCAGGTGACCCTGCGTCAGTCACTGTCTTTGAGCCCATCTACCATGAAGAGTTGCCTGTTGGAAAACTTGGAAGTGCTAGGAATGCTGTGTTCAGCTCTTGGATGAAGACGGGATATAAACCTGTCAAATAAATAACAATAATAAAATATTTGGAAATGTTTAAATGAAGAACAGTAATCTGCAGAATATAAATTGGTTATGAAACCTTTATGTTCATTGGCAGTTATCTCTAAAGACTATGTCCTGTGGTACAATAAGAGGAAAGGCTTTATAGAAACATATGTGGATAATTTCAGGGAAACAGGATGCTGGGTTTATTGGAACTTTATTAGGATCCAGCAGGGCCCTTGTTTACTTGAGGCTGATCCTGCCTTTCAGTCCAAAAGAATCCCAAAAGTGTTATAAAATAGATAAAATACAAGTGTATTGGCCCTATCTCCCGGCATTGCTCTTGGGTTACATATCCTTCCATCCGTCCTGCCTCATTCCACAAAAATACGTTTTTATGAGCTCTTTGCTGCGGTTCCAGTCTTATGAGTGCTGGCAGTTGGGCAATCTTCTAGTTTATTTGCATGTTCTGTTCTGACTAGCTGGGCTCCTCACTCTCTAAGGGCAAAACAGTAGAAGCCAAAGACGGGCCTGTTCATTCATTAAAAATATATCCCGTTTTACTATTTAAAGAGAGCTATTTTTTTAAAAAAAACAAAACCAAATAACAATAACATAATATTAAAATTAATTAAGAAATAAAAATTGGACAAAAATGTATTCTCTGAACATGGAAAAGACAAGAACCAAATGCATATCCTGAGAGAGTTAATTTCATACAGTAGCTTGGTAACCATCAGGAAAAGGTCCTCTTTGATATACCAAAGTGGAGAAATGGAGGAGAACCACCAAAAAATGGCCACTCCAGAAGGATAATTAGTGATTGATGGTATCTGTTAGTCCTCTGAGGTAAACCAGAATAGGAAATCAAAGCTATGCATGCTAAAGCCACTTTTATAAAAGGTTATAATAATAAGAGTCTTGCAAGTCTGAATGTCTTTCCCCTTCCTCCCCTTTTAGCTTTGTGAGATATACTGTACTATATTGTATAATTCATTCATTCATTCATTCATTTCCCACCTTTATTATCATCATAAATAACTCACGGCCACCAACATACCTGCTACTCCTCCCTCTTCCTATTTTTCCTACAACAACAACAACCCTATGAGATTAGTTGGACTGAGAGAGAATGGCCCAAAGTCATCCAGCTGGCTTTCATGCCTAAGGCAGGACTAGAACTCACTGTTACCTGATGCTTCATCCCTCAGAGTTCTTTTGGAGAACCAAGGTGCAACTTGAGATCTGTGCACATGGAGAAGCCAGATAAAGGTTATCAGTCCAAAGTCTCACCCATCTGACCATTCCAGCCAGTGACTAAGACCTTCGTTGAATTGCCCACCAGATCTTCAGGGAAAATCCCAAGCCCCTTATGGAACCCAATTGGGTCCATCAATCTAGGCGTTTGAGGTTTAGAGCTATATAGTTTGTCTATTAGCTATTTAAGGTTTTCGGGATTAATACTAATACCTTAAATTGTGCCCAATAACTATTGGCAACCAGTTCAAATCTTTTCGGTACAGCCATCAAATCACCCTTGAATTTGTACCAGGTAGCACCTTATCTGTGCATTTGTTGGGATTCCTGGATACTTTGTCTTATATAAAACATGTTGTCAGAAGAAAGTTGAGGTTTTTTTTTTGATATGGACTAGTATTCCTTCATGTCTTGAGTTTTGGTATCTGAAATACTAGGTTACTTTTCCTGTTCTCATTACAGGGGAAACTGTCTCTCTGGTGGTGATGCAGTCTTTCCTTGAAGTTGCTGCTCAGTTGAAAGGTATGGCTCAGTCAGTAGGGTTGCTGTGGGTTGTCTTATTTCTTTACATTTCATTTAATCCAAGGTCTTTGTTTCAAATGATTGATTCAGCGTAAAGCAGGGGTGAAATTCAGCAGGTTCTGACAGGTTCTGGAGAACCAGTAGCGGAAATGTTGAGTAGTTTGAGTAGGCAAATGCCACCTCTGGCTGGCCCCAGAGTGGGGTGGGAATGGAGATTTTGCAATATCCTTCTCCCGGAGTGGGGTGAGAATGTGGATTTTGCAATATCCTTCCCCTGGAGTGGGGAGGAAATGGGGATTTTGCAATATCCTTCACCTGGAGTGGGGAGGGAATGGAGATTTTGCAGTATCCTTCCCCTGGAGTGGGGAGGGAATGGAGATTTTGCAGTATCCTTCCCCTGGAGTGGGGAGGGAATGGAGATTTTGCAGTATCCTTCCCCTGGAGTGGGGTGGGAATGGAGACTTTGCAGTATCCTTCCCCTGGATTGGGGAGGGAATGGAGATTTTGCAGTATCCTTCCCCTGCCACGCCCACCAAGCCACGCCCACAGAACTGGTAGTAAAAAAAATTGAATTCCACAACTGGCTGTAAAGTTAATCTTGGTAAGTAGGAAAGCTGATGATGCCTAGTGGCAGAAAGGGAAAAGCTGATAGAGCTCTAGAATCCCAAAGAAATATTTGTCCAACTTTTACTTGAAAGCCTCCCATAAAGAAAAACCTGTCACATTTCTGTCTTTCTCAGTTTGACGTCCTTCCAATGCTTTGAGAGAACACCATCATGTGCTAATGTTGAATGTAGAAGTCTGGAAAAAATTAAAAAAAATAATGGAGGTGGCACCTTTTTTTAGCAGACAGAAATATTGTGAAATATTTCCAGTTATACTTATTCCTATTTTTTTTTTAATTTTGTGTATTTTATACATAATTTTTTTTTTAAATGGTCTGTTTAGAAATAGGTTGGCAGTCGCAGTCAAAGACATTTTGATGGCATATCAAAGATGGTTTAGTCTTCAGGAATGACTTCCCTTTGGATTTGTTAAACAATAGTGGGTCATTTTCTAAACGAGTGTGTTTATATTATTTACTTCTCAGAACTCCCGTCTACTTTTTCCCGGCAGACTTTGACGTCATTAAATGGAATTATAATGCACAGCTGAGAGTATGTCCTGCATACCTACTGTTTGACAATAGGCAGAGAAACAGCAAGTAAACCAGCTGCATACAAACACCCTGCCAACTCATCCCCTTAAAAAGCTGGACACAATAAACAGATGTGTGATCTGTTGCACTCAGCTGACCAACTTTACTTTTGAATGCAGCTGCAGCAGGGAATGATGGTGGTGGGGTTGATAGGAGGCTTGGTCTCTTTTAAGGTATCCATGAATCTAAATGAGAAGAAATAATAAAGCACCCACTTACTTACAAACACAGAATGGCCAATATTTAGGTGACGCTTTTGTTTAGGAAGATAATCTGAACTACAACTTTGTCTACTAGGATGGTTGCTAAGTATCTGGCAAATGCCAAGAGGCACTTTTACAAATGCATCAAAATCTAATGTACTTTAATTTAAGCCACTTAAGAGATTGATCTGCCTTGTTTTAAATGTTAAGGCATATGTCTCTCTCTCTCTGTGTATGTTTATTCCAGTATTTTACATTGATTTATAATGACTCCTTTTTCCTGACATTAAATACTTTTGGCCAGGCTGGAAAAACAGCCATGCTACTGCTGAGTGATTTATAATAATGTAAGTCAACTTTCCAGTAGGCTTGACTATTGATTCAAAGAGTGGCATTTTTAAAAAGGTTGTAGTTTTAAATTTACTCAGTGGATAGTCCTAGAATCTGTTGTTAATTCTTGGGCTAAACCTTGGAACAAATCAATACCTAAAACAATAAAGAATTGCCTTTGGCAGAATATACTTCCTAAATTCCTATGCAGTTGCAATTATTTCTTTTCTACCAAAGGCTGGCAGTCTTTGTTTCCCAGCTGCCATTACTTGATTTCAAATGATTGTCCAGCATACCAAATCAGTCAGTCAGTCACTTTTGAAGTCACCAAGAAATTTCTGTAATTATTTCCCAAAATCCATGGGAAATCTTGTGAAAAAATGCCTGAAAAATACCTCATGATCTCATGCAAGCACAGCAAAATCTCATGAGAACATAAAACGTAGAACAATAGAGTTGAAAAGGACCTTGGAAGTCTCCTAGTCCAACCCCCTATTCGAGCAGGAGGCTCTATATCATTTCAGACAAATGGTTGTCCAGTGTCTTTTTGAAAGCCTTCAGTGATAGAGCACCCACAACTTCTGAAGGCCAGCTGTTCCATCGATTGATTGCTCTCACTGTTAGAAAATTTCTCCTTAGTTCTAGGTTGCTTCTCTCCTTGGTTAGTTTCCAACCATTGTTTCTTGTCTTGCCTTTTGGTGCTTTGGAAAATAGTTTGATCTCCTTGTCTTTGTAGGAGCCTTTCAAATATTGGAACACTACTATCATGTCTCCCCTAGTCCTTCTTTTCACTAGGCCAGACATACCTAATTCCTGTAACTGTTTGTAGGAAGTTAGCACCCACCCCTTTCCTAGAAGAATGAAATATTTTGGGAAATATTAAAAAGGCAGAATATTATGTTTCCCTGTGTTGGAAGAAACATCCTTCTAGGTTCTGCTCCAAGTGGGGAAAACAGACACTGGAAACATGGAGACTGCTTGGAAAGATGGTTTAATGGTGGACAGGATCACATGGCTTGAGTTCCTGAACAGAAAAAGGGCAGATACAGTAAATCCTTGGGTTTTTATGCTCTCTCTGGCTCTGCATTTCTTGGGGCCACGAAAGAGTATCCTGATTGGTTGTCAGACTCCCAGGGGGTGGGGGCCTTGCTGGCTGATGGTCACATGTGCTTCCCAGGTCACATGTGGTGAGTTTCTGCTGCTATTGTGTAGAGGGCTAATCCTTGTTGGATCTTTGGCAATTCCTACTATGGCTCTGCCTGAAGGAGGTAGATCTTTGTTATGTAGAATAGACTGGCCCAGGCCTTAATGGCCCATTGACAAAGGGTGGGGGCAGGAAGATGGGAGCTGCTTCAAAACATGCTTATCCCAGGGAAATATAATATTCTGCCTTTTTCATATTTCCTAAAATATTTCACTCTTCCAGGAGAGGGGTGGGTGCTAACTTCCTACACCTGGATGAGAAATGGAGAAGCATGTTTTAAAGACGAAGCAGCTCCCATCTTCCTGCCCCCACCCTTTGTCAATGGGCCAGAGGCAGAAACTCAATCTTTGTCAATGGATCATCATCTGCAACACAATAGGACCCATCTAGCAACAGAAACTCACCACATGGCACCTGGGAAGATTACATCAGCCAGCAAGGCTAGCTAAGACCCCCACCCCCTGCGAGTCTGACAACCAATCAGGATACTCTTTCTGGGCCCCAGGAAGTTCAAAGCCAGAGAGGGCATAAAACCTGGGGACTCACTGCGTCTCGCCCCTTTTCGGTTCAGGAACTCAAGCCATGTGATCCTGTCCACCATTAAACCATCTTTCCAAGCAGTCTCCATGTTTCCAGTGTCTTTTTCCCCATTTGGAGCTGAACCCAGAAGGATATTTCTTCTTACACATTCTTCGTACGTTTTAGCCTCCAACCCTTTTCACTCTTCTCTGCACTCTTTCCAGAGACTCAATATTTCAATTAGAGAGTTGTCCACCTTCTGGGATCTTAACCAATTCAAAAAGTTTATTTATTTTTCTTTATTTTGAGGATGTTATCACATTGGTTTAAGGTATTAAAGATGATGTTGCTTCTGTAGGCACTATGGGTCTAACTCAGGGGTGAAATCCAGCAGGTTCTGACAGGTTCTGGAGAACTGGTAGCGGAAATTTTGAGCAGTTTGAAGAACCGGCAGCAGAAATTTTGATTAGTTCGGAGAACTGGCAGATACCACCTCTGGCTGGCCCCAGAGTTGGGTGGGAATGGAGATTTTGCAGTATCCTTCCCCAGGAGTGGGGAGGGAATGGGGACTTTGCATATCCTTCCCCTGGAAGTGGGGTGGGAATGGAGATTTTGCAGTATCCTTCCCCTGCCACGCCCACCAAGCCACACCACGGCCACCAAGCCACACCCACAGAACCAGTAGTAAAAAAAAATGGATTTCACCATTGGTCTAACTCTTATTGTCTGCTTATAATTGAGAAATTGAGAAGAGCCTTGGTAGTACAGTGGTCTAAGGCACCCTGTTATTAAGCTGGTTATTAAGATCAGCTGCCTGCAATTACTGCAGGTTTGAATCTCACCAAGGCTCAAGGTTGACTCAGCCTTCCATCCTTTCTAAGGTAGGTAAATTGAGGACCCAGTTGTGGGGGCAATAAGCTGACTTTGTATAAAATATACAAAAGGATGAAGGCTATTGCTTAACGCATTGTAAGCCGCCCTGAGTCTCCGGAGAAGGGCGGCATATAAATCAAATAAAAAAAATAAATAAATAAATAGAGAAGCATATACAAAAACCCTCCAGCACCCATTCGCAATTCTCTGATACATGCAGATTAAGGTGCTGAAACCCTGTGGCCAAATAATAAAATTGGGCAGCATGATTTTGGCCCATATGAAGTAGAATTTAAGATGAAGATGGGATTGCATTTAACAGATGATTGCCTGTGGTGCTCCAGAAGATCAGTAGCTTTTAGACAGTCTTAAATTTTAATGCTCTTTTTAGAACTGATTAAAAACATCACATCTATCTTAGAATTGGTTTATTTAAACCTTTTGGCCTTCCAACCCCTGACCACTGCCATAAATATTTGGATGATAATTTTCTAGTTTTAATTTTAAATGAAGGATAAAACTTGCTTTTTTTAGAAACTCTTTGTTTGATCAAGCTGTTGATGTACTCGCTCCTGTTTTGTTTGCTAATTGCTATATTTTGCTTTTTGACTTAACTTTTTACTTCAGAGGCAGAAAGAAACATAAAATTAACCTGTCTATTCAAAGGGTGTTGAGAATGTGTTTCCTGAGGGCAATGATTTCTTTTTACGTCATGTGAAATTTAATTCTGAACATTTAATCCTCCAATTATTAAAAGCAGCTTGTAATGGGATCACAAGGATCAAAGGTGGATTTTCTTAAAAAAGAGACAGAAATCCTACTGAATCTGTCCAAGATTTTCATTATGGTGAGAGTAAACTAAAGTACTTTACAATATGTAATCATACGTAACAATATGTGGAATTTGGTATCAGTACTTGTGGCAGTGAACCAAAATTCTACTGACTGTATGATCTTCCGGTTGAGTTATAGCACATGTGAAACACTTATTGAAGAGTAACAGCAGGAAAGAGCCACTGTCTTCATACCTTTCTCATGAATGGTTCAGCAAAATTCCTGTGATATTCCAACAATATGTCTTGATTCTTATTTTTGATGTATCAGAAAATCAGCTGAAGAATCAATGAATAAAAACTAGAGCGGTTCTTCATAGAACAAAAGTAGTTGATGGAGTAGATTCTAAGACTTTTTTTTAAAGTTTCATGAATCTTACAGAAAGAGCCAGAAACATTTGTATCACTGCCCTTTTGTTGTTTCTTCCACACATTTTCTGTAGGGACTCCTGAGATTTCACTTGCAAGGGTAAACTGCTGGGATTGGCCACACCTTTGCTTGCAGGAAAATGTCACCCAATTTCCTATCATGAAGATGTATACAAAAGAGGGGGCATGGCTGGCTTACTCTGGGATGTGGGAGACCAAAGAGATGATGAAGTTCATTGAATTGTAAGTACTATGTTGCTGGTTAAGAGCCACTTTATTTATTTTATTTTATTTTAATTTATTTTATTTATGTAATTTATATGCCGCCCTTCTCCTGAAGGACTCAGGGCGGCTTACAAAGAAAACATTCAACAATTCGAAAATTACATAAAAATTAAAATCCAATTAAAATTAATTAAAATTATTTCAATGTAAAAATCCCCCAACGGATCAGCCCATTTGATAAAAGAGTCATGTCTTCAGTTCGCGGCGGAAGGAGAGGAGGTCGGGGGCTGTCCTAAGCCCGGTGGGCAAACCGTTCCAGAGGGTCGGCGCTCCCACAGAGAACACTCTTCCCCTGGGAGCCGCCAGCCAACATTGTCTGGCTGACGGCACCCTGAGGAGGCCCGCTCTGTGGGAGCGCACGGGACGATGGGAGGATGGCAGGAGATGATCCTGCAAGTACCCCCAGCCTAAGCCACTTTAGGGCAAACTTTGTGGATCCTGGTGTCCTCTGGATGTCTTTGGACTTAAACTCTCATTATGTCCAGATTATATAAGCAAAATCATGGAATAGACAAAACCTGGGAAGAAATTAAAAGGATGTGGATAACTCTTGAGGCAGTGGTGAAATGCAAAAATTTTACTACTGGTTCTGTGGGCATGGCTTGGTGGGCGTGGCTTGGTGGGGGGGTCATGTGACTAGGTGGGGGTGGCCAACTTTAAAAAAAAACTTTTTAAAGCATTTTTTACTACCTATTCGCCCGAAATGGTAGTAAAAAAATGCTTTAAAAATAAAATTAAAAAAAAGGTTCCGACAATCGTGCGGCACAGCTGTGATCGTCAGAACCTCTTTTTTTTACTTTTTAAAGCATTTTGTCACTACCGGTTTGCCTGAACCGGAGCGAACCGGTAGCATTTCACCCCTGCCTTGAGGGAAGAACTGGCTGGGAAGTAGTTGAGAAATATGAAATTCAAACTCTTGCATTTTTTGGGGTGGTTGGTTCTTTCTTACATTTGAATCTCATGCTTTTTCCCAAGACTTCAAGGTAGACCCCTAAATTGTACCCACATAATAACAATCATATGAGGAGGTAGATTTAGCAATAATGTAGGCCCAATGCCACCGAGAGAGCTTTATGTTTAAGTGGAAAGTCAAACCTGAATCTCCTTGACCGAAACTTCTCACCTTAATGTTATGTGGGCTTTCAGTAAGAAGAATTCAGAAAGCCTGAATCTGAGGTAGCTTTACCTCTGCATTTCACAGCTGAAGCTGAAGCAAACATAAAAAGTTTACATGTGCCATTCAAATTAGATGAAAGAACAAGATGTGCATTCATACATTTCTCCATGACACTCTGAAATTGTTTTGGAAAAATGCTGAAGACGTGGGAGATGCAGGGAATGGAGTTGTCCTGCACCTAGGAAACATAATTCTGTGAAAGCAAAATAAAATAAAACTGTCCCTTGTAAATCGGCCTGAAGTCTGGTTTCAATTTACATCTTTAGAAGCAGAAATTCTTGCCCAGTGAGATTGATGACGCCTGAGGAAGTAGAAGAATATTTAAGTGACAAAACCTCACCACACAACACGGTTTCTGTACTGGGAATATTTGACTCAAGCATGAGTGAAGGTAAATCCATTGCCTGGTTATTTCAAACATTATTGCAAAACACAATGTTACTGAAAGTAATAATAAGTTGCAATGCCTTGTGACTGTAGAATAAAATTTATGCTGGGATCTTTCACAACAACCCACTAGACAGGGCATTGGCTATATTATACAAGATTATTGCTTCACTTTGGGAGCCAAATTCAGGGATGGGGAGTGATTTTTTTTTCTCCCTTATAATACTGGAATTTGGATTGCCTAGGGAGGTAAGAGGCCAGAGAATCGAGAATGAATTTAGAAAGTATGTAAACACCCTTCAGAGAATTTTATTTGTTAGAAACAAGCATTACATTTCTCCCTTTATCTCTCCTCTCATACACACAAACACAAAATGCAGATGCTATTTGGGATATATTGGAAAAATTCAGAAAGGATTGGGGGGCAGGTACCAGATGTTCTTTGACCAGGAACACCTGAAATTGCTCATGCTCCACTTATTTTCTTGGGGTTTTTTCCTGTTACTTCTCAGTATACAGGTTGAGTACAGGTAGTCCTTGGGTTGTGACAAGAAGTGGGACAGGAAATTCTATTGTTGAGCAATGCAGTTGCAAAAAGGGATGTTATGTGACCAGGCTGTTTAACAACAACAATTCTGGAAGTCTCCATTGTAGTTGTTAAATGAGGACAATCCTCACATGAAAGTGAGGATTTCATGTGATCACAACCTCTGACCACCTATTGACTTTCCCATTGATTTTGCTTAGGGAAAGCCAGCAGGGAATGTCAGAAATCACGATCACACAATGGCCAGAACTCTGAGAATCTATCCCCTCATTCAGCTCAGTTATAACTTTGAATAGTTTGCTGTAACCTGAGGACTACCTCTAAAACATTCCTTCAACTTCTCCAATCTGGTCCCATTGAAACGGCAACTCCCAGTATTTGGAAATAGGTGGGGCCAGAAAATGGCTAATTTAGATTGGATTTAATTGAATTAAGCCAGTGATGGCTAACCTTTGATCTTCATGTGCCAAAAGCACGAATGCGCGTGTGCGTTCATGTGCCGTCACCCATAATGCAATGCGCACCCCCCTGCGCATATATGCATCCGCCCCCTATGCTCCCCTACCCCTTGCACATTAAACATTTTAACAACCGGTTCTCTGCTGGCCGGCAGGAAAATTAGCTGGCTGGCGGGAGGCACGTGCGTGCGCATGCACAGTGGAGGTGAGCTGGGCGATGGCTTGTGTGCCCGGCAAGAGGGCTCCGTGTGCCAGGTGTGGCACGCGTGCCATAGGTTTGCCATCACGGAACTAAGCTAAACTAAAATTATTATTCCCAAAGTATTTTATACTTTTCCCATTCTGTCAGACTAAAATTACAATTTATCAGTAACTTTGGAAGGTTCCTTTGAGCCACATCCAAGAACTGAAGAAGCATTATGTGTTTTAATATTCCTGCTTTTTTGAATGCTCATGTTTGTTTAGGCCAATAGGGGGCAGCAGCATATCTGTACTTGGCTCTAGATTCTGTTGCCTGTTGAATTGATTGCTGAGTGAAACCCTGACTTTTATATGGAGATAAACAAATCAGCTTCTGCAGGAAATTGAGTTGAGATTGTCAGATAATTACCAACAATTTGTTTTCATCACTTTTGATAATGAACTTCAAAATTGTACTATATTTTTTATGTTATTAAGGGTGACGCAAAGAAAGAAGATAGAAAACTGATAAATAGTTGTTGAACAGTTGTTCAAGACTCAGAGATTGGTAAACAGAAAGATCTAGAGTGTGTCAAAAAGCCGAAAGCCAAATGTTAAACTGATGGACTGATTGATTTAATACAAAGGGCTATTTTCTGAGCATCAGGCACTGTTATTACATGTCAGGCCAGTCTCTTCATTTAGCACAGGAAAATCTATCATGACTAGCATTTTTACAGTCCACAATCTGGCAGAAGGACCTTTATTATCAATTGTTTGCTTGATCCATTTTATTGACGAAATCTGGCTCTTGCTCCAAACTGCTCTTCGCAATCAGACTCTGACACATTCAGACAGGTTTGATAAGGGCTCAAAAGGTCAGAAAGACCTGCCCTTGCAAGCATCCCATCTCCTGCCAAAGTGACTCCAGAGGCAGCTGAGGGGGAGGAGCATCTCCTTTGCTTCCTATTTTCTGTCCCCCATCTTGGGTAACCTCAGATGCAAGATTGGCCTGAGGTAAGCAGTTGTCCAAGCAAAATGATGCTTTTCCAATACCATGTTTCCCCCAAAATAATATATTAATATTATATATATATTATATATATATATATTATATATATATATTTGCTCCAAAAGACACATTAGGGCTTATTTTCTGGTTAGGTCTTATTTTGGGGGCAATATGGTGCTAAATGGACCCATCTGGCTGACAATCTTAACTTGGGCTTATTTTGGGGGTAGGGCTTATATTACAAGCATCCTGAAAAATTGTGCTAGGATTTATTTTCTGGTTGGGTCTTATTTTTGGGGAAACAGGGTAGAAGCATGAGTGTTCTACAGCTACTGCCTACCCTTCAATCTTTCTTACATTTCTGTGGAACAGTTTGGAGCAATGGTTCTATAAGGTTTTGTTCACCTTTTAAGAAGAAAATCATACTGAATAATGATAATAGGATAGGTCAGATAATTTGGGAAATTATATTCAGCCACTTGCCTGAAATGGTTTAGGGCAGGGGTGTCAACTTCATGTCTTCACGTGACATATCACGACTTTTCCCCTTCGCTAAACCGGGCGTGGGCGTGGCCAGTGCATGATGCAACCGGCGAATTTGACAGCCCTGGTTTAGGGTCTCCTGCTTGAGCAGAGGGTTGGACTAAACACCCCCAAGGTCCCTTCTAGCTCTATTCTAATCCTTTTCTTTTATAGGAAAAGCCAAGAGCAACTGAATTTACTCATTGGTGTTTTCCAGAGATTTTGTGGCCCTGTATATTCTCCATTGTAAGGAGTAAGAAGCTGTTAAAATTCAAATATTCAATCATAATATAAACATCAGATGCTCTAGAAGGGACTCCGGTACTGGCTGCTGATGCTGTCCATCTTCCAAGAGGGCCAATCTTTGGCGCCTCAAGGGCTGCCTTATTGGTTAGATAATGACCAATCCTAGGGTAAATGCTCAGTGATAAGCCTACAAGTGCATCAACAAGTAATGTAATTTGCACAATGAAAATTTCATACAGTACTCTTGTTAGAGCAATTTTTACACATTGGTGACAAAATATACATATAGGAACTTCTGATGATATAAATCAATCTTGGCGTTGCATTGTTCTTAATGTTTATTTATTTATTTATTTATTTATTTATTTATTTATTTATTTATTTATTTAATTAATTAATTAATTAATTTATATACCGCCCTTCTCCCGAAAGACTCAGGGCGGTGAACAGCCATAATAAAACAGCATACAAAATAGAATTTAAAAGCAGATTAAAATAATTAAATCATAGGCCAAATCTAAAACTCTCATTTAAAACCAATTTTAAAACCCCATTAAAACCAAATTAAAACCATTTATCCCATCAGAGCGGCTTGCTGGAATAACAGGGTCTTCACTGCACGACGGAAGGCGCGGAGGTCGGGGATCCTTCATATGTCCAGGGGCAATTCATTCCAGAGGGCAGGGGCCCCCACAGAGAAGGCTTTCCCCCTGGGGGTCGCCAGTCTACATTGTTTGGCTGATGGCACCCTGAGGAGGCCCTCTCTGTGTGAGCGTACCGGTCGGTGGGAGGCAATCGGTGGCAGAATGCGGTCTTGTAGATAGCCAGGTCCTAAGCCATGGAGCGCTTTACAGGTGGTAACCAACACCTTGAAGCTATTTATGTTATTTAAGAAATTTCATTGACAACAAAATAGGATAAATTGAGTTACCATCTGACAAAGTTTCCTGGTAGTTCTGATATCAAAATCAGGAATCAAAATACAGTTCGACTCTCCAATTCCTACATGTCATTTTTTTGTCATTATTCAGTAGCAGCAACTCTGATATATTCAAATGTATAGAATAAGTAGACAGGATACCAAGCTCATATACTGATGAAATGAGATCAAGAATAAAATGTTCTAGTCTATCTGAATGCATCTATTCCGTAGCATCTTATAATGTATCCCTTTTTATGATTCCATTAATGATTTTGTAGTATGAATATACTGAAGGGCCTTTTCTGCTCTGGCACCTCTGCTGGGAAATTTTTTCTCTTGTGTGTTCTACCAAGTCCTAACAGTCATCTTTTTACTCTTTTGTATCTACCCTTTTGGTTAGCTTCTCCTAAAACCTGTTTTTCCATATTTGTTTCAGTGGACTGTTTTTGTTCAGGTTTTCATACATTGGCTATAAACAGGTTTTTATGTATTGGGTATATACATTGACTAAACAAATAGGTAAAGTATTTATAAAACAGCCTTGGAATTCTTTGCAGTTGAAAGCAATACTGTATGATATACACTTAGTTCATTTACTGCTTATGTCTGTGAATGTCTGATTGAAGTTGATAAATTTAGCCTGGGGCAAGAAAAGAAATTTGGTCATTATGTTACATTTAAGGCTGCTTTGTTTTGTCAGCAAGAGAGGCTTTTATTGAAGCTGGAAGAATCCTAAATGGATATGTCACAACAGGGATCTACTATGAAGAGGATGCTATAATTCTGTATGTTGCTTTTTTCCTTGCTTAACTCAGATAATGAACCAATTGGTTGATTGTTGTATTTAAGGACTGGGCGAGATCTAGACAGAATTCCTCCTTTTCTTTGCTGATGGGGATTTCTTTACCTGAGGTCCATAGAACCCTTGGAGATCCATAGATAGTTTTAAGGGGTTCATGAACTTGGATGGAAAAAAATATTTTCATTAACCTCTAGCTGAAATGTATCTTTTTATTCATTAAACACATAGGCAGGAAAGTAATGTGTGGCCTCTAAATTCCAAAAATGTTTAATTCTTGTCATCTAAAATTATGATGTCCTAAGAAAGGGTAATATTTTGTTATTGATTGAATAGATTAATGAAAAAGCACACATACATAAATATTTTGTTAATTGTATTTGAAAATAATTAAGTTTTCTTTGTAAGTTATATGTATATACTACTGTATATACTTAGGTTTTGCAAGTAAATTCATTTTAGTGCACATTGATTGCAATAGATTCTCAAATGAGTCTCTGACATAAAAACATTAAGAAGCCCCTTTCTAAAGAGAGACTTGAATAACTGAATGTGGTTCACACAGCTATTGATTAATGCTATTGATAAATGGGACAGCAGATTTGTGTGATTCTAAGAAATGCTGTTTTTCCAGGACTGTTCTAGCTTGTCCCTCAGGAAAGATGCTGTGCATTTTCTAAGATCTTTCAGACTGTATATCATCAAGGAAATCTAGTATAGATAGTCCTTGACGTATGACCACAATTGAGCCCAAAATTTATGTTGCTAAACGAGACACCTGTTCAGTGAATTTTGCCCCATTTTATAGTCTTTTTTGCCAGAGTTGTTAAAAGTGAATCCCTGCAGTTGTTAAATTAGTAACACGGTTGTTAAGTGCATCTGGCTTCCCCATTGACTTTACTTGACAGAAGGTCACAAAAGATGATCCTAACCGTCAGAAATATGAGTCATTTGCCAAAACATCTGGATTTTGATCAAATGACCATGGGCATGCTGCAATGGCCATAAGTGTGAAAAACGGTCATTGGTCACATCAAACAATCACTAAATGAACCATTGTAAGTGAAGGACTACCTGTATTGTTGCGTTTATATGCACGTGCATCCAGTTTTAATTCGATGATCAGTTCAGTTTAACTAAGGCTCCTTTAATGATTTTGCTAAGATTCCTCAATCAGAAATTTTGGGAGATTTTTGAAATATATTTCTGTGTTTTTCTTTCTCAGCTCCCATAAATATAATGTACCTCTTCCAGCCCTTCTGTTTGCTAAGCCTGCAACTCAGCAAAGGAATGCCTTCCAGCTCTCGCAGTATAACACGCAAGACATTGTTAAAGTAATCCGTCATGCATTGTTGGAGACCTTTGTGAGCATAATTTCTACTTCTGATCTTTTATTTATTTAGAGACAGTTTATTGGGATTGTTTTCTAATATGAAGTTCAGTGCATCTGGGTGCCTTGATTCTAGCATGAAAATTAAGCCCAATTGGTTAAAGAGTCTTTTGGGCACACAGTTACTAGAACTGAAGGTGCCCTCTTTACATAGAGAACGGCTGGAGTATTTTTCCATTATTATATTTGAGCTTTTCTTTGTTGCAGCCAGAAATCACCGTGGAAAACCTGCCTGATTACTTCCAGATAAAGAAACCTTTGCTCATTTTGTTCAGTGACGGGGTTCCTGGTGAAAGGGAAGTAGAAGAAATGAAGCATGTGGCTGTTGGCGAGGATCACAAAACCTTTATTGCTTGCTGGCTAAACCTGTAAGCTTGCAGAATACCCATGCTGACCTCTGTTTGGGGATAGAGTTTACAATATGTGGGCCTTTCCCATTGGTTTGAATGTATTGGAGATGAATAACAGTCTTTAACAGTAACAGAGTTGGAAGGGACCTTGGAGGTCATCTAGTCCAACCCCTTCACGCAGGAGACCTTTACTAGGGATTCGAACTGCCGAACTTTCTAATCGACAAGCTCAGCATCTTAGCCACTGAGTCATCTAGCTAGGCTAGATGCATTCATGCAACATGAATTTTGTACTAGGAAATGTTACAAGGAGTTTCCCCTTAATGATGGTAATTGGGAACAGAATTTTTGTCACTAAGTGATGCAGTCATAAAGCAGATCATTATATGACTGTGCTGCTTAGCAATCGCAGTTTCAACGGACTCTAGTTACTACTGTTAAGTGAATCATCACTGTTCATTAAGAAACATTAATGTTACTATGACTTCTGACTTCCTGCCGGCTTACTCATTGATTTTGCTGATAGAAAGTCAGCAGAAACAGTTGCAAATTGTAATCACATGACTGTGGGATGCCACAACAGTTAGAATTAGAATTAGAACATGATCTTATTACATGATCATGGTGGGGGGGGGGGGGGGGACTGCCACAGTCTGAACTGTGAGGAGGCATTGTAAGTCTTGTAAGTTCAAATGGTCTCTGAATGAGTGGTTGTTAACTGAGGACCACCTGTGGTTAAGGTTTAGCACTGTGATTTAAGAAAGTTCTTTAGATATTCTAAATCATATTCCCAATATGGGAACTTGGCCACTTTGAGATGTGTGGCTTTCAATTCCCATAATTCCCCAGTTCTCAACACGGGGGAATTATGGGTCCATACATGTTAAAGTTTCCAAAGTTGGGAAACACTGCTGTAAACATGATTTAAATAGGAAAGATGACATTGTATGGTTAACAGTCATAAGAACAAAGGACACCAAAACAAAACTAACAGCCAAAATAAAGATACTAGTTTTAAAACAGTAAGGCTCCTAGGCTAAATAAGTTCATATAAAAGGCTTGAGTGAACAGAAATATGTTTACTTAGCACCAACACGAATTCAGGGGTGATACCAGGAAAGTCTGTTGTGCACCCAAAATAGCGTTGCTAAAAGCCAAAGATAAAAAAGTAAGTTCTGACTAAGTTTATTGGCAAGCCAAGCCAAGTGAGCATAATGGAGGCACCTCCTAGCCGTATCTTGCCTCTTCTGATGTGCTTGCATTCAGAAGAATTATGACTTTATCTGTACCATTTCTTTTAGCATTGATTGATTTTTATGTGTGTGTTTGCTCTTCTTAACCCAGTAAGAACACACCAGTAGGCAGAAATATTCTGAAGGCTTATTTTGGAAACTTGGTTCTCCCTATGCCTCTCCTCCTCTGGATCAACCTTCATTCTCGAGGCCATGTCTTCGTTTTTCCATCAGACCAGTCAGTTTCTGAAACAAATATTCTTGCTTGGATTGAAAAACTAAAGACCAAACAAGAAACACCGAGAGGTAAGTAATCAGAGACAATTAATCAAACTTGCTTTGGTCTTTTGTTCAGTTTGTTTTCACTATTTCAGGTTAAAAAAATTGAAGTTGTAAAGCTCAGTTATGATGCTAAGTCATGTAAGGCTTTAAAGGCTAAAACCAGCATCGGTCAGGCTAATGCATTCTGAACCAAATGCAGCTTCCAAATGATTTTGAAGGGCAGCCCCAAGTAAATAATATTGCAATACCCTAAAAACAAAGTGATAGTGAGAGGTACAATGAATGAAGCCATGTCATATGCATTAATTCTTGCTTTGCTTTCAAGTGGCTTTGAAAAAAAACTACGGGGCCCTTCAGTCACCTTGCCTCTCTTTTCTTTGGAAATTGTAGATACATAACAGGATGCCAGTTGACCACAATGCTTTTAGAACAACTAAAATTGGAAGCATGTAGTTTACCACAAACTGTTGTTAGTAGAAACGTTTGCGGGAACGTGGGAAAAAAATGATTTGTACAGAAAAGAGCAGGAAGGGATTATGAAAGAAGGCAAAGGATAGCTACAGATACAGAGAATGGTGTGAAGGATCCAATTAGAGGGAGAAACTGCCAAGTGAAGATGACATCACACTGTAAGAAGTTCTGGGCTTTCTAAAGAAAAAGAACACACTTCAAAGAAGGAGGAAGTCATATTGTTTCCTGGTAGTGGGTGGGATTCTTTGGTACTCAATACATGCTGGGAAGAAATTGAATCCACGGGTAATGAGACCCAAACAAATATTTCTTTAGAAAATCTTCTCTAAGAATTTCCCCTTATTTCTGCTTCCTTCCCTCTCCCTTCCTCATTCTCCCCTTTTTTGTCTTGTAATCAATTTCAAAGATGCTCTTATTTTCATTATCCTCCCCATAAGAATCTGTACATCCCTGAATGAACAGCTTCATTTTCATTTGAGGCACCTTCTGTTTTTAAATGTGGAATGGAGTTAGAACATTTGAATGTCGTCAGGGGTTAGAAAATGGACTGTTTTAAGAAAAAAGCGAAAGAGCTTGAAATTGTATACCTTTTTGCCAGCGGTTGTGTGCAGGTTGGAAAGGTAAACCTTGCTTAACACTTCATATGATACCCTAAGATTGCTTTTTCTGCTTAGGGAATTAAGTCGTTCTTGCAAGTAATTTGATCCATGATTTGGTATTACTGATACTTCTGAATTTTTAAAATATCAGCTAATTGTTCTTTAGTTGTGTATCTAAGATAGTTTCCCAATATAAACATGGCTTTTCACAGAAAAATCCAACTTCTCACTGAGTGGAGAATATAATCAGCCTATAGAAATGAAAGGGGGCAGTTGGGGGGAGGGTCAAGGTATTATTCATTTATTAATTTTACATGCCATCCATCTTGTCAGCAATTCGGAGGCATGCCTTTTTGATAGCAATCTCCATGTTATGGATATGGATCATATCCCCTGATGTCCAGAAGGGTGCCTTTTAAATTTCAAACATTTATTTTATCCCCAATGATTGCCTGTTGACTCTCTTTGTCCTGGCAATATAATAAACCACATTTTTGCAACTTATGGTATGCTTCTGTAATACCTATGACAAAAACATCATTGTAGGTACAATAATAATAATAATTTGTTAAATTTATATGCTATCTGATTCCCAACGACTCTGGGTGACTTACAATTGTTAAAACATTTAAAAAAACAGAATAATACAAAACACAAAAAACTGCAAGCCAAAGAAACAACAATGGCAAGGAAAATAAGCCCAGTGGGGGACAGAAGGGGGGGGGGGGAAAGGGGATATCAGTCATTCTCTCCAAAGCCCTGGACAGATAGCCAGATCTTTAAGGCCCTTTGAAATGTCAGCAGAGTAGAGGCCATTCAGATCTCTGGGGAACCTCATCTTTCGGGGAACTGAAAGTTGGTGATTCTACCGAGAAGGCACACATCCAGAATCCCAATAGAACTTGAAGTGCACCAATCCTGCCGAATCAAACTATTGGACATGATATTATGAAAAACAGGTGGTCTATCAAGCAACTAGGCCTTGTGACACGTAGAGCTTTATTGATAGTGACCAGCATGTTGAATCACACCCAAAAGCAAACATTACCAGTGCAGCTTGTGAAGCAGAAGTGTTACATGGATATACTGAGACATGCCTATCACTGCCTGGGTTGCTTCATTCTGGACCAGCTGAAGTTTCTGGGTGGTCTTCACATATTTTGTAATGTCCATTATAATGACTATTAAGGTAAACACCTATGCTAGTTACTAGGTGGCTGCTATGCAGTCACAGAGCTTTCATATATGGCTTGCAGACTTCCTCGAAGCAACTGTTTTTGAAAACTGAATTCTGATACAGAGAAGTACAGAACCGTTCATATTGTTTACATTGACCTATCAGTTATAATTGGAGGTTAATCTTAACAACCTAGATGCCCTCTAGAAATGTGAGTTTCAGAAATGTTAGCTGCCTAGGGAATTGTGGGAATTGAAGTCCACGTATCTGTGGTATGCCCAAATTGGGGAAATCTGCATTAGGGAATCTGATACTTTGTTGATGTGTGCTTTTCCTTTTCTTAGCTACCTTGTCTGAGAAAGAGTGGAAGCCCCGCCTTCCTGCCTACGATTTCCTGAGTATGATGGAACCCACACTGCCTGAATTTACTATTTATACTCAAGAAAGTATAAGTATCCGCCAGGAGGAGATCCTAGGAGAAACAAAGGCAGAAGCCGCAGTGGCAAAGAAGCCCACAAAAGACTCCACCATGGAGGAACTGAAGCCAACTGGAAGGGCCTTACGAAGGACAGCTCCACATCTGGGAGCAAAGGAGAAGCAACCTAAGCATCATTCAGAGTTATAAAGTTATGTCAGATCTCTGGATAGTTTTGGAAGTAGAGCATAGGACAGTGCAGAGGTCTCGAGAGAGCAGTTAACATTTCATAAATATTTATTGAAGACACATGTGTGATGGGCAGTGGTTAGAATGCAGTATTGCAGGCTAACTCTGCTTTCAGGCAGGAGTTTGATCCTGACTGGCTCGAGCTGGACCCAGTCTTACATCCTTCTGAGGTCAGTAAAATGACCCTGATTGTTGCAGGCAATATGCTGACTCTGTAAACCGCTCAGAGTATTGTAAAGCACTATGGAGCGGTATATAAGTCTAAGTGCTACTGCAATTGTTAAAGTTGGTGAGATATGTATAGGTGTAATAAGCCAATTTTCATATAGAAGGAGGCCTCCGAAAGATTGTATGATTCTAAAACAACCAAAATGCATTGTCCATTAGCATTTTTCTGCTCTATGTATTTTCTTTGGAAAGGAAAATGATTGAAGGTGTTAAAGAAAGGAACTGAAAGGTAACAAATGGAGAAAGATATCATCTGAATCACACTTAAATGAGACAGGGTGATTGCACATGGATGCACATGCCCACACATCTGGAAGCAATTATTTTTTTCAATCCCAAGAGTTTAGGGCTAATCTGGACATGAAGATAAGAAATATGTTAATTACAGAATCTCTGGTGTTTATTTTAAAAGGGTCAATGAGTACAGGAAGGCAACGCATACAGATCAAACCCTCAACTTCCACAGCAACCACCCCAAAATGCCACAAACAAAGCTGCGTCAGAACACTATTTAGGAGAGCGGAATCCCATTGTAACACCACGGAGGCCAGAACAGCAGAACAAAAACACTTATACAAAGTTTTTAAGAGAAACAGACACCCATGAAACTTCATCTGAAGGTGTCTTCATACAAACAATACAAACACCCAAAGCAATAAAACAACCATAACAACAATGACGACCGGACAAATCAGAATTCCCTATGTACAGAATGTTTCTGAAATAACAGCAAGATTACTATGTCAACATGATCTTGCGGTAGCCCACAAGCCAACCTCAACTATCAGATGGACCCTTTCAAAACCGAAAAGGCAAATAGAAACAAACCAAAGATCAGGCATCATATGTCGAATCCAGTGCAGCAACTGTGAAACGAATTACCAGTATGTTGGCCAAACAGGAAGAAAACTATCAACCAGACTGCACGAACACTTCCTGGTTATCAAAAAACGTGACCCACTATCCCTCATGCCCGTCCACGGAGATTCAGAAGGACACAAATTTGATCTAACTGGGACCACAGTTGTAACCTAGCGAAATCAAGGAGAGAAAGAGAATTCCTCGAAGCCTGGTTCTCCACCTGTAAGTCAATAAACAGGCATATAGACATCCAGTCTACCAATCGCTGAGAACGAAAGAACTGCATCAAGCGCGATCCCAAAGATAGCATTTAAAATGAACGAACTGGCACACCGCTACGCAACAACAAGAACACAGTCACAACCCATCAACTCACAAGAAATCGGATCACGTCTCAGTAACAACAACCAGCCATTCAAACAGACTGAAACCAGCCCATGACTCAGTAGTATCCAAACAAACAACACTAATTTACATTACACAGATGGTACTTAAAACCAAAGACCATGCCTCAGTAACAACAACCAGCCAATCAAATAGTCTGAAGTCAGACCGTGACTCTGAACAAACAACATTCACACTAATTTGCATCTCATAAAAAAGTATTTAAAGGCCAGTGCTCGGACAGACGAGCACAATTCAAAGCGGGCTGACAATGTCTCCTCGAATGGAGATGAAACATTTGCAACCAAATTGCCAAGCTCGGAGCTCAGACCAACAGCCCAACTACCAACCTGAGCTTTTTATATTCAAATACATTTCAGGGTCAATAGCAGTTTCTCCCATTCTGGCTCTCTTGAAAATAAGGCCATGTAAATTCTAAATCTACAGAATGATCTACTGACTCTTAAGAACCTGGAGGCAATAAAGCCCAGTCTTCTGTTAAGCTATCAGTATTGTAAGTGCTTGGATCTTACCAGTTTAATACAAAGCTGTGAAAAATTAAATGATGGGAACCAAACAATAGAAAAATCTTAATTTAGGTTATGAGTCTGGAGTAGTGCTTCTCAACCTTGGCAAGATTAAGAGGTGTGGGCTTCAACTCCCAGTATTCCCCAGCCAATGAGAAGTCTACATATCTTGTTAGGGTTAAAGTTCAGAAACACTGGTCTGGAGTCCCAAAGATCAGTGGTGGGCTGCTGGGGGTTCGCAGGGGTTCGGGAGGACCTCTAGCTAAGATTCTGTGTAGTTCAGAGAACCCCCAAATCCCACTCCTGGCTGGCCTCGGCCACCCCTCCCATCCCAGGAATCCCCATGTGGCCCATTTTGGATGCAGGTATGTGCAGGGTGCATGTAGAGGCTCTGGGAGGGCAAAAAATGGACCTACCAGAAGTTCGGAGGTGTGCTCCCAGAGGGCCTCTGGTGCCTGGGGATGTCATTTTCACCCTCCTGGAGGCTCGAGGAAAGCCTCCAGAGCCTGGGGAGGGCAAACACACACACACACACATACCCGCCGTTGTGCAGGAGGCCGACTAGGCCATACCCACCCAGCAACCAGGCAGAGAACCCCTTGCTAAAATTTTTGAAGCCGACCCCTGTCAAAGATGCCTTTCCAAAAGGCAACTAGACTTTCTTAGTATTTTCCCTGAAAATGTTTTGCTTCTTATCCAAGAAGCTTCTCCAGTTCTGATCTGGAATGTTGGAGGAGAGGCACAAGAAGGAGCCTGGAGATGACAGAATCCTGCAGCCTGAGTCCGACCCCAAAATCTTGCTGTACCTCCCTGATTGGTGGGTGATTTTTCCATTGACTAACATGCTAAAGCGGGAGGGCAGCAAAGCCCGAGGAATCAACCAAGAACTGTGTCTCTCGTGTGCATAATCTGGACAGCTCAATTTGGCAGTGAGTTAGAACAGAGCCAAGAGAAGCAGGATAGGGATTGTTTCTTGTCAAAGTAGCCTGTGGTATTTTGGGGTTTTCTTAAGGCAGTGGATCCGTGGGCATCCAATCCCATAGGGCTTCCTGACCCCTTTCTCCAGGTCTCCATTAAGTCATAAGGAAAGTAGAATGCCGGAATAGATCCACCAGGATTTTTCTTATTCCATAGATGTGCTCAGCTTGAAGTTTGTTCTGCTATCCAGCTGCTTGACTTTACAGCTGTGGCTACTAAGCTAACAGTGTTATTAATGGATTGATTTGGGTCCAGTGTTCTCTACTGAGATTGATGACTGTTTTGGCTAACCAGAGGCCAGCTGGATGAAAGCTGTGATGTCAGGAAAATGAGCAGGATGCAGTTCCTGGGAAATTGGTCTTCTTTGACCAACCTCTGTTGTCTCCCCTTCGGGAGAGCAGGAGGAGAATTAAACCTTAAAGTGCCATGGCTCTCTTTATAGCTGAATATATGATGGCTTCCCTGAGTGAGGAGGAGCATTTGGCTAACTATCTTAAATAAAAGCTGAGGAAACAATAGGTTGAAACTCAAAAATTATAAGAAATGCTTTAAACTAATTCAATATACCAGTACAGATAGTCCTCGACTTACAACAGTTCATTTAGTGACCGTTCAGAGTTACAACAGCGCTGAAAATGTGACTTATGACCATTTTTCATACGACCATTGGCGCATCCCCATGCTCATGTGATCCAAATTCAGACTCTTGGCAACGGGCTCATATTTATGATGGTTGCAGTGTTTCGGGGTCACATGATCACCTTTTGCGACCTGACAAGCAAAGTCAATGAGGAAGCCGATCAATCACTTACTGATCGTGTTGCTAACTTAATAACTGAAGTGATTCACTCAACAATGGTGGTAAGAAAGATCATAAAATGGGGCAAAACTCACTTAACAAACTGTCTCACTTAGCAACAACCCAGAAATTTTGGACTGAATTGTGGTCATAAATCAAGGGCTACCTGAATTGCTCAATCTCAGAAAGTTTAAGATCTAGCTTCAATTGCCAGAACATCCCAGCTGGCATGCATTGGACTATCTAGCTCAACTAGTAGCAGCAGCATACTTTATTGCGGTCAAAGACCAAAAAACCAAAACATCCAAGGCACATAGCTGGCACACGACCAGATCAACTAGTACATTGCCAACTTGTCTGGGTATCACATTCTGTTAATCTGTAATGTATTTTTAGACCTTGGTTTAGTGACTTGCACAAATACTGGTTTTAGTAAATCATGGTTTATGGTTTAGTATGTGAATGCAGGTAGTTGAGATTTAGTCAATATCATAACTAAACCGCAGTTTAGGATGGTGTGTAAACCCAGTTGCTTGCTACATTCACATGATATGCTTACTCATGGATAACTGCATTAATCCATGACACCCACTGTCTCATGCTAAGAACATGGGCTGGACAGTTCATCTAGAGAGCCAGTTTGGTCTCTAGTGGTTAAGGTAATGGCTTAGAAACCAGGAAAGCATGAATTCTAGTCCTGACTTAGGCATGAAAACTGGCTGGGTGACTTTGGGCCAGTTATGCTCAGCCCAATGCACTCCAGCATTGTTGGGGAAAACAGGAGGAGGCAGGAGTATTAAATATGTTTGCTGCCTTGATAATGGAACGGAACGGAACGGAACGGAACGGAACAGAACAGAACAGAAAAGAATTCTTTATTGGCCAAGTGAGATTAGATACCCAAAGAATTTGTTTCTGGTGCATAAGCTCTCAATGAATATACAACAATAGTGATAAATCATTAACATAGTCATTGTACCATAAAACATTAGATACAACAGTTAATCATGGATATTAAATAAGCAAATCAACATAAATCATACTAGGATACTAAGTAAACAATATAAATAATAAGATACAAGCAACAAAGTTATAGTCATAAGAAGATAAGGAGATAGGTAATAGGGAAGATGAGAATAATGATGGTAATACTGCCTTTTTAGATAGTTTGACAGTTGTGGGAATTAGTTGTTTAGCAGAGTGATGGCATGCAGGAAAAACTGTCCTTGTGTCTAGTTGTTCTGACGTGCAGTGCCTTTTAGAGTCATTTTGAGGGTAGAAGTTGAAACTGTTTATGTCCATGAAGCGAAGGGTCTAGATATTTTCACAGCCCTCTTTCTCGCTCCTGCAGTATACAGGTCCTCAACGGAAGGCAGATTGTTAGCAATTGTTTTTTCTGCAGTTCTAATTATCTGTTGAAGTCTGTATTTGTCTGGATTGGTTGCAGTGTCAAACCAGACAGTTATAGAGGTGCAGACGACAGACTCAGTAATTCCTCTGTAAAACTGAATCATCAGCTCCTTGGGCAGCCTGAGCTTTCTGAATTGGCGCAGGAAGAGCATTCTTTGTTGTGCTTTTCTGATGACGTATTTGATGTCATCAGAACAATGGACATTTGAGGTGTCCAAGAGAGATATAATGGAAGCTAGAAATTTAAAGGTCTCTTCTGTTGCTTCTGTGTTGTCTATTATTGTGAGTGGTGGTAGTGTAGGAAGGCTTCTCCTAAAATCTGCTATCATTTCTACAGTTTTTAAAAATATACTTTACTTATAAAATAATGAAGACAGGATAGAAGTCAAATAAATAGACTCGGTACATTAAGCCAAAACTATTGTGTTATTTAGACCAAGGGTCTCCAACCTTGGCAAAGCTGTCTGAGGAATTCTGGGAGTTGAAGTCCACAAGTCTTAAAGTTGCCAAGGTTGGAGACCCCTGATTTAGAATGTTGTGTGAACATTCCCTACCCATGTTTCAAGCAAAATGTTTCCCAACGTGCCTTGGAATTAATGACAACCCCTCAATTCAACCCTGTCTGAATGCCTTGGTAGTACAGTGGTTTAAAGCACCCTGTTATTAACACAGCTGCCTGCAATTACTGCAGGTTCGAATCTTACCAGGCTCAAGGTTGACTCAGCCTTCCATCCTTTCTAAGGTAGGTGAAATGAGGACCCAGTTTGTGGGGGCAATAAGCTGACTTTCTATAAATATACAAAAGGATGAAGGCTATTGCTTAACGCATTGTAAGCCGCCCTGAGTCTCCGGAGAAGGGCGGCATATAAATCAAATAAAAATAAAAAATAAAAAAAAAATGCAAAGCATGTGGCATACTGCTGAGTTACAGGAACTTGTATTTCTAGTATGGGTTAGTAAATTATAACGAAGACCAATATTGCCAAGGATGCCTTGGAGAAAAGAACATAATCCCTGCCAGTCAGAAAAGTTCTACGTTGAGTACATTGTGCTTTCACATGTCAAGGGCCTCTTGTGATATTTGTATTGTTTGTCTTTTATATTATTGCCCTGCCTTATAAATGTGATTCATCTGGCAAAAATGAGGCCACTACAAATTCAGGCCAATACTGTTTTTGACAGTTTTAATGGAGCTGTGTCATCCAGCCTGGCTGAAGGCCTGGCACATAAAATATAAAATATGAGTACTTTTTATGTTTGGAAAGATGAAACTTAAAAGCATTTACAAGCTCTTGGGGAACAATAGAAAATATATGGACATGTCGTGCATCTTCTTAACTGACTGACTGAGGATTTAAACCTTCAAATTTAAGAGCCCAGAACACTTGATCATAAACTTTAAGTTCATTTCCCAACTTGATAGCTCCCTCATGTGTTGGATTTAAAATCCCCTAATCCCTAGCCAACAAAGTGAGGAAATAGCTTTTAATCGAGACCTGTGCTTATTTACATTCACGTTATGAGCTACCAGACTCAATAGTTTACATTCTAGAAATGAGTTAAAGTTATTCACAAGAGAAAAGTTTTCTATCCTTCATCTCCCTGCTTCCTAAGCAAATTCAGGGCTGAGATACTTTTGAATAACACAGGATGCGATGGAACAGAAATGTACAGCAAGGGGCATAAGGTGTTTTTTGGGGGTCAGGCAGTGGTGAAATATACCGCTCAAAAAAATAAAGGGAACACAAGCAGAAGACTTCCGAGATCTGAATGAATGAAATAGCCTTATTAA